ATGTCCAGTCTCAAACGTCCTACTGGATTTTGAAGAAAAATGTTGTGGAACTTGTTCCGTCATGTTTGATTGTCCTGTTTATCCTCGGATCCTTGGGTGACAAAATGGGTCGGAAACTACCTGTGATTTTACCCAGTTTGGGAGCAACATTGTCTTACATTGTCTACTTGATTCTGTCAATTTACCCTTCGAGTAAAGTGGAGTACGTCTTGATTCCTGCTGCAGTAAATGGCTTGTCCGGAGGTTTCACGTCCCTGCTTATGTCCGTGTACAGCTACGTGACGCACATTGCTGACCCCACCAATAGAACTGTGCGGGTAGGGATCCTGGAATCGGTTATCTACTTTGCTGGAACAGTTGGGGTTTTCCTATCGGGAGTCATGCTCGACAATACAAGCTTCGCATTCGTCTTCGGGTTCATCAGTGGAAGCTGCTTCCTGGGAATGTTATACGCCATCATACGTCTAGAGAACATCAAGCCCAACACAAGACCCGAGGGTGAAAGTATGTGCGCCTACTGGTGTCTGGGCTCCATCAAGGAGTCTGGTCGTTGTGTAATGAAGAAACGGCAAGAGAAGAAAAAACTCCATATCTTCTTACTTCTCATCATCTTTACCTTTCTTATTATAGCAACAAGGTGTGAGTACAAATTAAGTATTAATTCGCAATTCTTATAAGTTAAAACCAGTACGCCTTTCTCATGGATTGATAGGTGATGTATTATACTATATTCACATACATTATTTTAGATGTATATTTTATATATAAACCGATGGTAATCGAATATTCAAAAATGTAACACATCATTGTCATTGACCCATGGTCCATATGACACACATGGAACAGTAGATGTTCAAGGTGAAGGTTATCTTTTCAAAATTTCTTGTATGGCCATAGGTTGCTGAAAACCTATTCTACCCCGGATCTACACGGGTCTTACCGTGAGGTCAGCCGTTCGCTTGTTGGAAAATGGGAAGGACGTGTGGCCTCATCCATTGAACGTTGTACTGTTTACTTCCCAAGACACTTGCACAAAGTCGGTTCTAACAGTGTAGGAGATGGTGGCCCACATCATCACGCTACCACCACTTCCACCCTGTTCATCTCCTGTATGCAGTTTCGTGCATAATTTTAAACACGCCGTCTACAATCCACACAGCGAAGCATAAGAAGTGACTCGTCACTAAACCAAGCCTGTCTCTGTCGCAGTTGTGGTCATACTCTGTGACATTGACACCATTGACGTCGCATCCGATGATGCAGGTTCGTCAAAATGACACCTCGAACTGGTCGTCTAGCGTGGCATGTGTTCGCTGTTCACTTGCTGTAAGATTGTGATGACATGCAAATAAAACCCAACGCTTTTATATCCCAACAATGGATGTTGCACGTGCATGTCATGTCGGTGCCAGGCGCTCTCGTGGTTTGTGCGGGTTTTGCATCTTTGTCTGCAGTACTTTCCACACATATCGATTCAAATCCATGTAGAAATGACCAATAACCATTTTTGGTATTAATTCTGTATGGATTTCGGCAACACTTTGGCGTTTCTTCTTTTGCAGGAATATATACACAATACCCACACAAATACATAGGTCACCTCTTGTCATGCTACAGGTGAAGGTGACGTCCTTCTCCTGTACACAAGGCGAGCACCTCTCAGCTGGTCACAGACAATGTTTGGTTACTATGAGGGTCTGGAGAACTTCATTCGCAGTCTTACCCTGGTCACAGTTATGCCTCTGTGCAGGAAGATGAGAGACACCACTTTAGGACTATGGGGCTTGGCGTCCAAGATCATCGGCCTGGTGGTCATGGGATTCAGTGAAAAGACATGGCTGTTGTTTCTAGGTAACTCGTAACAGCTTGAAATATATGTGCCATTTATGTTTGCTACATCCCAAATCACAAAGGTATGTCATTACTAATACAAAACGGATAGTTCAATATTATTCACAAGAGTGTTTGCTTAAGCACATTCATCAAATGTATCTATCATAAACGCAATAGAAGTAACTAGAATCACGTCTTTTTATTTCAGTTGTTATAATTGCCATGTTTCAAGGCTTTCCACTAGCTGTTACTCGGTCACTCATGTCCAGTATGGTCAGCCAGGCTGAACAAGGTAAGGTTAAAATCAAATCTCATATTGTAAGGACGGAACTGTGCAGTGTTTAGATCACATTTGATGCAGTAAACATAAAACGCTAAAGCCAGAGCATAATCAGTCTCGATTATCAACCGAAACAGATTTCTTCGTGTGAAAAGGGCATTAAAGCGGTGAAAAATATATGAATGGATCACTGAGTGAGAGAGTGAGTGAGTGAGTGAGTGAGTATGGTTTTACGCCACTTTTAGCAATATTCCAGCAATATCACGGGGGGCACCAGAAATGGGCTTCACACATTGTACCAAAGTCGGGAATCGAACCCGGGTCTTCAGCGTGACGAGCGAACGCTTTAACCACTAGGCTACCCGGTCACCCCCGAATGGATCACTGAAAAACAGTGATGATTCCAGATGTCTGATTGAACATGGTAAGGCTCAGATCACATCTGATGTTCTTTGGTTCAACATGTCAAGTATGGTCAAACAGGGTTAGGAGTGTAAGTCGTAGGGTAACTGTGTTTCACTGTTCTTTAAATATAATGAAACTTTTACCGTAGGTTGTGGAACCAGATCAGCATACTCTTGTTCAATATGTTCATTATCTGTTTCCAGGACGCCTGTTTGGAGTGGTTGCTGCCGTGGATAGCACTGCAGCCTTGTTGTCATCACTCATCTTCAATGGACTTTACCCAGCATCTCTTGCTTTCTTCCCAGGGTTCAGCTTCATGTTGGCTGCTGGTCTGTGTGTCATCGCCGCAGCCATCATGCTGTGAGTGATCATTGTAGCTTTGGATGATTAGCCAAGAAAATATGTTGACAAAGAAATCTTAAATACGATTAGTGAATTGTGTAATGTATATTTCAGAAATACTTCTCAATGTTAATGCCCCTTCTGTACTTGTAACGCAGGTGGCTACATGTGGATCTGAGAGAAAAGGCATTGGATGATACAACAACTGCAAAACCCAGGAGAGGAGACACAGATAACGTTAACACAGGTACGTCATGTGGAGTTAGTGAAACATCCACGAATGTATGATGTACGTCCCGGTCAGCAATGTTTCAGCTTTATCATCCCCGTGTGCAACGCAGTAATTGAGTAAGCAACGATCACCAACAGGCTCACGAAACAGACCATTCAGTGTCCATTGCAGTCCCCTTTCAGAACTAGTTTGCATTACTTAGGAATCTGACCAGTAGTCTTCAAGAGTAAGGGTGTCATCAGATCCATAAACAACATACGGTGATATGCCTCTTTACGGTGCCTCTAAATGCCGATGAATGTATGTAATTAGTTCATACGTATCCCTCTTTGTTGATTCAACAGCTCAAATATTGTGTCTAAGTGGGACATTGGTGACAAGTGTCATTTGTTTTCACGGAATGTTACAGGCCACTAACATACAGTTATTTTTCAACACACCAATGTCCTTTCTAACCATATCCATTTGAATTAAGTACTCGTGTATTAGGGAATAAAATTGACAAGGATTCCCTGACTGGCCGTCAGATAGTAAATACTACAGTTGTGAAAATGATTGTACATACACATGTTTACTTTTACCCTGCAACCAGCGCTATACCCACTAGATCACGGCGGTCTACAAATAACCAGGTTTGGACAAGACAATATGTGTACATAACATTATCAACCAAGTCACTACATCTGACCATCCGATCCACAAGTCGCCTAAATCATAAGTTACTGGGACGTATTCTTAGCGGTAAGATGTCTTTGTGGAAAGGGGCGCTGGAATCCACATAGGGATACGTATGTGTGTTGCGTTGTATATTTCAACGTTCCACAGGAAATGAATCAGTGCATGTATTTACAAAGACTAAACAAAGCAATTAATGGTAATGTGGGTACTTTTATTTTGTTTCAGGGGACAGTAAGGCGGAAACTGTGATGACTCACATGTAAACAAAATCCTGATCATGCCACAAGCAGCACAAGGGATGTCAGATCTTTACCTTAATATTTCAAATAGTTCAAATTAAGCGACGCACACCGGCCATAATGACACCACGCTCTGAAGATCATTGTTCGTGAAATAGACTATTGTGTATCGTAACGTTGTGCACTTAACGTCACAGCATTGGGTGACGTCACTGGCCATCATTGTTGACGTTATGTTGTCACTGTTGACCTACGAGACAGTTAAAAAAAATGAAGAAACATGTCTTCATTACTTACTTCATTGTCTTCATTATTTCAAGAGCTTAGATGGTAAAAAGAATATCTCATTAATGATTGTCTCCTGTAGACACAAAAACCACCTCCGTTTCTGGTCTGGGATTATCTCCAGGAATAGATTATCTGTCAGTGTCATCACCAGTTATACTTGTGGTAAAGTAATATATTCTTACATAATTTGGTAAACGTTTAGCTACATTGAGCAGATAAAGAGCAATTGAGTAAGCATGTAAATGAAAACAGACATTTAAATCAAATCGGATATAAACCTGTTTCAAAAGTGTTATACTTAATACAGTAATTACTGCCATTTTGTGTGTAATAGGTTTCTTCTGCTACAATAAGCATCTACGCAAGTGGTGGCCTTGTTGATGAAAATGGTTCCAGTTTTAGGCAGTGATCTGCTATTTTCGACATCGTTGGATATTGATTCACGTCAATATTGTACCTGAATTTGATTTGAACACTTTCCTTTGTTTTATGAAATTATTTTGCTTGTCCTACTTTCTTTGTTTGTCTGTCCAAACGTTTTAAATCTGCTTGCTTTCAATGAAGAATTTAATGTATAATCTTGTATTTTGTTTTGATTTTTTTTCCAAATTGATTTGTGCTGTTTTCACACACACACACACGCACGCACGCACGCACGCAAGCACGCACGCACGCATACCAGCACGTTCACACACACACACACCACCCGTGTTCAGCAACCCATGCTTGCCGAAAAAGGTGACTGAGCTTGTAATTGGATCGGGTGGTCAGGTTCGCTGACTTGGTTGATGCATGTCATCGTATCCCAAAAGTGTGGATCAATACTTACGATGTCACTCACTTGATTGTCTGGTATTGATAACATGACATTTCTATTTTCAACTGGTTTTTTTTCAAAACCATTTGCTTTGTACCATAGCCACTACAATCTTTTAAAGTTGTTTTACTTACTTCCAAATGGTTAACTCACTTCATTTACCCTCTTATATGAAATACATGGTTATATATGTTTGTATGCTTTTCAAAGAATTTCTGAATAATATCACATTAAATTGTTGTTACTATTACTTGTTTGAGCAAACCAACATGAGCAAACCAATCTTCTCACTGCATGTAATTCAGAGGTGCTTACAAATCATTACTGTGTCGTGTTCTAAAAGGGGTCTAAACTTCCCCAGTCATAATCTGTTGAAATGATTATAACCCGACACAAATATTCTTCAAATACAGAGCTAACTGCATGTGACCACAAAATAGAAATTGTACGCGCGTTTAAAGCTCTTGGTGTTTATTTCGGCCAGAGACTAACAAGAGGTTCTCACATATCTCATGTGGTGAAGAGACTAACAAGAGGTTCTCACATATCTCATGTGGTGAACAAATGCAATAAGGTTAGACGAAGGCTTGTCAAAAAGTTCTAAGCCTCACTAACTTTCAACTATGGGCCAAAAGAAAGTGAACTACTCAACGTAGTACATTGTTTGAGTTCTTCATTGCAAGTGTATTTGGTCTGTTGAGGCCTCGTGTACATAAGTAACATCCAGTTGAATGTGATAGGGGTCCAAATGGACACAGAAATGGAGTAGAACGAGTACCAAGCAGTCATCAAGTTTTTTACTTTAAAGAAAAGTACTCCCTAAAAAATTCATAACCGCATGTGGCAGGTGTATGCGGATAAATGCCCCACCTATTAGATTGTTCAACGTTGGGCAGCTTTGTTTAAGGCTGGGGGAACAAACCTTGATAATGACCCTAGGTCTGGACGTCCCTCAACTTCCATCAATGAAGATTCAATCAAGGAGGTAGAAAAGTCTTCACGATCAGTGAAGAAAGTTATGGCCACTGTATTCTGGGGTGAAAAGGGTGTGATCCTTGTTTATTACTTAGAAAGTCAGAAGAGGATCACCTGGTGCCTACTATGCTGATTTGCTTTATCGCTTGAGTACATTTAGGAGCCAAGAACCGACGAGATCCATGAACAAGCGTATCGCACATGGCATCGAGCATGGTATGTCAACTTGACTTTCTAGTCGGCGGTAAATTAATAATTTCCTCATTTTCAAACTATGGCAAAACTGATACTTGTAATTGTTTTCATGAAGTATGAAAAAACACGGATATTCAGAAAAGAGTAAAACATATGCTTTTACTAATTTCAATGTATTATTTTACAGGATTGATCAAGGCTCTTCATGAAGTGGACCTCGGTTTACAACAATATTGTCATCAAAAGGAGAGACTTCTCTTTCGATGAATTTGATGTATATGATGTCTCAATTGTCAAATTTGCTTTCAGCCCAGTCATTGGAATAAAAGTGGGTAAATTCACAGACAGCTTCCACTACTTTGAACTTGATGGGTACAGTACCTGCTCCTTTTTAGTACTTGGTGTGTACTACTGAAGCTCCAAACAATCATTTTAAGAGGATGGTTATTTTGGTCACTTCTACTTTGTATATTGCATTCTATATGTATTCTGCATACTCGTGCTTGTATATATATATACAAAATTATATCTAAATTCCCAAGTCTTCATCAATCATTGCCATAAAAACATTTTTACTCGTTTATCTGTAAGTACATTTTATGACCACTATAGATATTGGACAGCAAGAATCTGAAAAGAAAGTCAAAATAGAACATTTACTCTTTGCAGAGGACTGCAGGTATAATGATCTTAACTTCCTCATTAAAAATAGCTGATTTCTAACCAGTCAAGGGAGATTTTATCATGAATATAATTATTTATCTATCTCATAGTGCAATCACCTTACACTTTCTAATTTATCAGGTTACTATTTTAATATTGATCTCTTGATATAAATGGAAAATCCAATTTTAGATCAAGAAATATTTTGAACCTGCTGCTTTTTTAAGTATTTTTAGAATTCCTAGAACTAAGGTGTTGTGTTTCTTCTTTTGGGCTTGATGGTTATTTATTTTGCAAACTGTTTGTTGCTTGTCAAGATATATACATACAATAACAAATTTATTCATTTCAGTATCATGATTTCCAATGAAACATAATCATGACTGATTACTTTGGAGATGATTGTATCAAGAAATGAATGTTAAGAAAGTAATCATATTTGACAATTTTGTTTGTGTCATGACAACGTTCGCATTGACACACATGCAAATAGTTTCGATATGTATGAATATTTTCAAAGGGAATGTTGTGGAAAATGCACTCATGGCCGCTGAATGGTCTGGAACAGTTCTTTTCCTCCTTGGATACTTTGATGTCTTAGAAGCTGTTGTTCCTGCAAATCTCTTGGCTGAAGCACATACATTTTTGTGATATTATTATGATTTCCTTACTACTCACTGGTTACTAGACCTACAAAGAAATAGGGGAAAATATTATATTTAAAGAAAACATTGGTCTGCGGTCCCTATCACAACAAGTACTTTCAAGTTGAAAGTGGGACACTGCCCTGTCAAGCAGATCACACTCTTGTCCTTTATTTGACCAGTTTTGCAACCCCCATGTAAATTTCAATCAAGGAAATTTAAGTCTTCAGAAATGTTCAAGTCTAGATTGTCTGACGTGATCAGGGGCGGTCGGGTAGCCTAATGGTTAAAGCGTTCGCTCGTCACGCAGAAGACCCGGGTTCGATTCCCGACAATGTGTGAAGCCCATTTCTGGTGTCCCCCGCAGTGATATTGCTGGAATAGTGCTAAAAGCGGCGTAAAACCATACTCACTCACTGACTAACTCACTTACGTGATCATCGAGTTGTTTACAGTATAACAAGCCGGGGGCAATTTCCGACATGATTTGTGGTTACTATACTCAACAATGATAACTATTGTTTTATATCCTATTTCTGAGAAGGATAGCCAGTCGTGTGCAATAGCTACAAAGGTATTTCTTGGAATGGCAAGTCAAGTGGTTCCTTCACTTTCTTTTGGGGTGTGGTGTGTGGGGAGAAGCGGTGGTGGTGGCGGCGGCAAGACGGATATAACACATTCCTCTCATAACCATCATTTTAAGAGGATGGTTATTTTGGTCACTGCTACTTTGTATATTGCATTCTATATGTATTCTGCATACTCGTGCTTGTATATATATACAAGATATATATCTAAATTCCCAAGTCTTCATCAATCATTGCCATAAAAACATTTTTACTCGTTTATCTGTAAGTACATTTTATGACCAATATAGATATTGGACAGCAAGAATCTGAAAAGAAAGTCAAAATAGAACATTTACTCTTTGCAGAGGACTGCAGGTATAATGATCTTAATTTCCTCATTAAAAATAGCTGATTTCTAACCAGTCAAGGGAGATTTTATCATGAATATAATTATTTATCTATCTCATAGTGCAATCACCTTACACTTTCTAATTTATCAGGTTACTATTTTAATATTGATCTCTTGATATAAATGGAAAATCCAATTTTAGATCAAGAAATATGTTGAACCTGCTGCTTTTTTAAGTATTTTTAGAATTCCTAGAACTAAGGTGTTGTGTTTCTTCTTTTGGGCTTGATGGTTATTTATTTTGCAAACTGTTTGTTGCTTGTCAAGATATATACATACAATAACAAATTTATTCATTTCAGTATCATGATTTCCAATGAAACATAATCATGACTGATTACTTTGGAGATGATTGTATCAAGAAATGAATGTTAAGAAAGTAATCATATTTGACAATTTTGTTTGTGTCATGACAACGTTCGCATTGACACACATGCAAATAGTTTCGATATGTATGAATATTTTCAAAGGGAATGTTGTGGAAAATGCACTCATGGCCGCTGAATGGTCTGGAACAGTTCTTTTCCTCCTTGGATACTTTGATGTCTTAGAAGCTGTTGTTCCTGCAAATCTCTTGGCTGAAGCACATACATTTTTGTGATATTATTATGATTTCCTTACTACTCACTGGTTACTAGACCTACAAAGAAATAGGGGAAAATATTATATTTAAAGAAAACATTGGTCTGCGGTCCCTATCACAACAAGTACTTTCAAGTTGAAAGTGGGACACTGCCCTGTCAAGCAGATCACACTCTTGTCCTTTATTTGACCAGTTTTGCAACCCACATGTAAATTTCAATCAAGGAAATTTAAGTCTTCAGAAATGTTCAAGTCTAGATTGTCTGACGTGATCAGGGGCGGTCGGGTAGCCTAATGGTTAAAGCGTTCGCTCGTCACGCAGAAGACCCGGGTTCGATTCCCGACAATGTGTGAAGCCCATTTCTGGTGTCCCCCGCAGTGATATTGCTGGAATAGTGCTAAAAGCGGCGTAAAACCATACTCACTCACTGACTCACTCACTTACGTGATCATCGAGTTGTTTACAGTATAACAAGCCGGGGGCAATTTCCGACATGATTTGTGGTTACTATACTCAACAATGATAACTATTGTTTTATATCCTATTTCTGAGAAGGATAGCCAGTCGTGTGCAATAGCTACAAAGGTATTTCTTGGAATGGCAAGTCAAGTGGTTCCTTCACTTTCTTTTGGGGTGTGGTGTGTGAGGGAGAAGCGGTGGTGGTGGCGGCGGCAAGACGGATATAACACATTCCTCTCATAACCATCATTTTAAGAGGATGGTTATTTTGGTCACTGCTACTTTGTATATTGCATTCTATATGTATTCTGCATACTCGTGCTTGTATATATATACAAAATATATATCTAAATTCCCATGTCTTCATCAATCATTGCCATAAAAACATTTTTACTCGTTTATCTGTAAGTACATTTCATGACCAATATAGATATTGGACAGCAAGAATCTGAAAAGAAAGTCAAAATAGAACATTTACTCTTTGCAGAGGACTGCAGGTATAATGATCTTAACTTCCTCATTAAAAATAGCTGATTTCTAACCAGTCAAGGGAGATTTTATCATGAATATAATTATTTATCTATCTCATAGTGCAATCACCTTACACTTTCTAATTTATCAGGTTACTATTTTAATGTTGATCTCTTGATATAAATGGAAAATCCAATTTTAGATCAAGAAATATTTTGAACCTGCTGCTTTTTTTAAGTATTTTTAGAATTCCTAGAACTAAAGTGTTGTGTTTCTTCTTTTGGGCTTGATGGTTATTTATTTTGCAAACTGGTTGTTGCTTGTCAAGATGGAATATTTAAATGTAAAAAGATACACACACACACACACACAAGCACATATATATATATATATATATATATATATATATATATATATATATATATATATATATATATATATATATATATATATATATATTTATACATAAAATAAATTTTTTATTCAGTTCAGTATCATGATTTCCAATGAAACATAATCATGACTGATTACTTTGGAGATTATTGTATTAAGAAATGAATGTTAAGAAAGTAATCATATTTGACAATTTTGTTTGTATCATGACAACGTTCGCATTGACACACATGCAAATAGTTTCGATATTTATGAATATTTTCAAAGGGAATGTTGTGGAAAAAGCACTCATGGCCGCTGAATGGTCTGGAACATTTTTGTGATATTATTATGATTTCCTTACTACTCACTGGTTACTAGACCTACAAAGAAATAGGGGAAAATATTATATTTAAAGAAAACATTGGTCTGCGGTCCCTATCACAACAAGTACTTTCAAGTTGAAAGTGGGACACTGCCCTGTCAAGCAGATCACACTCTTGTCCTTTATTTGACCAGTTTTGCAACCCACATGTAAATTTCAATCAAGGAAATTTAAGTCTTCAGAAATGTTCAAGTCTAGATTGTCTGACGTGATCAGGGGCGGTCGGGTAGCCTAATGGTTAAAGCGTTCGCTCGTCACGCAGAAGACCCGGGTTCGATTCCCGACAATGTGTGAAGCCCATTTCTGGTGTCCCCCGCAGTGATATTGCTGGAATAGTGCTAAAAGCGGCGTAAAACCATACTCACTCACTGACTCACTCACTCACGTGATCATCGAGTTGTTTACAGTATAACAAGCCGGGGGCAATTTCCGACATGATTTGTGGTTACTATACTCAACAATGATAACTATTGTTTTATATCCTATTGCAGAGAAGGGTAGCCGGTCGTGTGCAATAGCTACAAAGGTATTTCTTGGAATGGCAAGTCAAGTGGTTCCTTCACTTTCTTTTGGGGTGTGGTGTGTGAGGGAGAAGCGGTGGTGGTGGCGGCGGCAAGACGGATATAACACATTCCTCGCATAACGTTAATATTTTCCCACATTTGTGAATATGTATGTAGAGTGAATATGACACACACACAAAAAAGACTTTTTGGGGAGTATAATATTAGCTTATTGATGACAGGCACAACTAATACTGTTTTTGCTTTTCATTGTCTGTTAGATGCAAGTTTTATTCAAATATAATACTGTAAGCCACGTGAATATTCTCATATCTAGTGTCCATATAAAGTACCCTTAAACCACCACATTTGTTTTATATATGACTTATTATTTGAAACATAAAATAAACCCTTTGAATGAATAACTACCTTATGTGGCACGTTGTGGTGTTATGTATACATACCATATATGTGAAGTCGTTGGGAAATTACTATTTCACTGTCGACAAAACCTGATGGTTAGCACAATTACAATTAAATATCTTGCTTCCAATTAAACGACCTAATGTATGTTGTGACGAAAAACGGCAAATTTTCTCCTGTTTTTGCTCACAACCTTGTCTAATGTCATTGGCCCATATACAACTACTTTTATGTGGCAATGCGGATCTGTCCAAGAATGCAACAATCACAGAGTTGTTTTCATGGAAATAAAACATTTGATTTAGTTCTTTCCATCCACCTTTTTTGGATGTAAACGAATTATGTAATTGTAAATATTTTCAGGGGCGTGCATTTTAAGTTGTTATAACTTTTACCCAATCCTTTTCACTTTATGTGAATAAAATATGTTTAAATCACAAAGAAATCTCATATTTTTCAGATTTTGGTCCGAAACATGGCTGTTATTAGATGTGGCCGACGGCAGTTCGATTTGAACCTCATAACAGTTGAACCAGTTTTGTTTCTTTACACGTTGGGATTTTCTCTGAGAAACCCAACCTTCCAGGCCTTTGTGTACAACAAGATCTGCATTGACAGCTACAACGAGACATTCTGTACCAGTCTGCAGAACAAGACGTTCCAAGTGGACTACAAAACAGAAGAGGATTATGTCCAGTCTCAAACGTCCTACTGGATTTTGAAGAAAAATGTTGTGGAACTTCTTCCGTCATGTTTGATTGTTCTGTTTATCCTCGGTTCCTTTGGTGACAAAGTGGGTCGGAAACTACCTGTGATTTTACCCAGTTTGGGAGCAACATTGTCTTCCATTGTCTACTTGATTCTGTCAATTTACCCTTCGAGTAAAATGGAGTACTTCTTTATTGCTGCTGCAGTAAATGGCTTGTCCGGGGGTTACACGTCCCTAATCATGTCTGTGTACAGCTACGTGACCCACATTGCTGACCCCACCAATAGAACTGTGCGAATAGGGATCCTGGAATCGATTATCTTCTTTGCTGGAACAGTTGGGGTTTTCCTATCAGGAGTCATGCTCGACAATACAAGCTTCGTATTCGTCTTTGCGTTCATCAGTGGAAGCTCCTTCTTGGGAATGTTATACGCCATCATACGTCTAGAGAACATCGGTTCCAACACAAGACCCGAGGGTGAAAGTATCTGCGCCTACTGGTGTCTGTCCTCCATCAAGGAGTCTGGTCGTTGTGTAATGAAGAAGCGGCAAGAGAAGAGAAAACTCCATATCTTCTTACTTCTCATCATCTTTATCATGCTTGTTATCTCAACAGTGTGTGAGTACAAATTAAGTATTAATTCGCAATCCTTATAAGTTAAAACCAGTACGCCTTTCTCATGGATTGATAGGTGATGTATTATACTATACTCTGCACCAAACAGAAGAAACATTATTTTAGATTTATATTTTATATATAATATAAACAAAAAGATGTTTATCGATTATTCAAAATTGTAACACTTCATAGTCATTGACCCATGGTCCATATGGCACACATGGAACAGTAGATGTTCAAGGTGAAAGTAATCTTTCCAAAATTTCTTGTATGGCCAAGGGTTGCTGAAGACCTATTCTTCCCCGGATCTTCACAGGTCTTGCCGTGTGAGGTCAGCCGTTCGCTTGTTGGAAAATGGGAAGAACGTGTGGCCTCATCCATTTAACTTTGTACTGTTAACTTCCCCAGACACTAGCACAAAGTCGGTTTTAACAGTGTAGGAGATGGTGGCCCACATCATCAGGCTACCACCACTTCCACACTGTCCATCTCCTGTATGAAGTTTCGTGCATAATTTTAAACACGACGTCTACAATCCACACAGCGAAGCATAAGAAGTGACTCGTCACTAAACCAAGCCTGTCTCTGTCGCAGTTGTGGTCATACTCTGTGACATTAGACACCATTGACGTCGCATCCGATGATGCAGGTTCGTCAAAATGACACCTCGAACTGGTCGTCTAGCGTGGCATATTTTCGCTGTTCACTTGCTGTAAGATTGTGATGACATGCAAATAAAACCCAACGCTTTTATATCCCAACAAGTGATGTTGCACGTGCGTGTCATGTCTGTGCCAGGCGCTCTCGTGGTGTGTGCGGGTTTTGCATCTTTGTCTGCAGTACTTTCCACACAAATCGAGTCAAATCCATGCAGAAATGACCAATAACCATTTTTGGTATTAATTCTGTATGGATTTCGGCAACACTTTGGCGTTTCTTTTTTGCAGGAATATATACACAATGCCCACACAAATACGTAGGTCACCTCTTGTCATGCTACAGGTGAAAGTGACGTCCTTCTCCTGTACACAAGGCGAGCACCTCTCAGCTGGTCACAGACAATGTTTGGTTACTATAAGGGTCTGGAGAACTTCACTCGCAGTCTTACCCTGGTCACAGTTATGCCTCTGTGCAGGAAGATGAGAGACACCACTTTAGGACTATGGGGCTTGGCGTCCAAGATCATCGGCCTGGTGGTCATGGGATTCAGTGAAACGACATGGCTGTTGTTTCTAGGTAACTCGTAACAGCTTGAAATATATGTGCCATTTATGTTTGCTACATCCCAAATCACAAAGGTATGTCATTACTAATACAAAACGGAAAGTTCAATATTATTCACAAGAGAAGTGTTTGCTTTAAGCACATGCATCAAATGTATCTATCATAAACGCAATAGAAGTAACTAGAATCACGCCTTTTTATTTCAGTTGTGATATTTGCCATGTTTCAAGGCTTTCCAGCAGCTGTTGCTCGGTCACTCATGTCCAGTATGGTCAGCCAGGCTGAACAAGGTAAGGTTAAAATCAAATCTCATATTGTAAAGATGGAACTGTGCAGTGTTTAGATCACATTTGATGCAGTAAACATAAAACGCTAAAGCCAGAGCATAATCAGTCTTGATTATCAACCGAAACAGATTTCTCCGTGCGAAAAAGGCATTAAAGCGGAGAAATTTATATGAATGGATCACTGAGTGAGTGAGTGTGGTTTTACGCCGCCTTTAGCAATATTCCAGCAATATCACGGGGGGCTCCAGAAATGGGCTTCACACATTGTACCAAAGTCAGGAATCGAACCCGGGTCTCCTGCGTGACGAGTGAACGCTTTAACCATTAGGCTACCCGACCGCCCCTGATCACGTCAGACAATCTAGACTTGAACATTTCTGAAGACTTAAATTTCCTAAATTGAAATTTACATGTGGGTTGCAAAACTGGTCAAATAAAGGACACGAGTGTGATCTGCCTGACAGGGCAGTGTCCCACTTTCAACTTGATAGTACTTGTTGTCTTCTGCGTGACGAGCGAACGCTTTAACCACTAGACTACCCGGTCGCCCCCGAATGGATCACTGAAAAACAGTGATGACTCCAGATGTCTGATTGAACATTGTAAGGCTCAGATCACATCTGATGTTCTTGGGTTCAACATGTCAAGTATGGTCAAACAGGGTAAGGAGTGTAAGTCGTAGGGTAACTGTGTTTCACTGTACTTTAAATATAATGAAACTGTTACAGTAAGTTGTGGAACAAGATCAGCATACTCTTGTTCAATATGTTCATTATCTGTTTCCAGGACGCCTGTTTGGAGTGGTTGCTGCCGTGGATAGCACTGGAGCCTTGTTGTCCACAATCATCTTCAATGGACTTTACCCAGCATCCCTTGCTTTCTTCCCAGGGTTCAGCTTCATGTTGGCTGCTGGTCTGTGTGTCATCGCCGCAGCCATCATGCTGTGAGTGATCATTGTAGCTTTGGATGATTAGCCAAGAAAATATGTTGACAAAGAAATCTTAAATACGATTAGTGAATTGTGTAATGTATATTTCAGAAATACTTCTCAATGGTAAGCCCCTTCTGTACTTATAACGCAGGTGGCTACATGTGGATCTGAGAGAAAAGGCATTGGATGATACAACAACTGCAAAACCCAGGAGAGGAGAAACAGATAACGTTAGCACAGGTACGTCATGTGGAGTTTGTGAAACATCCACGAATGTATGATGTACGTCCCGGTCAGCAATGTTTCAGCTTTATCATCCCCGTGTGCAACGCAGTAATTGAGTAAGCAACGATCACCAACAGGCTCACGAAACAGACCATTCAGTGTCCATTGTAGTCCCCATTCAGAACTAGTTGGCATTACTTAGGAATCTGACCAGTAGTCTTCAAGAGTAAGGGTGTCATCAGATCCATAAACAAGATACGGTGATATGCCTCTTTACGGTGCCTCTAAATGCCGATGAATGTATGTAATTAGTTCATACGTATCCCCCTTTGTTGATTTAAAATCTCAAATATTGTGTCTAAGTGGGACATTGGTGACAAGTGTCATTTCTTTTCACGGAAAGTTACAGACCACTAACATACGCTTATTTTTCAACACACCAATGTCCTTTCTAACCATATCCATTTGAATTAAGTACTCGTGTATTAGGGAATAAAATTGACAAGGATTCCCTGACTGACCGTCAGATAGTAAATACTACAGTTGTGAAAATGATTGTACATATACATGTTTACTTTTACCCTGCAACCAGCGCTATACCCACTAGATCACGGCGGTCTACAAATAACCAGGTTTGGACAAGACAATATGTGTACGATAACACTATCAACCAAGTCACTACATCTGACCATCCGATCCACAAGTCGCCTAAATCATAAGTTACTTTGACGTATTCTTAGCGGTAAGATGGCTTTGTGGAAAGGGGCGCTGGAATCCACATAGGGATACGTAAGTGTGTTGCATTGTATATTTCAACGTTCCACAGGAAATGAATCAGTGCATATTTTGTTTCAGGGGACAGTAAGGCGGAAACTGTGATGACTCACATGTAAACAAAATCCTGATCATGCCACAGGCAGCACAAGGGATGTCAGATCTTTACCTTAATATTTCAAATAGTTCAAATTAAGCGACGCACACCGGCCATAATGACACCACGCTCTGAAGATCATTGTTCGTGAAATTGACTATTGTGTATCGTAACGTTGTGCACTTAACGTCACAGCATTGGGTGACGTCACTGGCCATCATTGTTGACGTTATGTTGTCACTGTTGACCTACGAGACAGTTTAAAAAAAATGAAGAAACATGTCTTCATTACTTACTTCATTGTCTTCATTATTTCAAGAGCTTAGATGGTAAAAAGATTATCTCATTAATGATTGTCTCCTGTAGACTCACAAAAACCACCTCCGTTTCTGGTCTGGGATTATCTCCAGGAATAGATTATCTATCAGTGTCATCACCAGTTATACTTGTGGTAAAGTAATATATTCTTACATAATTTGGTAAACGTTTAGCTACATTGAGCAGATAAAGAGCAATTGAGTAAGCATGTAAATGAAAACAGACATTTAAATCAAATCGGATATAAACCTGTTTCAAAAGTGTTATACTTAATACAGTAATTACTGCCATTTTGTGTGTAATAGGTTTCTTCTGCTACAATAAGCATCTACGCAAGTGGTGGCCTTGTTGATGAAAATGGTTCCAGTTTTAGGCAGTGATCTGCTATTTTCGACATCGTTGGATATTGATTCACGTCAATATTGTACCTGAATTTGATTTGAACACTTTCCTTTGTTTTATGAAATTATTTTGCTTGTCCTACTTTCTTTGTTTGTCTGTCCAAACGTTTTAAATCTGCTTGCTTTCAATGAAGAATTTAATGTATAATCTTGTATTTTGTTTTGATTTTTTTTCCAAATTGATTTGTGCTGTTTTCACACACACACACACGCACGCACGCACGCACGCAAGCACGCACGCACGCATACAAGCACGTTCACACACACACACACCACCCGTGTTCAGCAACCCATGCTTGCCGAAAAAGGTGACTGAGCTTGTAATTGGATCGGGTGGTCAGGTTCGCTGACTTGGTTGATGCATGTCATCGTATCCCAAAAGTGTGGATCAATACTTACGATGTCACTCACTTGATTGACTGGTATTGATAAGATGACATTTCTATTTTCAACTGGGTTTTTTTCAAAACCATTTGCTTTGTACCATAGCCACTACAATCTTTTAAAGCTGTTTTACTTACTTCCAAATGGTTAACTCACTTCATTTACCCTCTTATATGAAATACATGGTTATATATGTTTGTATGCTTTTTCAAAGAATTTCTAAATAATATCCCATTAAGTTGTTGTTACCATTACTTGTTTGAGCAAACCAACATGAGCAAACCAATCTTCTCACTGCATATAATTCAGAGGTGCTTACAAATCATTACTGTGTGGTGTTCTAAAAGTGGTCTAAACTTCCCCAGTCATAATCTGTTGAAATGATTATAACCGGACATAAATATTCCTCAAATACAGAGCTAACTGCATGTGACCACAAAATAGAAATTGTACGCGCGTTTAAAGTTTGTTGGTGTTTATTTCGGCCAGAGACTAACAAGAGGTTCTCACATATCTCATGTGGTGAAGAGACTAACAAGAGGTTCTCACATATCTCATGTGGTGAACAAATGCAGTAAGGTTATACGAAGGCTGGTCAAAAAGTTCTAAGCCTGACTAACTTTCAACTATGGGCCATAAGAAAGTGAAGTACTCAACGTAGAACATTGTTTGAGTTCTTCATTGCAAGTGTATTTGGTCTGTTGAGGCCTCGTGTACATAAGTGACAGCCAGTTGAATGTGATAGGGGTCCAAATGTTTAAGGCTGGGGGAACAAACCTTGATAATGACCCTAGGTCTGGACGTCCCTCAACTTCCATCAATGAAGATTCAATCAAGGAGGTAGAAAAGTCTTCACGATCGGTGAAGAAAGTTATGGCCACTGTATTCTGGGGTGAAAAGTGTGTGATCCTTGTTTATTACTTAGAAAGTCAGAAGAGGATCACCGGTGCCTACTATGCTGATTTGCTTCATCGTTTGAGTACATTTAGGAGCCAAGAACCAACGAGATCCATGAACAAGCGTATCGCACATGGCATCGAGCATGGTATGTCAACTTGACTTTCTAGTCGGCGGTAAATTAATAATTTCCTCATTTTCAAACTATGGCAAAACTTATACTTGTAATTGTTTTCATGAAGTATGAAAAAACACGGATATTAAGAAAAGAGTAAAACATATGCTTTTACTAATTTAAATGTATTATTTTACAGGATTGATCAAGGCTCTTCATGAAGTGGACCTCGGTTCACAAGAACAACATCATCAAAAGGAGAGACTTCTCTTTCGATGAATTTGATGTATATGATGTCTAAATTGTCAAACTTGCTTTTAGCCCTGTCATTGGAATAAAAGTGGGTAAATTCACAGACAGCTTCCACTACTTGTGAACTTGGTGGGTACAGTACCTGCTCCTTTTTAATACTTGGTGTGTACTACTGAAGCTCCAAACCATCATTTTAAGAAGATGGTTATTTTGGTCACTGCTACTTTGTATATTGCATTCTATATGTATTCTGCATACTCGTACTTGAATGTATATACAAAATATATATCTAAATTCCCAAGTCTTCATCAATCATTGCCATAAAAACATTTTATTCGTTTATCTCTAAGTACATTGTATGACCATTATAGATATTGGACAGCAAGAATCTGAAAAGAAAGTCAAAATAGAACATTTACTCTTAGCAGAGGACTGCAGGTATAATGATCTTAATTTCCTCAGTAAAAATAGCTGATTTCTAACCAGTCAAGGGAGATTTTATCATAGTGCAATCACCTTACACTTTCTAATTTATCAGGTTACTTTTTTAAAATTAATCTTATAAATGGAAAATCCAATTTTAGATCAAGAAATATGTTGAACCTGCTGCGTTTTGAAGTATTTCTAGAATTCCTAGAACTAAAGTGTTGTGTTTCTTCTTTTGGGCTTGATGGTTATTTACTTTGCAAACTGGTTGTTGCTTGTCAAGGTGGAATATTTAAATGTAAAATATATTCATTTCAGTATCATGATTTCCAATGAAACATAATCATGACTGATTACTTTGGAGATGATTGTATCAAGAAATGAATGTTAAGAAAGTAATCATATTTGACAATTTTATTTGTATCATGACAACGTTCGCATTGACACACATGCAAATAGTTTCAATATTTATAAATAGTTTCAAAGGGAATGTTGTGGAAAAAGCACTCATAGCCGCTGAATGGCCTGGAACAGTTCTTTTTCTCCTTGAATACCTTAATGTCTTAGAAGCTGTTGTTCCTGCAAATCTTTTGGCTAAAGCACATACATTTTTGTGATATTATTATGATTTCCTTTCTACTAACTGGTTACTAGACCTACAAAGAAATAGGGGAAAATATTATTTTTAAAGAAACATGGTCTGCAGTCCCTATCACAACAAGTACTATCAAGTTGAAAGTGGGACACTGCCCTGTCAAGCAGATCACACTCTTGTCCTTTATTTGACCAGTTTTGCAACCCACATGTAGATTTCAATTAAGGAAATTTAAGTCTTCAGAAATGTTCAAGTCTAGATTGTCTTACGTGATCATCGAGTTGTTTACAGTATCACAAGCCGGGGGCAATTTCCGACATCATTTGTGGTTACCATACTCAACAATGATAACTATTGTTTTATATCTGTTTTCTGAGAAGGATAGCAAGTCGTATGCAATAGCTACAAAGGTATTTCTTGGAATGGCAAGTCAAGTGGTTCCTTCACTTCCTTTGGGGTGTGGTGTGTGAGGGAGAAGCGGTGGTGGTGGCGGCGGCAAGACGGATATAACACATTCCTCTCATAACGTTAATATTTTCCCACATTTGTGAATATGTATGTAGAGTGAATATAACAATAAAAAAGACTTTTGAGGGAGTATAATGTTAGCTTATTAATGACAGGCCCAACTAGTACTGATTTTGCTTTTCATTGTCTGTTAAATGCAAGTTTTATTCAAATATAATACTCTAAGCCACGTGAATATTCTCATATTAAGTGTCCATATAAAGTACCCTTAAACCACCCTATTTGTGTTATATATGACTTATTATTTGAAACATAAAATAAACCCTTTGAATTAATTACTACCTTATGTGGCACGTTGTGGTGTTATGTATACATACCATATATGTGAAGTCGTTGGGAAATAACTACTTCACCGTTGACAAAACCTGATGGTTAGCACAATTACAATTAAATATCTTGCTTCCAATTAAACGACCTAATGTATGTTGTGACGATAAACGGCAAATTTTCTCCTGTTTTTGCCCACAGCTTTGTCTAATGTCATTGGCCTATATATGACTACTTTTATGTGGCAATGCGGATCTGTCCAAGAATGCATCAATCACAGATTTGTTTTCATGGAAATAACTCATTTGATTGAGTTCTTTCCATCCACATTTTTTTTATGTAAATGTGGATGTAAACGAATTATGTAATTTTAAATATTTTCAGGAGCGTGCATTTTAAGTTGTTATAACTTTTACCCAATCCTTTTCACTTTCTGTGAATAAAATATGTTTAAATCACAAAGAAATCTCATATTTTTCAGATTTTTGTCCGAAATATGGCTGTTATTAGATGTGGCCGACGGCAGTTCGATTTGAACCTCATAACAGTTGAACCAGTTTTGTTTTTTTACACGTTGGGATTTTTTCTGAGAAACCCAACCTTCCAGGCCTTTGCGTACAACAAGATCTGCATTGACAGCTACAACGAGACTTTCTGTACCAGTTTGCAGAACAAGACATTCCAAGAGGACTACAAAACAGAAGAGGATTATGTCCAGTCTCAAACGTCCTACTGGATTTTGAAGAAAAATGTCGTGGAACTTCTTCCATCATGTTTGATTGTCCTGTTTATCCTCGGATCCTTGGGTGACAAAGTGGGTCGGAAACTACCAGTGATTTTACCCAGTTTGGGAGCAACATTGTCTTCCATTGTCTACTTGATTCTGTCAATTTACCCTTCGAGTAAAATGGAGTACTTCTTTATTGCTGCTGCAGTAAATGGCTTGTCCGGGGGTTACACGACCCTGCTTATGTCTGTGTACAGCTACGTGACGCACATTGCTGACCCCACCAATAGAACTGTGCGGGTAGGGATCCTGGAATCGATTATCTTCTTTGCTGGAACAGTTGGCGTCTTCGTATCGGGAGTCATGCTCGACAATACAAGCTTCGTATTCGTCTTCGCGTTCATCAGTGGAAGCTCCTTCTTGGGAATGTTATATGCCATCATACGTCTAGAGAACATCAGTTCCAACACAAGACCCGAGGGTGAAAGTATGTGCGCCTACTGGTGTCTGTCCTCCATCAAGGAGTCTGGTCGTTGTGTAATGAAGAAACGGCAAGAGAAGAGAAAACTCCATATCTTCTTACTTCTCATCATCTTTATCTTGTATGTTATCGCAACAGTGTGTGAGTACAAATTAAGTATTAATTCACAATCCTTATAAGTTAAAACCAGTACGCCTTTCTCATGGATTGATAGGTGATGTATTATACTATACTCTGCACAAAACGGAACAGAAACATTGTATATTTTATATATAATATAAATAAAAAGATGTTAATCGATTATTCAAAATTGTAACACTTCATAGTCATTGACCCATGGTCCATATGGCACACATGGAACAGTAGATGTTCAAGGTGAAGGTAATCTTTCCAAAATTTCTTGTATGGCCATGGGTTGCTGAAGACCTATTCTACCCCGGATCTTTACGGGTCTTGCCGTGAGGTCAGCCGTTCGCTTGTTGGAAAATGGGAAGGACGTGTGGCCTCATCCATTTAACGTTGTACTGTTAACTTCCCCAGACACTAGCACAAAGTCGGTTTTAACAGTGTAGGAGATGGTGGCCCACATCATCAGGCTACCACCACTTCCACACTGTCCATCTCCTGTATGAAGTTTCGTGTAAATTTTAAACACGACGTCTACAATCCACACAGCGAAGCATAAGAAGTGACTCGTCACTAAACCAAGCCTGTCTCTGTCGCAGTTGTGGTCATACTATGTGACATTGGACACCATTGACGTCGCATCCAATGATGCAGTTTCGTCAAAATGACACCTCGACTGGTCGTCTAGCGTGGCATATTTTCGCTGTTCACTTGCTGTAAGATTGTGATGACATGCAAATAAAACCCAACGCTTTTATATCCCAACAAGTGATGTTGCACGTGCGTGTCATGTCGGTGCCAGGCGCTCTCGTGGTTTGTGCGGGTTTTGCATCTTTGTCTGCAGTACTTTCCACACAAATCGAGTCAAATCCATGCAGAAATGACCAATAACCATTTTTGGTATTAATTCTGTATGGATTTCGGCAACACTTTTGCGTTTCTTTTTTTGCAGGAATATATACACAATGCCCACACAAATACATAGGTCACCTCTTGTCATGCTACAGGTGAAGTTGACGTCCTTCTCCTGTACACAAGGCGAGCACCTCTCAGCTGGTCACAGACAATGTTCGGTTACTATAAGGGTCTGGAGTACTTCACTCGCAGTCTTACCCTGGTCACAGTTATGCCTCTGTGCAGGAAGATGAGAGACACCACTTTAGGACTATGGGGCTTGGCGTCCAAGATCATCGGCCTGGTGGTCATGGGATTCAGTACACAGACATGGTTGTTGTTTCTAGGTAACTCGTAACAGCTTGAAATATATGTGCCATTTATGTTTGCTACATCCCCAATCACAAAGGTATGTCATTACTAATACAAAACGGAAAGTTCAATATTATTCACAAGAGAAGTGTTTGCTTTAAGCACATGCATCAAATGTATCTATCATAAACGCAATAGAAGTAACTAGAATCACGTCTTTTTATTTCAGTTGTGATATTTGCCATGTTTCAAGGCTTTCCAGCAGCTGTTGCTCGGTCACCATGTCCAGTATGGTCAGCCAGGCTGAACAAGGTAAGGTTAAAATCAAATCTCATATTGTAAAGATGGAACTGTGCAGTGTTTAGATCACATTTGATGCAGTAAACATAAAACGCTAAATCCAGAGCATAATCAGTCTTGATTATCAACCGAAACAGATTTCTCCGTGCGAAAAAGGCATTAAAGCGGTGAAATTTATATGAATGGATCACTGAGTGAGTGAGTGAGTGAGTGTGGTTTTACGCCGCTTTTAGCAATATTCCAGCAATATCACGGGGGGCTCCAGAAATGGTCTTCACACATTGTACCAAAGTCGGGAATCGAACCCGGGTCTCCTGCGTGACGAGTGAACGCTTTAACCATTAGGCTACCCGACCACCCCTGATCACGTACGACAATCTAGACTTGAACATTTCTGAAGACTTAAATTTCCTTAATTGAAATCTACATGTGGGTTGCAAAACTGGTCAAATAAAGGACAAGAGTGTGATCTGCTTGACAGGGCAGTGTCCCACTTTCAACTTGATAGTACTTGTTGTCTTCTGCGTGACGAGCGAACGCTTTAACCACTAGACTACCCGGTCGCCCCCGAATGGATCACTGAAAAACAGTGATGACTCCAGATGTCTGATTGAACATTGTAAGGCTCAGATCACATCTGATGTTCTTGGGTTCAACATGTCAAGTATGGTCAAACAGGGTAAGGAGTGTAAGTCGTAGGGTAACTGTGTTTCACTGTACTTTAAATATAATGAAACTGTTACAGTAAGTTGTGGAACAAGATCAGCATACTCTTGTTCAATATGTTCATTATCTGTTTCCAGGACGCCTGTTTGGAGTGGTTGCTGCCGTGGATAGCACTGGAGCCTTGTTGTCATCACTCATCTTCAATGGACTTTACCCAGCATCCCTTGCTTTCTTCCCAGGGTTCAGCTTCATTTTGGCTGCTGGTCTGTGTGTCATCGCCGCAGCCATCATGCTGTGAGTGATCATTGTAGCTTTGGATGATTAGCCAAGAAAATATGTTGACAAAGAAATCTTAAATACGATTAGTGAATTGTGTAATGTATATTTCAGAAATACATCTCAATGTTAAGCCCCTTCTGTACTTATAACGCAGGTGGCTACATGTGGATCTGAGAGAAAAGGCATTGGATGATACAACAACTGCAAAACCCAGGAGAGGAGACACAGATAACGTTAGCACAGGTACGTCATGTGGAGTTAGTGAAACATCCACGAATGTATGATGTACGTCCCGGTCAGCAATGTTTCAGCTTTATCATCCCCGTGTGCACCTCAGTAATTGAGTAGGCAACGATCACCAACAGGCTCACGAAACAGACCATTCAGTGTCCATTGTAGTCCCCATTCAGAACAAGTTTGCATTACTTAGGAATCTGACCAGTAGTCTTCAAGAGTAAGGGTGTCATCAGATCCATAAACAAGATACGGTGATATGCCTCTTTACGGTGCCTCTAAATGCCAATGAATGTATGTAATTAGGTCATACGTATCCCCCTTTGTTGATTCAACAGCTCAAATATTGTGTCTAAGTGGGACATTGGTGACAAGTGTCATTTGTTTTCACGGAAAGTTACAGACCACTAACATACAGTTACTTTTCAACACACCAATGTCCTTTCTAACCATATCCATTTGAATTAAGTACTCGTGTATTAGGGAATAAAATTGACAAGGATTCCCTGACTGTCCGTCAGATAGTAATTACTACAGTTGTGAAAATGATTGTACATACACGTTTAGTTTTACCCTGCAACCAGCGCTATACCCACTAGATCACGGCGGACTACAAATAACCAGGTTTGGACAAGACAATGTGTGTACATAACACTATCAACCAAGTCACTGCATCTGATCATCCGATCCATAAGTCGCCTAAATCATAAGTTACTTGGACGTATTCTTAGCGGTAAGATGGCTTTGTGGAAAGGGGCGCTGGAATCCACAAAGGGATACGTAAGTGTGTTGCGTTGTATATTTCTACGTTCCACAGGAAATGAATCAGTGCATGTATTTACAAAGACTAAACAAAGCAATTAATAGCAATGTGGGTACTTTTGTTTTGTTTCAGGGGACAGTAAGGCGGAGACTGTGATGACTCACATGTAAACAAAATCCTGATCATGCCACAAGCAGCTCAAGGGATGTCAGATCTTTACCTTAATAATTCAAATAGTTCAAATTAAGCGACGCACACCGGCCATAATGACACCACGCTCTGTAGATCATTGTTCGTGAAATAGACTATTGTGTATCGTAACGTTGTGCACTTAACGTCACAGCATTGGGTGACGTCACTGGCCATCATTGTTGACGTTATGTTGTCACTGTTGACCTACGAGACAGTTTTCAAAAAAATGAAGAAACATGTCTTCATTACTTACTTCATTTTCTTCATTATTTCAAGAGCTTAGATGGTAAAAAGATTATCTCATTAATGATTGTCTCCTGTAGACTCACAAAAAAACACCTCCGTTTCTGGTCTGGGATTATCTCCAGGAATAGATTATCTATCAGTGTCATCACCAGTAATACTTGTGGTAAAGTAATGTATTCTGACATAACTTGGTAAACGTTTAGCTACATTGAGCAGATAAAGAGCAATTGAGTAAGCATGTAAATGAAAACAGACATTTAAATCAAATCGGATATAAACCTGTTTCAAAATTGTTATACTTAATACAGTAATTACTGCCATGTTGTGTGTAATAGGATTCTTCTGCTACATTATAACTGGTGGCCTTGTTGATGAAAATGGTTCCAGTTTTAGGCAGTGTTCTGCTATTTTCGACATCGTTGGATATTGATTCACGTCAATATTGTACCTGAATTTGATTTGAACACTTCCTTTTGTTTTATGAAATTATTTTGCTTGTCCTACTTTCTTTGTTTGTCTGTCCAATCCTTTAAATCTGGTTGCTTTGAATCAAGAATTTAATGTATAATTTTCTCTGTCTTTGTCTTGTATTTTGTTTTGAATTTTTACACACACACACACACACACACACACACACACACACACACACACACACACACACACACACACACACACACACACACACACACACACACACATACACACACACACGTCTTCAGCAACCCATGCTTGCCGCAAAAGGTGACTGTGCTTGCAATGGGATCGGGTGGTCAGGTTCGCTGACTTGGTTGATGCATGTCATCGTATTCCAAAAGTGTGGATCGATACTCACGATGTCACTCACTTGATTGTCTGGTATTGATAAGATGACATTTCTATTTTCAACTGGGTTTTTTTCAAAACCATTTGCTTTGTACCATAGCCACTACAATCTTTTAAAGCTGTTTTACTTACTTCCAAATGGTTAACTCACTTCATTTACCCTCTTATATGAAATACATGGTTATATATGTTTGTATGCTTTTTCAAAGAATTTCTAAATAATATCCCATTAAGTTGTTGTTACCATTACTTGTTTGAGCAAACCAACATGAGCAAACCAATCTTCTCACTGCATATAATTCAGAGGTGCTTACAAATCATTACTGTGTGGTGTTCGAAAAGGGGTCTAAACTTCCCCAGTCATAATCTGTTGAAATGATTATAACCAGACATAAATATTCCTCAAATACAGAGCTAACTGCATGTGACCACAAAATAGAAATTGTACGCGCGTTTAAAGTTTGTTGGTGTTTATTTCGGCCAGAGACTAACAAGAGGTTCTCACATATCTCATGTGGTGAAGAGACTAACAAGAGGTTCTCACATATCTCATGTGGTGAACAAATGCAGTAAGGTTATACGAAGGCTGGTCAAAAAGTTCTAAGCCTGACTAACTTTCAACTATGGGCCATAAGAAAGTGAAGTACTCAACGTAGAACATTGTTTGAGTTCTTCATTGCAAGTGTATTTGGTCTGTTGAGGCCTCGTGTACATAAGTGACAGCCAGTTGAATGTGATAGGGGTCCAAATGTTTAAGGCTGGGGGAACAAACCTTGATAATGACCCTAGGTCTGGACGTCCCTCAACTTCCATCAATGAAGATTCAATCAAGGAGGTAGAAAAGTCTTCACGATCGGTGAAGAAAGTTATGGCCACTGTATTCTGGGGTGAAAAGTGTGTGATCCTTGTTTATTACTTAGAAAGTCAGAAGAGGATCACCGGTGCCTACTATGCTGATTTGCTTCATCGTTTGAGTACATTTAGGAGCCAAGAACCAACGAGATCCATGAACAAGCGTATCGCACATGGCATCGAGCATGGTATGTCAACTTGACTTTCTAGTCGGCGGTAAATTAATAATTTCCTCATTTTCAAACTATGGCAAAACTTATACTTGTAATTGTTTTCATGAAGTATGAAAAAACACGGATATTAAGAAAAGAGTAAAACATATGCTTTTACTAATTTAAATGTATTATTTTACAGGATTGATCAAGGCTCTTCATGAAGTGGACCTCGGTTCACAAGAACAACATCATCAAAAGGAGAGACTTCTCTTTCGATGAATTTGATGTATATGATGTCTCAATTGTCAAACTTGCTTTTAGCCCTGTCATTGGAATAAAAGTGGGTAAATTCACAGACAGCTTCCACTACTTGTGAACTTGGTGGGTACAGTACCTGCTCCTTTTTAATACTTGGTGTGTACTACTGAAGCTCCAAACCATCATTTTAAGAAGATGGTTATTTTGGTCACTGCTACTTTGTATATTGCATTCTATATGTATTCTGCATACTCGTACTTGAATGTATATACAAAATATATATCTAAATTCCCAAGTCTTCATCAATCATTGCCATAAAAACATTTTATTCGTTTATCTCTAAGTACATTGTATGACCATTATAGATATTGGACAGCAAGAATCTGAAAAGAAAGTCAAAATAGAACATTTACTCTTAGCAGAGGACTGCAGGTATAATGATCTTAATTTCCTCAGTAAAAATAGCTGATTTCTAACCAGTCAAGGGAGATTTTATCATAGTGCAATCACCTTACACTTTCTAATTTATCAGGTTACTTTTTTAAAATTAATCTTATAAATGGAAAATCCAATTTTAGATCAAGAAATATGTTGAACCTGCTGCGTTTTGAAGTATTTCTAGAATTCCTAGAACTAAAGTGTTGTGTTTCTTCTTTTGGGCTTGATGGTTATTTACTTTGCAAACTGGTTGTTGCTTGTCAAGGTGGAATATTTAAATGTAAAATATATTCATTTCAGTATCATGATTTCCAATGAAACATAATCATGACTGATTACTTTGGAGATGATTGTATCAAGAAATGAATGTTAAGAAAGTAATCATATTTGACAATTTTATTTGTATCATGACAACGTTCGCATTGACACACATGCAAATAGTTTCAATATTTATAAATAGTTTCAAAGGGAATGTTGTGGAAAAAGCACTCATAGCCGCTGAATGGCCTGGAACAGTTCTTTTTCTCCTTGAATACCTTAATGTCTTAGAAGCTGTTGTTCCTGCAAATCTTTTGGCTAAAGCACATACATTTTTGTGATATTATTATGATTTCCTTTCTACTAACTGGTTACTAGACCTACAAAGAAATAGGGGAAAATATTATTTTTAAAGAAACATGGTCTGCAGTCCCTATCACAACAAGTACTATCAAGTTGAAAGTGGGACACTGCCCTGTCAAGCAGATCACACTCTTGTCCTTTATTTGACCAGTTTTGCAACCCACATGTAGATTTCAATTAAGGAAATTTAAGTCTTCAGAAATGTTCAAGTCTAGATTGTCTTACGTGATCATCGAGTTGTTTACAGTATCACAAGCCGGGGGCAATTTCCGACATCATTTGTGGTTACCATACTCAACAATGATAACTATTGTTTTATATCTGTTTTCTGAGAAGGATAGCAAGTCGTATGCAATAGCTACAAAGGTATTTCTTGGAATGGCAAGTCAAGTGGTTCCTTCACTTCCTTTGGGGTGTGGTGTGTGAGGGAGAAGCGGTGGTGGTGGCGGCGGCAAGACGGATATAACACATTCCTCTCATAACGTTAATATTTTCCCACATTTGTGAATATGTATGTAGAGTGAATATAACAATAAAAAAGACTTTTGAGGGAGTATAATGTTAGCTTATTAATGACAGGCCCAACTAGTACTGATTTTGCTTTTCATTGTCTGTTAAATGCAAGTTTTATTCAAATATAATACTCTAAGCCACGTGAATATTCTCATATTAAGTGTCCATATAAAGTACCCTTAAACCACCCTATTTGTGTTATATATGACTTATTATTTGAAACATAAAATAAACCCTTTGAATTAATTACTACCTTATGTGGCACGTTGTGGTGTTATGTATACATACCATATATGTGAAGTCGTTGGGAAATAACTACTTCACCGTTGACAAAACCTGATGGTTAGCACAATTACAATTAAATATCTTGCTTCCAATTAAACGACCTAATGTATGTTGTGACGATAAACGGCAAATTTTCTCCTGTTTTTGCCCACAGCTTTGTCTAATGTCATTGGCCTATATATGACTACTTTTATGTGGCAATGCGGATCTGTCCAAGAATGCATCAATCACAGATTTGTTTTCATGGAAATAACTCATTTGATTGAGTTCTTTCCATCCACATTTTTTTTATGTAAATGTGGATGTAAACGAATTATGTAATTTTAAATATTTTCAGGAGCGTGCATTTTAAGTTGTTATAACTTTTACCCAATCCTTTTCACTTTCTGTGAATAAAATATGTTTAAATCACAAAGAAATCTCATATTTTTCAGATTTTTGTCCGAAATATGGCTGTTATTAGATGTGGCCGACGGCAGTTCGATTTGAACCTCATAACAGTTGAACCAGTTTTGTTTTTTTACACGTTGGGATTTTTTCTGAGAAACCCAACCTTCCAGGCCTTTGCGTACAACAAGATCTGCATTGACAGCTACAACGAGACTTTCTGTACCAGTTTGCAGAACAAGACATTCCAAGAGGACTACAAAACAGAAGAGGATTATGTCCAGTCTCAAACGTCCTACTGGATTTTGAAGAAAAATGTCGTGGAACTTCTTCCATCATGTTTGATTGTCCTGTTTATCCTCGGATCCTTGGGTGACAAAGTGGGTCGGAAACTACCAGTGATTTTACCCAGTTTGGGAGCAACATTGTCTTCCATTGTCTACTTGATTCTGTCAATTTACCCTTCGAGTAAAATGGAGTACTTCTTTATTGCTGCTGCAGTAAATGGCTTTTCGGGGGTTACACGACCCTGCTTATGTCTGTGTACAGCTACGTGACGCACATTGCTGACCCCACCAATAGAACTGTGCGGGTAGGGATCCTGGAATCGATTATCTTCTTTGCTGGAACAGTTGGCGTCTTCGTATCGGGAGTCATGCTCGACAATACAAGCTTCGTATTCGTCTTCGCGTTCATCAGTGGAAGCTCCTTCTTGGGAATGTTATATGCCATCATACGTCTAGAGAACATCAGTTCCAACACAAGACCCGAGGGTGAAAGTATGTGCGCCTACTGGTGTCTGTCCTCCTTTAAGGAGTCTGGTCGTTGTGTAATGAAGAAACGGCAAGAGAAGAGAAAACTCCATATCTTCTTACTTCTCATCATCTTTATCTTGTATGTTATCGCAACAGTGTGTGAGTACAAATTAAGTATTAATTCACAATCCTTATAAGTTAAAACCAGTACGCCTTTCTCATGGATTGATAGGTGATGTATTATACTATACTCTGCACAAAACGGAACAGAAACATTATTTTAGATTTATATTTTATATATAATATAAATAAAAAGATGTTAATCGATTATTCAAAATTGTAACACTTCGTAGTCATTGACCCATGGTCCATATGGCACACATGGAACAGTAGTATTCAAGGTGAAGGTAATCTTTCCAAAATTTCTTGTATGGCCATGGGTTGCTGAAGACCTATTCTACCCCGGATCTTTACGGGTCTTGCCGTGAGGGCAGCCGTTCGCTTGTTGGAAAATGGGAAGGACGTGTGGCCTCATCCATTTAACGTTGTACTGTTAACTTCCCCAGACACTAGCACAAAGTCGGTTTTAACAGTGTAGGAGATGGTGGCCCACATCATCAGGCTACCACCACTTCCACACTGTCCATCTCCTGTATGAAGTTTCGTGTAAATTTTAAACACGACGTCTACAATCCACACAGCGAAGCATAAGAAGTGACTCGTCACTAAACCAAGCCTGTCTCTGTCGCAGTTGTGGTCATACTATGTGACATTGGACACCATTGACGTCGCATCCAATGATGCAGTTTCGTCAAAATGACACCTCGACTGGTCGTCTAGCGTGGCATATTTTCGCTGTTCACTTGCTGTAAGATTGTGATGACATGCAAATAAAACCCAACGCTTTTATATCCCAACAAGTGATGTTGCACGTGCGTGTCATGTCTGTGCCAGGCGCTCTCGTGGTTTGTGCGGGTTTTGCATCTTTGTCTGCAGTACTTTCCACACAAATCGAGTCAAATCCATGCAGAAATGACCAATAACCATTTTTGGTATTAATTCTGTATGTATTTCGGCAACACTTTTGCGTTTCTTTTTTTGCAGGAATATATACACAATGCCCACACAAATACATAGGTCACCTCTTGTCATGCTACAGGTGAAGTTGACGTCCTTCTCCTGTACACAAGGCGAGCACCTCTCAGCTGGTCACAGACAATGTTTGGTTACTATAAGGGTCTGGAGTACTTCACTCGCAGTCTTACCCTCGTCACAGTTATGCCTCTGTGCAGGAAGATGAGAGACACCACTTTAGGACTATGGGGCTTGGCGTCCAAGATCATCGGCCTGGTGGTCATGGGATTCAGTACACAGACATGGTTGTTGTTTCTAGGTAACTCGTAACAGCTTGAAATATATGTGCCATTTATGTTTGCTACATCCCCAATCACAAAGGTATGTCATTACTAATACAAAACGGAAAGTTCAATATTATTCACAAGAGAAGTGTTTGCTTTAAGCACATGCATCAAATGTATCTATCATAAACGCAATAGAAGTAACTAGAATCACGTCTTTTTATTTCAGTTGTGATATTTGCCATGTTTCAAGGCTTTCCAGCAGCTGTTGCTCGGTCACTCATGTCCAGTATGGTCAGCCAGGCTGAACAAGGTAAGGTTAAAATCAAATCTCATATTGTAAAGATGGAACTGTGCAGTGTTTAGATCACATTTGATGCAGTAAACATAAAACGCTAAATCCAGAGCATAATCAGTCTTGATTATCAACCGAAACAGATTTCTCCGTGCGAAAAAGGCATTAAAGCGGTGAAATTTATATGAATGGATCACTGAGTGAGTGAGTGAGTGAGTGTGGTTTTACGCCGCTTTTAGCAATATTCCAGCAATATCACGGGGGGCTCCAGAAATGGTCTTCACACATTGTACCAAAGTCGGGAATCGAACCCGGGTCTCCTGCGTGACGAGTGAACGCTTTAACCATTAGGCTACCCGACCACCCCTGATCACGTACGACAATCTAGACTTGAACATTTCTGAAGACTTAAATTTCCTTAATTGAAATCTACATGTGGGTTGCAAAACTGGTCAAATAAAGGACAAGAGTGTGATCTGCTTGACACTTTCAACTTTCAACTTGATAGTACTTGTTGTCTTCTGCGTGACGAGCGAACGCTTTAACCACTAGACTACCCGGTCGCCCCCGAATGGATCACTGAAAAACAGTGATGACTCCAGATGTCTGATTGAACATTGTAAGGCTCAGATCACATCTGATGTTCTTGGGTTCAACATGTCAAGTATGGTCAAACAGGGTAAGGAGTGTAAGTCGTAGGGTAACTGTGTTTCACTGTACTTTAAATATAATGAAACTGTTACAGTAAGTTGTGCAACAAGATCAGCATACTCTTGTTCAATATGTTCATTATCTGTTTCCAGGACGCCTGTTTGGAGTGGTTGCTGCCGTGGATAGCACTGGAGCCTTGTTGTCATCACTCATCTTCAATGGACTTTACCCAGCATCCCTTGCTTTCTTCCCAGGGTTCAGCTTCATTTTGGCTGCTGGTCTGTGTGTCATCGCCGCAGCCATCATGCTGTGAGTGATCATTGTAGCTTTGGATGATTAGCCAAGAAAATATGTTGACAAAGAAATCTTAAATACGATTAGTGAATTGTGTAATGTATATTTCAGAAATACATCTCAATGTTAAGCCCCTTCTGTACTTATAACGCAGGTGGCTACATGTGGATCTGAGAGAAAAGGCATTGGATGATACAACAACTGCAAAACCCAGGAGAGGAGACACAGATAACGTTAGCACAGGTACGTCATGTGGAGTTAGTGAAACATCCACGAATGTATGATGTACGTCCCGGTCAGCAATGTTTCAGCTTTATCATCCCCGTGTGCACCTCAGTAATTGAGTAGGCAACGATCACCAACAGGCTCACGAAACAGACCATTCAGTGTCCATTGTAGTCCCCATTCAGAACTAGTTTGCATTACTTAGGAATCTGACCAGTAGTCTTCAAGAGTAAGGGTGTCATCAGATCCATAAACAACATACGGTGATATGCCTCTTTACGGTGCCTCTAAATGCCAATGAATGTATGTAATTAGGTCATACGTATCCCCCTTTGTTGATTCAACAGCTCAAATATTGTGTCTAAGTGGGACATTGGTGACAAGTGTCATTTGTTTTCACGGAAAGTTACAGACCACTAACATACAGTTATTTTTCAACACACCAATGTCCTTTCTAACCATATCAATTTGAATTAAGTACTCATGCATTAGGGAATAAAATTGACGAGGATTCCCTGACTGTCCGTCAGATAGTAATTACTACAGTTGTGAAAATGATTGTACATACACATGTTTAGTTTTACACTGCAACCAGCTCTATACCCACTAGATCACGGCGGTCTACAAATAACCAGGTTTGGACAAGACAATATGTGTACGATAACACTATCAACCAAGTCACTACATCTGACCATCCGATCCACAAGTCGCCTAAATCATAAGTTACTTGGACGTATTCTTAGCGGTAAGATGGCTTTGTGGAAAGGGGCGCTGGAATCCACAAAGGGATACGTAAGGGTGTTGCGTTGTATATTTCTACGTTCCACAGGAAATGAATCAGTGCATGTATTTACAAAGACTAAACAAAGCATTTATAAGTAATGTGGGTACTTTGTTTTGTTTCAGGGGACAGTAAGGCGGAGACTGTGATGACTCACATGTAAACAAAATCCTGATTATGCCACAAGCAGCTCAAGGGATGTCAGATCTTTACCTTAATAATTCAAATAGTTCAAATTAAGCGACGCACACCGGCCATAATGACACCACGCTCTGTGGATCATTGTTCGTGTGCTGTTACGTCACAGTATTTGGTGACGTCACTGGCCATCATTGTTGACGTTATGTTGTCACTGTTGACCTACGAGACAGTTTTCAAAAAATGGAGAAAAATGTCTTCATTACTTACTTCATTGTCTTCATTATTTCAAGAGCTTAGATGGTAAAAGGATTATCACATTAATGATTGTCTCCTGCAGACTCACAAAAACCACCACCTCCGTTTCTGGTCTGGGATTATCTCCAGGAAAAGATTATCTATCAGTGTCATCACCAGTTATACTTGTGGTAAAGTAATGTATTCTGACATAATTTGGTAAACGTTTAGCTACATTGAGCAGATAAAGAGCAATTGAGTAAGCATGTAAATGAAAACAGACATTTAAATCAAATCGGATATAAACCTGTATCAAAATTGTTATACTTAAGACAGTAATTACTGCCATTTTGTGTGTAATGGATTTCTTCTGCTACATTAAGCATCTACGCAACTGGTGGCCTTGTTGATGAAAATGGTTCCAGTTTTAGGCAGTGTTCTGCTATTTTTGACATCGTTGGATATTGATTCACGTCAATATTGTACCTGAAAAGAAACACAAACTGTCGTAAGTCTATGTTAAAGTATGGGAGTTACGATTTTTTAAGCGCTACGACTGTCGTAAGTCTATGTTAAAGTATGGGAGTTACGATTTGCTAAGCGCTACAACCACTTGATGATGTGGTTAACAAATTTGGTCGCTTTCTTCTTAATTTATGTTATGTATATAACCTGTATATCATGAATGGCAGAGTGAATGGCGACAGAAGTGGTGAACTAACATGTGAAAGTAGTAATGGCAGTAGCACTGTTGACTGTTTTATAGCGTCAGCTGAATTCTTCAGATTTGTTGATTGCCTAACTGTTGGGGAGAGCACAGACTCCGACCACTCTCCTTTAGAACTACAGTGTGCATTTTATAATCCTGTATCGGAACCATTATCAGAGGATATATTTTCAGACAGTTTTAGTAGGAATTAATCTAAAAATCCTGACTTCTTACGATGTCTAAGCAATACTTTTGATGAGTTGTCTGACACCCTGTTTCATATTTTGAGGAGTAATATGCATGATGCGGTCGATCTTTTTATAAACATTCTTTTGGAGTCCGGCAAATGTATGAAACGACGCTCGTGTTCAAATTTAGTTCCTAAAAAGCTGTTCAGTTTAAACGGTAAATGTAAAGAACAAATGAGATCAGCCAGAAGAGCCCTTCGCGAGTTTCGTCGAAATAGATCAGAACTAAATAGAAGAAATTATTGTAAACTAAGAAACATATATAAAACAGAATGCAGACAACACCTTAACTCTTTAAGACATCTGAAATTGAATAAGTTAACCAACTCACCAAAGAACTCAAAGCATTTTTTGAAAGAGATAAAATCATTACGTAATCCGGTCATTGCACGTAATATAATTACAGGTCCTGAATGACTTCTCCATTTCAAACAGGTTTTTGGAAATAACCATATTTTCGACGATAACATCCATGCTGTTGTTAATGATGTAAATTTATCTGATGTTGAGCGAGATATTTTAGAATCGGAAATTGAAGTCGCTGAAATACACGATGCTATTAATACACTTAAATCAGGTAAATCTCCAGGCCCTGATGATGTCCTAGCTGAAATGTTAAAAAGTTCAAAACATATCATTACTCCCTTTTTGCACAAATGTTTTAACGAAATATTCAGAAAGGGTATATTCCAAAATGCATGGTCCAGATCTGTCATTGTTCCTGTATTTTAAAAGGGAGACGTGACCAACCCCCATAACTATAGAGCAATTTCTCTAACAAGCATTTTAGGTAAACTGTTTGCTATAATTCTGTTATAGTGGTCCTATTATTCGAAATGGTTCACAGAATTGAAGTTGAAACATAATATTTCAATAACTAAAATCGATTACGTTAGGTTGTAATATTCTAAAAATACAAATAATACAGTGTGTTTGGCGAAAGGCTTATGAAAGTTGCAACGGGTAAAGGAGTCCATGGAGTACAATAAAAATATGCCGCTGGACATTTAAACAATGCTCCTCTAGTGGACATTTAAACAATGCTCCTCTCACAGTGTCTACAGTTAATCCGTACCGTGTCATATCAATACAATGCGCCAGTGACCAGGATGCGCAACACTCAGGACGATAGATCAAGTCAATCGTCAGCGCCGCCGGCTTATTCAGATAATCCGCTTTGTTTTAATAAACACGGTAGACATTAGTTGGGTAACTTTATGAGAAAATTGTCTAAACCAGGCACAACACACAAAAACACAATGTCACCTTTATTATAAAAACAATAAAGTATTATTTCAAATCTTAACTACTCAGAGTTAGCTGTATGTCCGCCTGCTATATAAACCGATGCAGTGTGACCCAAGGTCACATTGTATCTGGAATAAAGCTCGGAACTACAGCTATCTCTGATGTCATCTTTCATTAGGAATTTCCATATTCTATTTTAAGGTAAGACATTTTATGTGTTGTTTCTGATATGTGAACTAGACTTTTGTTACATGTATTTTATGTTATTTGTGTAGAATTGTGTTGTGTATATATTCCTTCTTTAACTTACAAATAAGATCTTTTTAAAAATCATCAATGTACAAAATCATTTTATTAAAGATTTCTCTATAGTGCGCACATAATATATTTGTTCAAAATAATGAATCATTCTCTAAAAGAATAAATGTGAAAGTAACTGAAATTGCATTTGTTAATTACAATATTCTAGTTTATCTATTATTTCTGAAATTGGGTTGTTGCAATTGCATATCATTTACATAAGTTAATAATCTTTCAGGTAATTCAGGAAGAAAGTTCTTTTTGTGTAAAAGTCTTTGTGTAACATTGTGAACAAAAGTAGCATTATATTTCACGACTCTCTTTCCTAATTAAGCATCGTAAGTCAGCATTATTCATTGTAATTTCCATGTACACTTAGTGTGTAATGTTATATGCAAAAATACTCATTTTAGAGTTCTGCATAAAAATAACATATTGTACCTTTATATTACTGTAAAGACGGTAATACACCGACAGTGTTACCGTATTGTATATATAGTAAGGTCTACATTATGGTGACATATACAATTCAGCTGACAGAGTTAAAATTATATATAATGACGCTGTACTGTACCGTGTAAGCTTGTGTGTCCTGTATGAAATAAATCCTGGTATGGTTTTAAATATTAAGTACAAGTTTTTGACATCTATCGTTTTAGAGTATTAAATGTTTATAGACTTATCTAAGCTGTAAGTATTATGTTATTGATAAGAAATTATTGTGATGCTGTTTATGATGTGAATTGTTGTTTGACACATTGTATCTGGAATAAAGCTCGGAACTACAGCTATCTCTGATGTCATCTTTCATTAGGAATTTCCATATTCTATTTTAAGGTATTTTAGTCACGTGAACAGCACTTGTTCAACTGGTGTGAGAACCAAAAGATCCCAGACCTACCAATGCCGGCTGCTAAAGGAGCAACACCAACAGTATTTCCCTACGATCTCCGGAATCAGCAACACAGGGAAACATCAGGAGGTCCCAGCTCTACCAACACTTCAGAAGCTATTCCCCCAAACAACGACATAGAAGAAACCAACAACCCTTCTGCACAAGTTGACACAGTGGTACAAAGCTCTCTCCAAGTATCAGAAGAAGAACCAGCCATGTCTACAGACAAGCTTCGTATTGACAAATATTCAGGTGAACCTGGTACAAACTTCACTATGTGGCTCCAAAGGCTTCAGTATAACTTTAATATGTTAAGATATAATGAAGAGCAGAAGAAGTTTTTCTTAAGAAATTCCCTCATAGGGTCAGCTACATCATAGTTTGACTCCTTAGGACTAGACTATGGTCAGACAACGACTGACCAGTTTATTGAACTATTACGTGAACGCTTTGGCCCCTACAAGGCATTTGATACCTCTGTCCTAGAATTTTCTCAGCAAACAAATGAAAGTGTAGACCAGTATTTAGACAGAGTTCAGATTCAAATTGTAGGATATGATGTTCCTAGCATTGTTGTCATACCATTTGCAATCAAAGGGCTTAAATCAGAACTCAGAATGTGGGTGTAAAGCAAATCTCCTAAATCACTCCAAGGAGTCAGGCAGCAGACCAGAATTGCAGAACAAGATACTCAGCAGACGGACGCTGTGTCGGCAGCAGCAATGGCCATCAAGAAGATGCTCATAGACCAGCCCCAGCACCAGCACCAGTCTGTTCAACCCATCACAAGAAGAAATCTTCATCCCAAGAAACAAAGTGCTAGGAACAGTCTGTCATGTTCAGGAGGATGCAATTCACACGCTTTCGGATCCACCAGGAACCGACAGACAGCCATCTGTAAACATTGTTGACAGCTCAAAGGTTAGTGCTAAGGATAGTATCCAGTTTGACTTAACTGATTCAGATCTATCCGATTCTGAGAAGCAACAGCTCCAAGAGCTCCTGCAGACACAGAGAGATGTTTTTGCAACAGACTGGAATGAATTAGGTAAGACTAATCTCCATTATCATGAGATAGCCACAGGTCAAGCTGAACCCGTCAGGATGCCATTCTATAGACAATCTGTGGAGGTAAGACAAGAATGTGCCAGACAGGTAGAGCACATGCTGGAAGCAGGTATCATAGAACCTAGTAACTCTCAATGGCGTTCTCCAGTGGTAATGGTTAAAAAGAGGATTCCACTTACAGATTTGCCGTAGATTACCGCAAACTTAATGCCATTACAAAACCTATTTACTACCTCTTCCCAGATTTGATGATGTATTAGACACAGTTGGTCAAATTCAAGCAAAACTTTTTACTCTTTTGGACTGTGCAAGTGGATTCTGGCAAATACCATTACATCCGAATTCCAAACACAAATCTGCCTTCATCACTCAAGATGGTATTTTCGAATTTAACCGTCTACCTTTTGGCTTAAAGAATGCATCAATGGCATTTCAGTCCACTTTGGCTCAGGCTCTCAGAGATATCAATTGGAAATTTGTCCTAATTTATATTGATGATTTGATCATCTTCTCTAAAACATTCTCTGAACATCTAAATCATCTGAAAGCAGTCTTTTCCAAATTGAAAGAAGCCGGGTTGACCCTAAAACCAAGCAAATGTAAATTTGCAGCTAAAAAAGTGACCTATCTTGGGCACATTTTTTCAAGGGATGGTATTGCCGTGGATCCAGACAAAATTGATTCGGTAAATTCTTTTCCAATTCCTTCATCACAACAAGTGCGACAATGTCTTGGGTTGGCAAATTACTATAGAAAATTTGTTGCAAATTATTCAAAAATTGCTGTGCCACTTACACGGTTACTGCAAAAAGATTCAAAATTTGAATGGTCTCCAAACTGTCAAAAAGCTTTTGAGCGTCTCAAATCTGCATTAACAAATGCTCCAGTACTTGCCTACCGAGACTTTGATAGGTCCTTCATCCTAACAATTGAAGCTAGTGGAGAAGCCCTTGGAAACATCCTTGGTCAAAAGGATGATGCAGGCCATGAACATGTCATAGCATATGGAGGTCGTTCCTTACACCCTTGTGAAAGAAAATGGTCGGTTACTGAACAAGAATGCCTAGCAATTCTTGAAGGAATCAAGACTTTTAGGCCATATTTAACAAGCAAGAAATTCAAGATTTTCACAGATCATAAAGCTTTGGCATATATTCCAACCATTAAACACAGTGGCACAGGTCGTCTTTCACGTTGGGCATTATTCCTCCAAGGTTATGATTTTGAAGTGTACCATCGAGCAGGTAAGGCAAACCAGAATGCTGATGCTCTCTTAAGAAGAAAGTACCCTGAGCAAAAGAAACCATTTGATTCTGATGACTTCCCATGTCTGGCGCCAACAGTCTCAGAGATCCAATCACAGAAGGAGGAACAAGGTGAACTCATTGAAGTAACCTTCGGCTACACAGACAAACTGCAACTAATAGGAGCTGTTGATGTCAATGAGGATCAAGTTCCACCAGAGGTAAGTCAACGCCAAAGACAGTGCCCTGATTTTATTCCCATCTTCAACTACAAGGAGAAGAAAGAAATTCCAGCCCATTACACAGAAGCCAAAATCAAAGGACTCGTTGGACATGCCATGGAATATGACATAGTTAACAACACCCTATACCACATCTACTATCCAAAGCACAGAGGCTCAAAACCAGGAAGACCAGCTTCAATCTCTCAGCTGGCCGTTCCAACAGAAAATACCACAACTCTAAGGTAGGAGGATGTCATCTCGGTCACGACTCCACAAGACATGCCATCCAACGAAAATTCTTCTGGCCATCCATGTATCAAGATATCGAGGACTACATCAAGACGTGTGACATTTGCCAAAGGTGTAAGCCATTTCAACACAGAAAAGTAGCACCAATGGTACCAATCCCAATCGATGGAACGTTTGAGCGCCTACATGTTGATATCCTTGGACAATTGCCCAAAACGAAGAAAGGTAGCAAATACATCCTCCTGGCCATCGATTTCTTATACCAGATGGACTGAAAGCTTTCCAATGAAAACATTAGAAGCCACAGAAGTTGCAGATTTATTGGTTAAAGAAGTCTTCACAAGGTATGGTGCTCCCAGAAGTTTGGTTACAGACAGAGGACGACAGTTCACTTCCAAGTTGGTCAATGCCATTTGTGAGATCTTTGAAGTGAAGCATCATTACTCATCCCCATATCACCCTCAAACTAATGGAGTCTGTGAGCGGAAAAAATAGAGATATTGCTCAAATCTTGAAAATCTACACAAATGCTCAGCAGGATATTTGGGATGAAATTTTACCATTCGTCATGATGTCCATCAGAAGCAGCCCAAATCAGTCATCAGGTTATTCTCCACACTACCTCCTCTTCGGTCGAGAGATGCTGTTACCCTATGATGTCACTATTCTGCCAAAGGACACACTAGGTAAAGAGGCTAAGGACCATTTGAATGAACTTCTGGATCACCTGAAGGTCACAAGAACAAGGCAGAACTTGGAGGCAAGTCAAGAATTATCCAAGAATAGGTATGATCTCAAAGCTAGCCCTCCAAAATTTGGAGTGGGTGATATGGTACTCCTTCACACATCTGTAGTACAAAAAGGCTTAAGTAGTAAGCTTACTAAGCACTTTATTGGGCCCTTCACCATTCAGGAGCTCGGACCCAACCATACCTACAAACTTCAAGACTGCAAGACACTGAAGATTCTGAAAAACCTGATCAATTACAATCGTTTGAAGTTTTATCATCAGAGGCAGCCAGAAGATGATGTCCTTTCACCCCATCGGTAACAGGAACACCAAACCCAGGATGTAGACCAACAACAACCACAACCAGCAAGCCAACAACAGCCTCAGGATGTAGACCAGCAGCAACCTCAACAAGTAAACCAACAACAGAGTCAGCATCAAGTTCAACCAAACACTGATTTACCAGATGCCAACATCCAAAATGATCAGCAAGATCAGAGTAATTCAGATGACCAAACATACAACTTTGACCGTATCATGAAAAGAAGAACACAAAAAAGTCAAGACAGAATACCTCATCAAATGGACAGGATACAGAGCAACATGGCAACCAGAAGAGGACATTCCCATACAATTTAGAGATAACTTCAATGCAACACATCATGCCAATGGTCGAAAGAGAAAAAAGAAGCACAAGAAGATGTTCTTCAGAAGGAACTAAGCAGCACAACCCTTCTTCTGAGCCACCTTGACCTATTTAACACTTCATATTCTCCAACTTTCTACTAACACAATTTGTAACTTAATGGGATGAGATAAGCCTCAAATTACACGGAAGTGTGTTCATTAGTGCTAGGAGATAGAGTTGGCCCCTCTTCTCCACTTTTTGACTTATCTCACTCTGTTATTTTATATCCTGCAGGTACTCTGACACTCTGGAACTTTCTATCACTCCTATGGCTCGTGTTGCTAGTCCCTACCATGGCAGCTTCTACTCCCAATGACCAGGACATCATCCAAAGAATTAACTATGGAGTCATCTTCCAACCTATGACCAAAGTTCAATTTGCAACAGAATATTGGCTTCATACTTACCAGCTTGATATTCCATCCTCATTTCACCTTAAGGCAATCAGAGGATGTTATCACAATAACTCCACTTGTCAATTAGTAAAATTATTCCAATCACAGGTCAATTCTATCAAGATGAGGTGTTCAACCATGCTCAATGAAACATTATTTCAAATCAATCAATTATTACCCACCACATTTTCCCCAAAAGGACAACGATCCAAGCTGGCACTATTGGGTTTCATTGGACATCTTTCCAAATCACTTTTTGGAACAGCAACATCTGATGATGTAAACATCTTAGCAAAGCATATAAATGCACTAACAAAACATGAATCTATTATAGGCAATGCACTAACAGAACATCAACACAAACTAACATCCTTCATGGCAAGTGTAGACACAAGGTTTACAAATGCTCTTAGTGGTATAAAACTTAACCATGAAGAAATTAAATATGCTACAGCAAGCATTCAAGAATCGTTTCAAAATCTCAAAAATGCATATATTTCCCTTTCAAGTGTTATCCTTCACCAAATTGAGCAAGCTGCTCTCATTGAACACAAACTGCAGGAATTTAAATTTGGTGTTCTTGACCTAGTTCAAGGCAAATTATCCCCACTATTGATTTCACCTGCAATCTTGACTACAACTATTAATCATATCAAACATATACTGCACAACAAATACAATGGCTTCAAATTATTAGACGGTAATACCAATTTCTATTACAATCATGGTAAATTTCTTTATGCCAAAACCAAATCTAACAAACTGTATGTTACTGTAAAATTTCCTTTAGCTGCTTCCGACACTACCTTTAATTTATATAGAATCGTTTCCTTGCCCATTCCCGTAAATGAATCTACCAGCCATGCTACTCAATTACTTAATCTTTCACCCTTAATTGCGATATCTACTAACAAACAATTCTCAACAATCCTGGATTCCGAACAGTTATCCCAATGCTATGGTTCTGATACCTTACATTGTCCCTTTCGCATGTCTCTGCAAACTAGAACGCACACTTCATGTGAAATGGCACTCTATCATAACAGCAAAGATGAAATTAAATCACACTGTAATTTTAGGTTCCTCCTGCATGAGAAGAAATCACAGCTTATTGAAATAACACCTTCCAAATTACTCGTTTATAACACGCCCCTTCTTACATTAACATGTCCTGAAGGTCAAAAGATCATTTCAGGTTGCACATTTTGCATGATTAGTCTACCATGTTTATGTTCAGTCACCACAGCAAATATGTTATTTCCTTCACATTTAGGAACCTGTCAAAATATGTCTCATCAGAATGTCACCTACCTTCACCCGGTCAATTTAGCTTTGTTACAGCATTTCTTTGAAGACTCTGCTTTAGAGACTATTGCTGGTAATACCTTTTATAATAAACCTATAAGTGTTCACATCCCTGATTTTCATTTATATCAAAATAAATTTGACAATGTTATAGCTAATGATCATAAGGATCATCTTAATCTTAAACGTATGGCAAAGAGAGTTAAAAAGAATGAAGTTATCTTTCAGGGCTTAACGGAATGTCTTTTAGATGGTAAAATAAACCGTCTTATTTTTCCTTACAATTCCTTATGCCTATTGTGACAGCAGTTTTGTGCGCCCTTGCTCTTCTAAGAAATGTGTGGATGTATCTTAAAATAAGGTCCTTATCTGCCACTGTGTTAGTCCTCCAGGCAGCTGCTCCAGTAAAAGCTAACCCTGTATCTGCCTTTGAATACCATTATCCCACCCTAGCGCCCCCTACCTCTTATCAAAATCTTCTAAGTTCTATGTATGATCACATACCCATGATTCTAATTTCTATATCTTTCATTCTGTTGCTTGTCATACTTTATAAGATATTTAAGAAGAAATCTAGTCACACTGTTCTATACTCAGAAATCACAACCGGCTTTATGTGTGAACTTGTCCCCATCATGTCATTGTCACTATGTCCATCATACTGGGACATCCAACCCCCTACGATTATCAAAAATATATATGTTTCCAAGTATTTTGCACCTTCCCTAAATCTCATTTGGCCTAATTTTAAAATTACCAATAAATATACCCAGCAAACCCTTCGAACACCCCAGTCCCTTAGAATCAATCCATTTATGGCCCGTCGTATCAACCAGATTATCTCTCAACCTTTTGCCACAAATATTTTAATTTCACACCATGGATTGTGTGAAGTCCTGCAATACAATCAGTGATTCGCAGTCATTATATACTGTACGATTAATATGTTGAATATGTATATATAATTGTATTTGTTTTCCAGACAATTTCCTCATAATCCTAGTTTGTTTTTTTCCCCTTTTATTTTTTTATTTTGTTCTCGCTTTGGGGACAAAGCTTTTCACAGCAGAGGGGTATTGTTATAGTGGTCCTATTATTCGAAATGGTTCACAGAATTGAAGTTGAAACATAATATTTCAATAACTAAAATCGATTACGTTAGGTTGTAATATTCTAAAAATACAAATAATACAGTGTGTTTGGCGAAAGGCTTATGAAAGTTGCAACGGGTAAAGGAGTCCATGGAGTACAATAAAAATATGCCGCTGGACATTTAAACAATGCTCCTCTAGTGGACATTTAAACAATGCTCCTCTCACAGTGTCTACAGTTAATCCGTACCGTGTCATATCAATACAAGGCGCCAGTGACCAGGATGCGCAACACTCAGGACGATAGATCAAGTCAATCGTCAGCGCCGCCAGCTTATTCAGATAATCCGCTTTGTTTTAATAAACACGGTAGACATTAGTTGGGTAACTTTATGAGAAAATTGTCTAAACCAGGCAAAACACACAAAAACACAATGTCACCTTTATTGTAAAAACAATAAAGTATTATTTCAAATCTTAACCACTCAGGGTAAGCTGTATGTCCGCCTGCTATATAAACCGATGCAGTGTGACCCAAGGTCACATTGTATCTGGAATAAAGCTCGGAACTACAGCTATCTCTGATGTCATCTTTCATTAGGAATTTCCATATTCTATTTTAAGGTAAGACATTTTATGTGTTGTTTCTGATATGTGAACTAGACTTTTGTTACATGTATTTTATGTTATTTGTGTAGAATTGTGTTGTGTATATATTCCTTCTTTAATGTACAAATAAGATCTTTTTAAAAATCATCAATGTACAAAATCATTTTATTAAAGATTTCTCTATAGTGCGCAGATAATATATTTGTTCAAAATAATGAATCATTCTCTAAAAGAATAAATGTGAAAGTAACTGAAATTGCATTTGTTAATTACAATATTCTAGTTTATCTATTATTTCTGAAATTGGGTTGTTGCAATTGCATATCATTTACATAAGTTAATAATCTTTCAGGTAATTCAGCAAGAAAGTTCTTTTTGTGTAAAAGTCTTTGTGTAACATTGTGAACAAAAGTAGCATTATATTTCACGACTCTCTTTCCTAATTAAGCATCGTAAGTCAGCATTATTCATTGTAATTTCCATGTACACTTAGTGTGTAATGTTATATGCAAAAATACTCATTTTAGAGTTCTGCATAAAAATAACATATTGTACCTTTATATTACTGTAAAGACGGTAATACACCGACAGTGTTACCGTATTGTATATATAGTAAGGTCCACATTATGGTGACATATACAATCAGCTTACAGAGTTAAAATTAAATATAATGACGCTGTACTGTACCGTGTAAGCTTGTGTGTCCTGTATGAAATAAATCCTGGTATGGTTTTAAATATTAAGTACAAGTTTTGACATCTATCGTTTTAGAGTATTAAATGTAGACTTATCTAAGCTGTAAGTATTATGTTAAAAATAATGTCATATTGATAAGAAATAATTGTGATGCTGTTTATGATATGAATTGATGTTTGAGACATTGTATCTGGAATAAAGCTCGGAACTACAGCTATCTCTGATGTCTAGTGGTGTAACGATACGGCGATACAGTATTGTATCCCGATGCACAGCCCACGATACGATGCATCGATTTGGAAAGCATGTATCGCGATACATACGATATTTTCATAACACAGTTTTACCTACCGTATTTTCTTGAGTATAGTGCGCACTTTTTTCCAAAAAACACAGCTGTGTAGAAGGGGTTGCGCATTATACACGAATTAATGAGTTTTGATGTTTTTTCCCCATAGAAAGACATTACTGTGAGCACGTAACACCGGAAATTCCATGTCAACAAATCCATACTGAAGTTCGCAAATTATTCATGTACTTACACTGGCTATAAAAAAAGTGTTCTTTGTATATCTGGACTCATGTTTGTAAGTTATTTAATTAATTTTATTCAAAATTCCTTTTAATATTGTTTTAATTAATTTCGGCGAAATCGTGTGTGAAGCGATCGGAAGATCGCACAACTCACCGTCATTAACAGAAACCACGGTCAGATTACCGCTATTGACGCCTTGAAAGGAATTTTAGTTGACAGAGAATGGATACATATATCATAAATGCCATACTTTGATTCGTTAAAAGTCAGATTTGTTTTTGTTGGACGATTCTATGTCAACACGTAATTCTCGCGATCACGCGATCACGTGCACGGGAGCCTTGACGGTGGCTGGTCAGACTGGTTCCATGTAAAAAATAATACCCGCCAATAGCGATCAGCTGCTTCGCTTAGGGTTATTATTATTTTAAATATGTTAAGTAAAAGCTGCATCTAAATTAACAATATATTGGAATATATTATTCCTGATAAAAAAATAGTTTCAGATACAACTTTTGCCGATCCTTGCATTAAAATACTGTGAAGTTATATCATTGGGTGTGTCTTGACCGTGTCTTGACCGAATCACCGGTAGATTCCAAGAAAACGTGTGTACATGTACAGCTGATTGCTGTGCCCGGCTTAGTTTACGGGAAAATACACAAGGTAATCTTAATCCCTGGATATAAAACATCGCGCCCATGAAATACGTTTCAAAGCCAGTTTGTTGTTTCAGTAAAACATACTGTATTGCTGACAATTTGCTATAACAGTAAATAAACACCTTATATCTTCTTCAACTGTACTTGTCACATCTTTTACATAGCAGAAAGACATCAATTTGGCTTAGCTTGTACCAGTAAACACTGTATCGTGATACGTATCGTATCGCGACCCCTGTATCGCGATACGTATCGTATCGCGACCCTCCCGTATCGTTACACCTCTACTGATGTCATCTTTCATTAGGAATTTCCATATTCTATTTTAAGGTATTTTAGTCACGTGAACAGCACTTGTTCAATTCTAAACAATCGTCTTACTACCTGGGCTAATGTTTTTTACAAAATCCCACCAACTCAAGCTGGCTTTAGAAAATCATATTCACCTGCTGATAATATTTTCTCACTTTATGCTATTGTTCAGAGATATCTCGGATGCCGAAAACGAAAACTTTATATTGCCTTTGTAGATTTAAAAAAAGCATTCGACACTGTTGACCGATGTAAACTTTGGGATTGTCTTAGGGCGGCTGGTGTTGGTGGGAAAATGTTTACCATTTTAAAATCAATGTATGAAAATGTAAAATCTTGTGTACGACATAATAGTGGAGTCATCGATTATTTTGACTGTCCCATGGGAGTTAAACAAGGTTGTATCTTGAGTCCTCTCCTATTTTCATTCTTCATTAATGAGCTTTCCTTTGATGTTCAACAAAACGGTAAACACGGAGTGCAATTATACCCTGACCTTTATGAATTACTTACATTACTTTTTGCCGATGACGTGATTCTAATCTCTGACTCTATGATCGGACTTCAGAAACAAATTGATATACTATACAGTTACACTGTTACATGGAAGCTTTCTGTTAACTTGGAAAAAACTAATATTATCGTATTTAGAGGAGGAGGTCCTCTTGCATCGAGAGATAAATGGCTCTTTAATAACCAACCTATAAATGTTACAAACATGTATAAATACATCGGTGTTGTTTTACCGTTTAACCTTAATCTTAAACATCTAGTTAACGATCTCGCCCTACGAGCAAAAAAAGGTCATAATAAATCTATTTGTCGTTCTAGATAAATTGCGTGTTATCTCACCTACTATTTTCTTCAAAATGTTTGATGCTCAAGTTCAACCAATCTTATTATATGGATCAGAGGTCTGGGGTTTTGAAACCTATTACAATATTGAAAAGGTACACTTAACTGCATGTAAAATATTTCTAAATGTTTCTAAATCGGCTCCAAATCATATGGTCTATGGCGAATGTGGTAGATACCCGTTATATATTTGTTCATATTTACGTTTACTCAGATACTGGCTCAAAATAACAGAGATGTTGCGGGAACGAATCCCAAGAAAATGCTACGAAATGCTTGTTTATCGTGATAGTGTTGGTTACGTAACCTGGGCATCAAACATTAAGCATTTACTCTTCTCTCACGGATTTGGATATGTTTGGCTTAATCAAAGCGTTGGAGACAAAATGTATTTTCTTAGCTCTTTTAAGCAGGTAGCAATTGATATGTTTACTCAAAACTGGAGGTCGTCACTAGATAACAGTGCACGCTACGACGTCTATAAAACTTTTAAATATTGTCTAACACCAGAGGTTTACCTGCATACTATAACAGACAGAAAAATTAGAGACACATTTATTAAACTTAGGCTAGGGTTAAATGATTTGATGTGCAACAGGGGTCGCTTCTCCTCTATTCCTAAGGATATGCGTTTTTGTCCATTCTACGAAAACCATATTGAAAACGAATTACACTTTTTGATTATATGGCCAATTTACGACAACCTAAGATTGAAATATATGCCTGATATCACTAAGAACCACTATTCCATGAACAAAATACTATCTTTTAATGGTATCCCTAATCAAAAATTAACTAAGATATTACAATACATCTATCAAAGTCTACGAATGCGTAGTAAATTACTTAGTAAATCCGATATGTCCAGAAATAATTAGTTGTTTTGAAACTTTCGCATCTAGATCAGGAGTATCTACATTTAATTTTTGTCTGTTTGTTTCTTATAGAAATGCATATACATTTAAATTGTCAATTGTCTTGACATGATGAGTATATTACTGATAGATCCTTTTGTATTGAACGTCGCGTTATGGCTGAAAGCCTTTGCGACGTAAAACTTCATATTTCCATTCCATTCCTTTTGTATTCCTCTTGTATTTTATGCTACTACTGCTGCCACTCATCTTCCCGAGGCAAGAGAGTTAACTGACTTTAAAAGTCCAGTGTCCACCCTTGCCGAACTAGGCTATTACCAGTCATGTCCCTTCTAAGCCTCTTCTATGGACCAATCAGATTCCACCTCTCGTATCACTTGCGTTTGCTTCACACAAAATGGTGGCGCCCGGTCAGTTAGATCTGATTGACAATCAAGATCTATATTCTGATAAAACGGGTCTGACATCGCGAAATGCATCAAATCACGTGAGCACCTTGATTAAAAACATGAAAACATTTGGAAAATATCTGCTGACAACGAGTTGGCAGTGAACATGCTTTGCAAATCCTGCAATCGACCGAAATCTGTACGACAGTGTACGAACCGGATTTCGATTTCGGTGCGCGATTTTGATTGGACTATGCATAGACTCGTTAGTCCAGCCATGTAACTCCATAATACTAGCCTAGTTCGGCAAGGGTGGAAACTGGACTTTTATAGTCAGTGAACTCTCTTGCATCGGGAAGATGGCTGACACTGTGGTTATTACCACTGTTATTACAATACCTCTATTACATGTCAAGCGTCATTTTAGTTAGACCAATAATTATATAATGCGCTGTACAGCTGTAAATGATATTGTTTATCTGTATGTGTATGTGTATATGGGCCAATGGCCTTTTAAACAATAAAGATTGACTGAATGACTGTCGTAAGTCTATGTTAAAGAATGGGAGTTACGATTTTCTAAGCGCAACGATTGCTTTGTTGAACGGGGACCCAGTGTGCCATCTATACGCTTCAAAGGTTGGGTGTCAAAACCGTCCTGAGATGGCTGTGGTTAGTACTAAAGGTGAGGGTTGAGTAGGTTGGGTTAAGTACTGCAACTTTGAGTCATATTCCGGGGCGTTAGCTTGATGTGGAAGGGGTCCTAAAGCTTCGTACTCCATAGACGTGTAATGCGTTGATACCATAGTGCCCTCATCGTGCACGTTCTCACCTGTTGACGGCGTTGTCATACTGGGGTACAAGGCACAGGTCAGCCACGGTGACGTCGTCAGCAATACAGCATTTCCCATGCGTATCTTTCAGCATCACTTCAATGGCTGGAAGTCCACAATTTAGTACAATGAAACAGCAATAATACCAGTAAATCTACACGCTTTTCTGAATATGGGAGTTGAGGTGAGGTAAAATGGGGCTAGATATTATTTGCATCGAGTGTAGTATATTTTCATTGTATGGATTGAGTGAATATAACAACTGGAATGAATATAACCTGGAAAATATATTTTCTGCTATTGTTTACTTTTGATACGACCCTAGCCAAGCGCAAGGCTTAACTTGCGAAAACACCTGCTCTTTTCTCATTGTTTGAGTCCATTGGACAGGGGTAAAAATCGTAGAAACGCGACAAGCCACCAGGTACCATGTTGTTACACCCAATCAAATGTCGCCTTCGTGGGAATGAACCCTAGGGCTTCGGCCCTGACCCACACAGAAGCACGTGCTGTCTCTGTTCACCTAGCAGTGAATGGGTACCCAGCAGGATAAGATGGTAATGACTGTTAACCTTCTGAGCCTCACAGCAGGTTGGGTTGTATACTCCCAAAGGTGCTGAGAATGAAAATCGAGGGTACACTGATCCATTGACAGGACTATAATGTAGCACTCTGAGCATGGTTTAGGGTGTAGATTTGGTGCATTAATATGCACATTATTATTTATGCACATTATTATTTACAGATTAAAATAAAAAATGCATCAAAGAGGGTTTGGGTGATCCTGGCACTGTCGGGCTGTTTAGGCTCATCATCAGCTCAGGGCCCTTGCCCCCTCTACACGCAGCCCAGACAGCGAATGGGACTTCTCACAGGAAGCGGTGCCTGTCAAACCCACCCAGAACTTTTCGGACACTGCAGCCTTCTGCATTACCCAGATTGTCAGAAGGGCCGTATTCCTGGTAGCAAACCCGGGTACTCTCCCAATGACAGTCAGCAGATTGGGAGGTACCAAACCCAAGGCACCGAGAACAATGGGGAGTCGGACAACTTGGTACTTGGGATGCAAGCGTAACATTTCGAAAGCGAGGTCCACATATTTGCCATGTTTTTCCTCAATCTTGTCAATCACATTAGTGTCACGCTGGCCATTGTGAAGGGAACATATGACAAAACAGGCGGATGAAGAAAAGCTCATTTTTGCTATCTTTTTTTCCGTACCAGCAAAGCCTTTATGAATCCAAAACTCGGCCCATTCCTTAAATTTCTCTTCCCCTCCAACTCTGGACACCAAGGTCTCATTGTGGGCCTGGAATGGTTGGACAGCTGATACTACTGTCTCCGCCAGGGCTCGGGTCTACAGAACACAGAAGAGTCAGCCAAGATAAAACCTGAACAACACAGTGCAGTCATGATCAGCAATCCGGCCATGTGAATTATACACCGAGAGCAAACAGATCACTCGGCCATGTGAATTATACACCGAGAGCATACAGATCACTCGGCCATGTGAATTATACACCTAGATAAAACAGAACATTCAGCAGTGTGAATTATACACCTAGATAAAACAGAACATTCAGCAGTGTGAATTATACACCTAGATAAAACAGACCATTCAGCCATGTGAATTTTACACCTAGAGCATACAGATCACTCAGCCTTGTGAATTATACACCCAGATAAAACAGGACATTCAGCCATGTGAATTGTACAACTGGATAATTCAAAAGATTTAAACATGTGAATTATGATCTAGATAAAGCAGAACATTCAGCCATGTGAATTATACACCTAGACAAAACAGAACATTCAGCCATGTGAATTATACACCTAGATAAATCAGAACATTCAGCCATGTGAATTACACACCTAGATAAAACAGAACATTCAGTCATGTGAACTATACACCTAGATAAAACAGTACATTCAGCCATGTGAATTATACACCTAGATAAAACAGTACATTCAGCCATGTGAATTATACACCTAGATAAAACAGAACATTCAGCCATGTGAATTATACAACTGGGGAATTCAAAAGATTAAGACATGTAAATTATTATCTAGATAAAGCAGAACATTCAGCCAAGTGAATTATACAGCTTGATAAAAGAGAACATTCAGCCATGTGAATTATACAGCTTGATAAAACAGAACATTCAGCCATGTGAATTATACACCTAGATAAAACAGAACATTCAGCCATGTGAATTGTACATCTAGAAAACCAAAACACTCAGCCATGTGAATTATACATCGAGAAAAAAACAGAACATTCAGCAGTGTGAATTATACAACTGGAGAATTGAAAGATCCAAACATGTGAATTATACACCTAGATAAAGCAGAACATTTAGCAGTGTGAATTATACACCTCGATAAAACAAACCATTCAGCCATGTGAATTATACAGCTTGATAAAACAGAACATTCAGCCATGTGAATTATACACCTAGATAAAACAGAACATTCAGTCATGTGAATTATACACCTCGATAAAACAGAACATTCAGCCATATGAATTATACACCTAGATAAAACAGAACATTCAGCCAAGTGAATTATACACCTAGATAAAACAGAACATTCAGCCATGTGAATTATACACCTAGATAAAACAGAACATTCAGCCATGAGAATTATACACCTAGATAAAACAGACCATTCAGCCATGTGAATTTTACACCTAGAGCATACAGATCACTCAGCCTTGTGAATTATACACCCAGATAAAACAGGACATTCAGCCATGTGAATTGTACAACTGGATAATTCAAAAGATTTAAACATGTGAATTATGATCTAGATAAAGCAGAACATTCAGCCATGTGAATTATACACCTAGACAAAACAGAACATTCAGCCATGTGAATTATACACCTAGATAAATCAGAACATTCAGCCATGTGAATTACACACCTAGATAAAACAGAACATTCAGTCATGTGAACTATACACCTAGATAAAACAGTACATTCAGCCATGTGAATTATACACCTAGATAAAACAGTACATTCAGCCATGTGAATTATACACCTAGATAAAACAGAACATTCAGCCATGTGAATTATACAACTGGGGAATTCAAAAGATTAAGACATGTAAATTATTATCTAGATAAAGCAGAACATTCAGCCAAGTGAATTATACAGCTTGATAAAAGAGAACATTCAGCCATGTGAATTATACAGCTTGATAAAACAGAACATTCAGCCATGTGAATTATACACCTAGATAAAACAGAACATTCAGCCATGTGAATTGTACATCTAGAAAACCAAAACACTCAGCCATGTGAATTATACATCGAGAAAAAAACAGAACATTCAGCAGTGTGAATTATACAACTGGAGAATTGAAAGATCCAAACATGTGAATTATACACCTAGATAAAGCAGAACATTTAGCAGTGTGAATTATACACCTCGATAAAACAAACCATTCAGCCATGTGAATTATACAGCTTGATAAAACAGAACATTCAGCCATGTGAATTATACACCTAGATAAAACAGAACATTCAGTCATGTGAATTATACACCTCGATAAAACAGAACATTCAGCCATATGAATTATACACCTAGATAAAACAGAACATTCAGCCAAGTGAATTATACACCTAGATAAAACAGAACATTCAGCCATGTGAATTATACACCTAGATAAAACAGAACATTCAGCCATGAGAATTATACACCTAGATAAAACAGAACATTCAGCCATGAGAATTATACACCTAGATAAAACAGAACATTCAGCCATGAGAATTATACAACTTAAGTATTCAGAACATCGATACATGTGAACTATACACCTAGAAAATACGGAATATTCAGCAGCGTGGTTAACACACCGAGAGATTTCACAAAATTCGACCACGCGTTCATGTGAATTACACATCTGAGGAACAGTGAGCACTGGATTTATATATACAATCTAACTGTGCATTCAGCACATGACAAAGGTGAGTCAAGCAATTATCTGAATCGAGTAAATGACGATTTTATAGTTTACGAAAAACTGCATCCAGTATGGAAACCACAAGGCTTCAGAAAACATAGAAACATCGAGAAAGCAGACATTAAATACTTGAGAAAAGAAACTACAGTATTTTAATACCAACAGTACCAAAACACATATGTTCTCTTGAAATGCCGGATCATGTCGCACTTAGGAGTAAAAGGAAGGGAACATACCTTAGCTCTTAGAACTGGAGCCACTGGCATCAGTGGCGGGTCGGGTTGTATTTCATCCAGGTATTCCATGATGGCTATCTGGGTGAAACAAAAGCGACAACACACTTTCAATATTTATAAGACATATCTGCTAAAAGCAGAGTCGATTGTACCATTTCGACTATATCATGAGCATGTGTTTTATGAATCACGATCAAATAGTGACGATACCGGGTGTTCCGGGATAGGTGAGCAGATCCTGCCCACCGGTGGCACCCGTTACAAACACATGCAAAGGCAAGTCAATTGTTCACCTACAATATTACGGGAACATATGGTACAAGACAAAATATGGAATTGAATCGGACATCATTTGTGTCATGGTGCGTCAAAAAGAAGAAACGTTCAGTCTCGGGTGCAGTTTTTTTCAAACTAAAACCGTATTTTAATTAAAAAAATAAATATTTTAATTCTATTTTTCAAACAAATATGATGACTTCAGCAACATTTCAAAAGAAATGATATTGTGATATAGCTCTGAAATTGAGATGAGGTATCCAGAATTCGTTGCTATTTTGGTGTGGTGGATGGTATAAGTTGAGGATGTATTATAGCTCAAGAAAAGTTAATGTCATAAATAAACAGTTTGAGATTATATAAATGGCATAAGCTTTTACTAACCGACTGGATGAAACTCCACTCGCCATGCACAAGAGCGGGGACCTGCTGTAAAGGACTGGCTTTCAGGAAGGCGGGCCAGTTTTGCTGAAAACCGTAACCAGTCTATGTGACAATTACAACTATTAGTCAGCTATGTCCAAACTGTAATTTAATATGTGTTCAACTGAGCGCACATGTCAGATTTCAGAACAACATCTCACATGTCGCATGTCTACTAGGGCTGGGACGGGACGAGTCGAAATTTACTACCCGGGTCCCCCCCCCCCCCCCCCCCCCCCCCCGGCCTATTACCCGACCTTAACCGTGTACCCACTGTAGGTCTCAAGAGATAGATACAAAATGTCCGATTGGGAATTCTTTTACCATAGCCCTGGCATTTAGATACATGCATTAGACATTAAACGATCTGGTCATGCATACATAGAAGTTGACTTAAGTTACATCTTTATTAAACCATATGAAGAGTCTAAAGGAATGGGTGCATAGACAGAAAGAAATGCGAACATTAGTGACTTGTAGTGTAACCATAGAGTCATAGAGTTCTAGATAATTTTTGTCATTAAACAATATATCACGTGACTAACCACGGGTCCGGGTAGTCTTGTGGGTACCCGGGTCCTACTCAGTACCCACCCGACCCGGGTACCAGCCCTAATGTCTACCCTGTTTCTATTACAGCACGCTCAACCGGCTGAGCGTCCAGTGGTAGAGCGTCCGCCCGGTGAGCGGAAGGCCCGGAGTTGTGTAAAATGTATCACTCTATGAGAAGAATAGTTAAATCCTCTAAACAAGCAGACCGAATAATAGAGATGACGGGTACAGTGGAGCGGGTAAACATTCCCGGGGGATTCTTGGAGGGTTTTGAATAATGGCCGGTGACATTCCACGCGTTCCATGTCATTGGTGAGTAACTTTCGATCGAGGATGGCCAGATACGTGCTGCAGAATTACAATTTTGTAAGACAGCTCATTCTACAAAATGATTTTGAGGAGACACTCGATGACATACGTGATATGATTAGAGGACAGATCAAAGCTTTCAAAGCGATTGTCAAGCGACTGTCGAATGGACGCATACCCGTCACTCGGAATGAGAACAGAAGACATCTGCAACCCAATCCTCACAACACTTATCTGAGGATGTTAAGGCGCAACTCTCTCCCTGAAACTCCAGATAGGAGCGTGTTAAACGCAGTTTTATCAATCATACCCATTTGATCCCATTTGTATTTAAATACGAGCACGTGAGACAAGTAAGAGACGAAGCGCAAAACAATATATGTCGTCGTTCCCCGAGCTGCTTTAAATAGGGTTTATGCAAGTCTGTATGTTCAGTTATACTCCAACAACCGAAGTGTCAACATGAAATCGAAATGCTTTGTGCCGTTTCGAGTCCCTACTACAATAACCATTATTGGAGGTATACGTGCAGTGGAAAAACTTACTTGACCAAACGAATACTGCAGAATGCTAAGACCATGTTTGAAAAGTCACCCGATCTCATCGTGTATTGTTATGCTGCATTGCAGGATATGTATGAGGAAATTCAAGCCTCCATTCCAAAAATACAGTCTCACGAAGGACTAACAACTGAAACCGACATTCATGAGTGGTCCGATACATCCCCACAAAAGACCCGTGAAGATCCGGGGTAGAATAGGTCTTCAGCAACCCATGCTTGCTATAAAAGGCGACTATGCTTGTCGTTAGGGGCGACTAACGGGATCGGGTGGTCAGGCTCCCTGACTTGGTTGATGCATATCATTGATCCCAATTGCACGGATCGATGCTCATAATATCAATCACTGGATTGTCTGGTCCAGACTCGATTATTTTACACAGACCGCCGTCATATAGCTGGAATATTGCTGAGTGCGGCGTTAAACAACAAACAAACATCCAACAAAAACATGATTTTGGTACTGGTAAATTAGCGAGTAAATTCGGCGAGTAAATTGATGATCACCTTGTATACCACCCTTTCCAATCATCTCGGCATCGCTGTACTTAATCTCCATCAAAGCGCTTACCTCAGGCGTCCTGGTTCGCGCACATTGAGTTTAAATACTCATATATTCATTTTAATGTCTGATCCTCGTTCTGCACACGAATACAAAAAAAAATTCGATTCCTATCGGGGTGCAGCAGAAGGGGAAAAGTATGATGCATCGCCTTACAATAACCCAGAGTATGGTCGCTTACGCACATGTATCTTACCCAGTGAGCTTTGTACTATCTATTTACCTCGAGACTGTTTGTTTGTTTGTTTGTTGTTTAACGCCGCACTCGGCAATATTCCAGCTATATGACGGCGGTCTGTAAAATAATCGAGTCTGGACCAAACAATCCAGTGATTGATATCATGAGCATCGATCCATGCAATTGGGATCGATGACATGTATCAACCAAGTCAGCGAGCCTGACCACCCGATCCCGTTAGTCGCCTTTTACGACAAGCATAGTCGCCTTTTATAGCAAGTATGGGTTGCTGAAGACCTATTCTACCCCGGAATCTTCACGGGTCTACCACGAGACTGAAAAGAGCTAATATCATACATAACCCATGCAGTGTCAGTAACCTATTCAGTTGCTAATCAACCTCGAGATGCGCAGGCATTCGTGACCAACTCGTGTTATTCCGGGACCAGCCGTATAGCGACTCGTGACCCTCTCGTGGCCATTTTTGCGACCGGGTTCCGTCTTAGCGCAAACGGGCAAACCTAAAACAATTGTCAACTCGTTGCGTAATGGTTCACATATATTTCCCATATATTATATATATTTCAGATGCAATTAAAAGCACATCGGGACATGCGGATTTATACATTATGATTGACCACATTTAACTGTGTCTTGGGTATATTTTTAGATGCAAGACATATGTAAAATCATAAATTGTTTCTGAGGGATTCTTTGATGAAGAACTTGAAATCATACGCGCATTCTGATTGGTTTGTCGTATTTTCGCACATAACATTCATCGATAGGGGGACGAGTCTTCTTGCAGGTCACGGAAAGGGGCGAGTGGTGACGAATGATGCGCAGGGTCTACTTCTGGAAGATAGCCTGTACCACACCAGCTCGCATTTAACATATGTCAGTGTGTCCTGCCGAAGTAATAGCAGTAAAAGAAAGTCAAAAGGTGTTTTACTATAAGGAAGCGTGCATACAATGCTTACAAGAAGCCTTGCTCGAATCAATAGATGTCCCTGATGACTTTGGTGAACCCATCCCTTATATCTACAAGAGAGCTGAATACAACCCTGATTGTATTGTACCATGTTTAGATTTTCTTCACTTGTTGAGCGATTTCGTACCCATGCAAAGAAAATCCCTGTTATCTCACTTAACCAAACCACAGTTCAAGGTTATCATTACGTTGGTGTAGAAGGTACGCATAGATAACATACCGCTGGAGGACAGTGTTAAAAAGAAACTGCAGCGCTACAGACATGTCATTTGCTCGATAGCAAGCAAAACGCACAGTAACAACGGCTTTACCTTTCTATTAGGTGAGGTGAGGTGAAATGGGGTTTAACGTCGCGTCAAATATTGCACTCATATAGCGACGTGCATGTACGTGTGTGTGTGTGTTTGTGTGGCTGCTTGTACTAGTCCGGACTGATGCCGATTTATAGTGCTAGCTCACTGGGATACCATGCCGCAGTTTAGCAAGAATACTTCACTCAGACACAGTATACTGACTCCGAGCCGACCAGTCCTTGTTTTAGCCCCTTAATGCCGTGCGCCAGACAGGGTACATCAAGTACCATCTTTTAACGTCTTTTGGTATGACGCGGGATCGAACCCCGGACATTAGTGTAAAATGTATAACTCTATGAAAAGAATAGTGGAATCCTCTAAACCGACCGAATAATAGAGACGACGAGTACAATTGAGCGGGTAAACATTCATGGTGGATTTTTGGAGGGTTTTGAACAATGGTCGGCGACATTCCGCGCTGTACATACGCTGTGATGGCCCGTGTCATGAATGAATGTATCAAATCTGGTGACATTCCGCACTGTACGCATGTTGTAGGGCACAGGTCACCCGTGCCGTGAATGAATGACACGGGTGCTATGCATAACCCTTGCCCGCTGGGTAAACAGGGTTTGACAGGGAGTGTGTTCCCTGTTGTGAATGAGCGAATATTCACCCTCACAGAATGAGACAGCGTCAGACTACAGACCGTACGAAATGCATTTATGAGCAGTTGATAATTTAGAACATTGGGCAAGATCTTTTGCTTTTAGATTAATTTGCTTCGGAAAGGAGTTCAACCCTGATTTCATGAAAACCCCAAATGAGAAAAAGCCCCAATGATCCAGATAAGCAATATATGTGCACAATTCTGTGAACATATCACAAACAGTTTCAGATCTGGAAACGAAAAGTGACACAGACGGAGAGACTGACGGGCGGACACTCGGCTGAATCCACCGTCCTACAATCATAGGATATTGATCCTACCATTGATTCATCCGTTACGGCAACGTCTTCATACTGGATGCCTTTGATAGCCAGAGCTGAAAATAGAGCAATCGTGAAGGTAAAGGGGGCACGGGTGGCCCAGTCGTCTAAGGCGCCGCAATTCGCTGTGTAGAGTTGCGTCCCTTGGGCACGCCAGAAACCTATGATTTGTGGGTTCGAATCCCGGTTCACCCCGACTATGTTTCTAGGTTTGTCAGCACCATACCCGTGCTCGTGGGTTTCACCGAAGTGGTAAACGTCTGAGACCTGCATCACTTCGGGCTTTCCTCCCACATTAAGCTGACACACCGCGATATAACTGGAATACTGTTAAAAGCGGCGTTAAACCCAACTCCCTCACTCACTCCTGCTATGTGACGGCGGTCTGTAAATAATCGAGTCTGGGCCAGACAATCCAGTAATTGTCATCAAGAACACGCAATTGGGATCGATGACATGCATCAACCAAGTCAGCGAGTCTGACCACCCGATCCCGTTAGTCGCCTTTTACGACAAGCATAGTCGCCTTTTACGGCAAGCATGGGTTGCTGAAGACGTATTCTACCCCGGATCTTCACGGGCCAGATCTGATCATGAGCATTAAAAGCAAAATAAACGAATCACAAGGGAATCTATTTACATTAGCCCCATGGGGTTCTTGCATGATTGTTAATGATTGCTATAGTAGGACACAGTCACCAGCTATACCACGACACTTGTACGTACTCGAGTCTAGGCCAGACAATCAGGTGCTTGGTAGCCTGTTCACACACTGTAACCATCAAAACCCCACAGTGGTCGGCTGTTGTGACAACCATGTGGTCCATGAAAAACTTCCACTCAGGCTGAGTGATGGAACTTAGGTGTTGTGTAAATAATCACGAGTTCAACTGACAGGGTGATGTCGTAATTTGAACTGCTTAAAATATATATTACACATAACTGTAAACATTGAAATTAACCATACTGCATTTACTGTCAAATTGAGTATTATCTTAGGTATCGATTACGATGACAAATTCGTAAAAGTTCCGTACGCACCAATTTTGACTCTCCATGTGCAGGAACTCCGACTGCAGCCATAGAGGATCATCTCCTATGCAAAAGTAAACACATTATTGGATGAACTGGTTATAATTTACATTGTCAATGCCAGAGTGAGTGAGTCTGGTTTTACGCCGCTTTTAGCAATATTCCAGCAATATCACGGAGGGGGTCACGAGAAATGCATGGGCTTCACACATTGTACCCATGTCGGGAATCGAACCCGGGTCTTCGGCGTGACGAGCGAACGCTTTAACCACTAGACTACCCGACCGCCCCTGTCAATGCCAGAGAATACCCAGTCTGGATTATCCACCGAAACAGATTTCATTTGACAAATGGGCAAAATAACTGGGAAAATTACTGTAATTCTGGAAATAATTACGTCTCCAAATTAATACGATTGCTGACCCCTTGCCAAAAACACGTCAGAACGACTTTTCATCCGACCAATCAAAGGGTCGCTTACCAGATTATGAACCATTCGTGACCAACTCGTGTTATTCCGGGACAAGCAGGTTACGGAAAGGGGCGAGTGGTGACGAATGATTATGAACGTGACAGTCGGAATGTGTTTTCTGATCATGCAACCTCGAAAACGTTAACACGGGTATTCCGAAACCCAGTTACGACTGATTCCGTCATAATCATCGTCCATCTCTTGCTTCCATGGGATAAACATTTGAACGGAAGAGGCATTGCACAGTACGTGGGAAGCACTGCCATCCAATCTCAACCATATATTTGACATTCCGGAATATTTGTTTGTTCAGTTTTCAAAATTTTAATCGAGAACTGTGTCAACATCTCTGTAGTAGTAGTAGTAGTAGTAGTAGTAGTAGTAGTAGTGTTATTATTTCGCCGTGTTTGTTTTTTGTTGTTGTTGTTTTGTATCAAACTCAAGAACCAGTTGTCCGATTCTAGCAAAAACCACAAGGTAGACTTATGAGAACATAAATCACAAAAATACAGACTTATTGGTTTCGGGACTGAGGCAGAATTTTATTCAAAATGTATTAATTTATAAAAATAAGACATATTCATGAGGCCAAAAGCCAGATTTTACACCTGTGAAACAAACGCAAATACAGTAGGACGTGCAGGCAATGACCGGATTTGCGTATGATTCCGGATATGAAATAACCATTGCACAAGCACCAATATCAGGAATGCAATGACCGGATTTCAAGAAATTTCAAGACATGACTTCAGAAATTGATACAACAGTAAATACTTTCTCATAGCGTTTTTCAAATGTATCTGTACTGATTGTCATTGGTTTTATTCTAACTATTCACTGAATCTTTAAATGTTTGAAATATGAGCATTATGTAAATTATGAAATGTTTACATGCCTTAGAAAGTTATGCATCATTTAGGATATCAAGACATCTTCCCGAGGCAAGGGAGTTAACTGACTATAAAAGTCCAGTTTCCACCCTTGCTGAACTAGGCTGGTATTATGGAGTTACATTTCGGCTGGGCTAACGAGTATATGCATAGTCCAATCAAAATCGCGCACCGAAATCGAAATCCGGTTTGTAAAATGTCGTGCAGATTTCTGTCGATTGCATGATTTGCAAAGCATATATATGCGCCGCCAGCCTAGTTCGGCAAGGGTGGAAACTGGACTTTTATAGTCAGTTAACTCACTTGCCTCGGGAAGATGATATCAAGAATACTTGAATAGTTTTCAGATGGTTATATATCCCGGTACTAAAACAAGGTGATCATAGATGCTTCCACCACGCTTTGTTTGTTTGTTTGTTGTTTAACGCCGCACTCAGCAATATTCCAGCTATGTACGGCGGTCTGTAATAATCGAGTCTGGACCAGACAATCCAGCGATCGACATCATGAGCATCGATCCAAGCAATTGCTTCCACCACCACGTGAAATATTGGGTTCCCATTGCTTTATTTTCACATAACTTTGCCATTATTAGTGTTTGTGTTTTTGTTGTTTAACGCCGCACTCAGCAATATTCCAGCTATATACGGCGGTCTGTAATAATCGAGTCTGGACGAGACAATCCAGCGATCGACATCATGAGCATCGATCCAAGCAATTGCTTCCACCACCACGTGAAATGTTGGGTTCCCATTGCTTTATTTTCACATAACTTTGCCATTATTAGTGTTTGTGTTTTTGTTGTTTAATGCCGCACTCAGCAATATTCCAGCTATATGACGGCGGTCTGTAAATAATCGAGTCTGGACCAGACAATCCAGTCATTGATATCATGAGCATCGATCTAAGCAATTAGGATACGATGACATGCATCAAATCAAGTCAGTGAGCCTGACCACCCGATCCCGTTAGTCGCCTCTTACGACAAGCATAGTCGCCCCTTACAAGCACAGTAGCCTTTTACGGCCCTTTGCCATTGAGGCTCAAATGACCTCCTTAACCTTATAACGTTAAGAGGCTGGCTGAGCAAAACACTACTCGCACGTTCCCATTAGATCATGAGTTAAATCACTTCAATCATCCGGTTGCAAGTTCTTCAGACAATGGTGGGTTATCACACTTTTGGCGCATCATACAAAATAGCAATACTATAATCCCGCCCCAATAAAGAGAACAATTTAGACGATAAGGCACGCCCATATTTAGGTTACTTTGTTAAATCGGAGCCTAATCCTATGGAATTAACGCCGCGAATAGCTGGAAGATTGTTAATGCGGTGTTAAGCAATAACTACTCACTCAAAAAAGAAAGAAATGTGGTTAATTTGTAACATACTTGGGGGAAAAGCACAGCTCATGATTTTGTGTAAATATAAAACTGAGCCTCCATCTAAAACATAATTCAGAATCAATAAAAAGTCACGACCGCAATGTTGCCATCCTCGTCAATACAGAGTATTGTGAGTGACAGTATGTATGCGTGCTACCTTTATTTATCAATAATCAGTGGGGACGGGTGGCCCAGTCGTCTAAGGCGTCGCGATTCGCTGTGCAGAGTTGTGGCCCTTGGGCACGCCAGAAACCTATGATTGTAGGTTCGAATCCCGATTATGTTTCTAGGTTTGTCAGCACCATACCCGTGCTCGTGGGTTTCACCGAAGTGGTAAACGTCTGAGACCTGCATCACTTCGCCGCTTTTAACGTTATTCCAGTTATATCACGGCGTGTCAGCTTAATCCGGGAGGAAAGCCCGAAGTGATGCAAGTCTCAGACGTTTACCACTTCGGTGAAACCCACGAACACGGGTATGGTGCTGACAACCCATCGTCCTTGCGATTTCAGCTACGGACGTTCCCGTCTGCAACATGCCGATGGCACGTTCACGTTGCACATTTGAAAGGCGTGGCATGACAAATGGCCGTAAAGACTTTTGTTTTCTTGTGTTTTTCTTTTTGGGTTAATGACTGCTAACAAGTATGGCTGAAAACACGTGCGGTATTATGGCCACATGACCAGTTGCACGTGAAAAAACACTTTTGCCACTATAGTGCTGTGCACATGATTTTGATCGATTCACCTGCACAAAAACGGGTGATATCTGAAGACAATACGTGGCAATTACTGTTTAAATACACAATAAGGGCCCACAATGATAACTGGTCAAAATGTTAAAATTTTAGGATTGGGAAGTTTTTAATTTGGTTCAGTATATGTGTATGTAGTCTGTGATGGTTTAGTGTATACCAAACAATATCAGGCTCATAGGTCCCAAGACTTTGGGCCAATTATTGAATAGTAGTCCATTAAACATGGTTTACCCTATATATCCTTCTGCACTTCAGGGTTTTTTAAACAAGAATTAATTCTCATGTAGATGCTTCATAAAGGTAATGAAAGAAGTGCATGGAAAATCCCTTTACAGTAGACAGAGGATCGGGGCTACTCTAGAGAAGTATCTGTAAAATATGTATACCCCCCCCCCCCCCCCCCCCCCCACACACACACACACACCTCCCTCGCTGAATCCCTGGTATGGTTACACACAAGTTGTTTGTTTGTTGTTTTAACGCAACATTCGACAATATTCCAGCTATAAGACGGTAATCTGTACATAATCGAGTCTGGATAAGACAATCCAGTGATTGACATTATCGATTAACGCAATTGGGATACAATAGCATATGCATCAACCAAGTCAGCGAGCCTGACCACCCGACCCCGTTAGTCGCCTCTTACGACAAGCATAGTCGCCTATCACGGCAAGCATGTGTTGCTGAAGACGTATTCTACCCCGGGTCTTCACGGGTAGTTTAATAGTTTAAACGACAAGCATCACTACAACTCCTGAATAGCAGCAGGCATCTTACGAGTGGATTTACGACAACTATTTACCGTAGCACCTCTATACAGGACGCCCCCCCCCCCCCCCCCCCCCCCCCCTCAGTAATACAATAAATAGGTAAGCCTGGCCTCTAATAGACGCCGGGTCTCTAATACGGTGATGTGTTGAAAAATACATTTTGCATGACTGAACGTAGAGTTTGAGATGAGGTGATGCAGTGATTTGTCACTGTGACAGCATTAAACAGAATAGAAGCCTTGTCGATTTGAGCGAAATTAATAGTGGCCAGGTCTAATAGAGTGGATACTGTATCACATCTAGGTCAGTTGTTGTCTGTGTTCAACTGTCAGATAGACATGCTGAAGCACATACACAACCACAACGCACCCTTGTGTGACATAAACAATTGACAACGTATTAACACTTCAATAACATTGCATTGCTATGAGATCAGCATCGGACAACGTTAACGCAAAAACGTACGGACATCTATATATGGGGTGTACAGTTTATCTTGATGCAATGTTTTACCTTAGACATGGCGGATATGTCGGCTAGGTCAGCTTAACCTACTTTATTATAAACAATTGAGATAGGGCGTGACAGACGTTTTTTGTAGGTCAAGCGCCGATCCGCGCACGACACTGACTAGAAATAGCAGTGCATCCTTTTGTCAACTTTGTAATAAGATTTCATGTTTTAACCATCAATTGTGGTAGAGTTCTTAGGAGTTCATTCAGCATCTATTTCATCTGATACATTATAAACTACAGCGGCACTGTCTGTGATGAAAACATGCAATACTCTTCAGAGGTAATATGGAGATATGTACCAATTTAAACTAATCACACAGATTCAAATATATTCAAAATTCAGATATAATCAGTATTGTGTTTTGTAGGAATTGTTCTATAAATATATATACTGATATGTTATATTGATAATTGTGCACAAGAACACAACAATGGTCAGCAAATAGTGTGGCCATTTTGTTACAACTGCATTAAAATTTGGACCACACCCAGCAAATGTGGTTCGTGCCCTCTACCAACAAACCATAAGCTGGTTCCCGGCTCCCTATGCGCGTCGTCAACTTGCGATATTAGAGACGGGGCCCAGCTTAAACAAGCTCCTTACAGTGATAGAGCGTCATCTGCCGCACCACTCGTATCATTTCGAATGAGCCCGTATTATGTCTTCCCTCGTCTATGGCTATGCTGGACATCTTCAAAAACGCCTCTATAATTATCATAATAATACAAAATTTATGAATTTCGCACAGATGCGGGGGTGTTTTAATTGATTCGAAAACACGTCTCTATACTACAAACTACCTTTGCATTAATAGCCCAAGGGAAGGTAACTCTCAGTACTGCTGCCGGGCTAAACAAATCAGGTGTACAGCAACATCAATAAAATCGAAGATATCTGCCTGCTGTATGAAAATACGAACGTGGATATGTCGGCCAAACATGCCCAGGCTCTTCGGAAAAGAAAAGGTGGCAAAGAAAAGGAAGGTGGAAAGGAGGAGGAGTTTAAATCTCAAGATGTTCAAAATCAAAGAAAAGCAGACGCGAAGGCGACGCACCTTGTTAATGACAGCGAGGAGGACGAAAAACATGATCGAGGCGATATGAAGCCAGTGAGGAAGAGATACAACAGGGACGGGCTGTTGACTCCCAGTGATATATCGTCGGATGAGGACGACGAGTACCCGGCTCGAGAACCAAGGGCCTATTTTATGTGTCTGTGTTTATTCTCGCTGGCATCGTTACTCACAAGGCTTTATAATATTGAGCTACCTGAACATGTTTGGTAAGTTGCATTTTTTCCGAACTCCCCAAATATCAACCAGTTTACATGGTTAAGCATCTATAAAGTATGTGTTTACTGGTATCACCGACAGTCGTGGAAATGTTGAATGACATAAGCCAAGTTAGGGATGTGTAACTGCAAAATCTGCATCAGTTTCAAAATTAATGTTAATCTGTTAATGTTTATCCCACTTATCATGCTAATCCTGTGTTGTTTGGGGTCATTTCAGTGCGTTACTCTCATAACATTGCATGATAGAATGTACATGTACCTGCTGTTCACTATGTAAACAATTAGGGGTGACTTGGTCTGGAAATCACTATTGCGATAATTATTGATATTGAAAGAAACTATTGCGATAACTATTGATATTGCAAGCAACTATTGCGGTAGTTTTCAGTGTATCATTTTAGATAAATTTTAGAGTTGAATTAAAACTTGGAACTGAAGTTTCCTTTGAATATGATAGCCATGACAACAAATACAAAGTAAAGTTATTGAAACTGTAAAACTATGGTAAATACAATTGTAACTATCGATATTCCCAACTGAAATAAATGCTATTGATCGGAAACTGATTTAACAATAAATTTATTGACTTTAAGTACTTACCAATAGCAATATATCGATATTTCAATTTATCGTGACACCCCTAAAAACCATGCACATTGACATATTTATTAAGGGGAACCCTGTGGGGTTAGAATAGGCACCAGTACTTGTAGGATTAACAGTAAGACTCAATATGTATACTAAGACTTAATAAGTGCTTAACTGGATGTGGTCAGGCTCTGAGATTTGGTACAATACCTAATACAAAAACAAGGGCGGCCGGGTAGCCTAGTGGTTAAAGCGTTCGCTCATCACGTCAAAGACCCGGTTTTGATTCCAGACATGGGTACAATGTGTGAAGGCCATTTCTGGTGTTCCCCCGCCGTGATATTGCTGGAATATTGCTAAAGGTGGCGTAAAACCATACTCACTCACTCAATAGTATGAAAACAATGGTAAGCATGGTAAGTAGTCCAATTCAAATTAGTCAAAAGTCATCACGGTCATGTGAGCATGGTGAGGGTAATGGTTATTAGGAAGTTCAGATTTGCATTGGACTGGTGTCCAGATAATAACCAATTAATGTTGACATGGTTGATGAACAAAAAGAGTTGACTAGTATTTTCATGATGTACATGTTGTCATGAAAATTCCATTGAGTTCAATATCAGTGATAAATCAATAAATGTATTATTATATTATTATGGGCTAATACATTGAACACCGTTTTTACAACATTTGCAAGCACTACATGTCCTGAGATAGGTGTACCCCATCTGCTCCAGTAAAACTACAAATATAAACACTTGCATTTGACAATTCAACTGTGTTCAGGGTCTAAGATTGTAATGATTTTTCAGTCAAGTTATTATCGATTAATCCTTTGAACTGTTTTTTGCCACTCAGCTGATCATTCATTTCTTGCAGCGCCGGCACATGCATTTTACACAACATGTAATACATTCCCCACATTGGCCATTACCCACTGACTTGGTTGATGCATGTCATCGACCCCAATGGCGTGGATCGATGCTCATGATTTCAATCACTGGATTGTCTGGTCTAGACTCGGATTATTTACAGACCGCCGTCATATAGCTGGAATATTGCTGAGTGCGGTGTTAAACAACATAAAAACAAAAATACAAAACAAACAAACATTGGCTATTCGAACTACCGTATTCGACGTAATAAGCACCCAGGGCACTCTCAAAATTAGAAATAGGAGGCTCTTATTAGAATATAAGTTTGATGAGAAAAGAAAAGAGAGTTGAAAAGATCGTAAATTTCGTGGTTTATGCTGACAGCCTAAAATTATACAGAAGAAAAGTGCGTGCGTATTATACACGACAGATATATTTTCCCGAATTTAATTGCCTATAATTAAGTGTGCACATAACACACGGGTGAGTATATTACACGAATAAATAAGTCTTGTGTACAATGATCAATTGGAAGGGATGTTAATTGGGATTGTTCACTAGCCAATATATTAGCAAATATCGCCGTGGGCACTTGTTAGGACAGGGCACTTATTACGTCGAATATGGTACTAGATTTATAACCCAATCTTAGATTGAATATTTATACATGGGAAATGCCAAATGGGAAGCATTTTCCATGCCTAATGCTATGTATCATCATCTGAATAATTAAACTGTCATTGAGTTAAGGTGTATAGTATGTGTGAGGTAATGTGACATGATCTCAAGGACAAAATATACCTGTAATTAAGTCATTAACTTTGCATCACAATACACAGGTGAAACTCGGATGATGACACGGTTGCCGTGGTTGTTGTATGATATGGACATGATGGAATTCAGTTGCCTGAAAAATAATTGTTGTTTCTGTTTTGAGTGTATGAACACATGATGAACTGAACTTCATTCATGCAAAATAATAATGTATTTGCTGCATACTAAACATGCTACAGAGTAAACAATTGACTGAATTGTGTATACACATTTAATTTAATGGTTGGTTTTTATTCAATTTACATCTGATGGTGGTGGTATACAATAACCGTGCAAATAATGGAAAAATTTGGTTTCATTTTACCATGTTTACGACCCTCAAATAAATGAAATTGGTTATATTTAAGACAATTACCGTATTCGACGTAATAAGCGCCCAGGGCGCTCTCAAAATTGGAAATAGGGGGCTCTTATTAGTGTATTATTTTGTTGGAAAAAACAGAGTTGAAAAATAAATTTCGTGGTTTATGCCGACAGCCTGAAATGTTTATGTACGACAGATATACTTTTCAAGAATTTAATTGTCCATGATTAAGGATGCATATAACACACGAGTGCGTATTATATGCGAAAAAATAAGTCTTGTGTACATTGATCAATTGGAAGGGGTGCCAATTGGGATTGTTCACTAGCCAATTACGTCGACGTAATAAGCGCCCCGCTCTAATAAGCACCCACGGCGATATTTGCTAATATATTGGCTAGTGAACAGTCCCAATTAGCACGCCTTCCGATTGATCAATGTACACAAGACTTATTTATTCACCTATGCTACGCACTCGTGTGTTATATGCACCCTTAATTATGGGCAGTTAAATTCTGGAAAAAACATATCTGTCATATATAAGCATTTCAGGCTGTCAGCATAAACCACGAAATTTATCTTTCAACTCAGTTTTTTTCACCAAAATAACATTCTAATAAGAGCCCCCTATTCCTAATTTTGAGAGAGCCCTGGGCGCTTATTACGTCGAATACGGTATAATATAACCACGAGCAAATGGTAATCATTGATGTTGGAATGTATCTTACACTACTGTGATCACAATGATGCCAGCTCTGCAGCTCATGTTATGCATAGACAAAGACGGAATTGGTTTCGGTTCACATTATGACCACACTCAACAAACTCAGGTTCAGGATAGCTATTAACGTATGATGCCATGGGCAGATGAGCTTGATAAGGATACATTTGTTGCGTATGTAGGCCCTACATGACGTAACCACACTTCACATTTGGCATACCATGCATACCACAGTATCTGAAACATGCTGAAACAGCAGCAAGCAAGTACTTATCCATAACAAGAATACATGTAAATATGTTAACATGGTTAACACATGATTAACATTCTAAGGATGAGGCCACACTTTTGTTTTACTTGCTTTACCATGTTTACAGATCTGCTGACTATTAATTTTCTTGAAATTGAAAATAAATATTTGTAGATTTTTTTGCTCTCATTTTTTATCCCACCGATGACCTGATGGCATACCGCACTTTAAAAATATTTTCTAAACAGGGACCCACTGAGGTTGACATACGTCAAACATGGGAGTCAAAATAAAGTGTGTTGTTGTTCCTGAAATTGATAGGATGCACGACAGTATTCCAGCTTGATTCGTCAGGTTTGCATTGCTCAAAGCAACAGCTTTGTTGCACATGTTGCAGGCTTTCCTGTATAAAACCATTTATTTTTTAGTGGAGCAGATAAGCCAACAAAATATTGAATTGCTTTTTTTTGTTTGGACTGGAACAAGCAGCAACACACACACATGCATGCACATCGCTATGAAAGTGCAATAATCTTGAACGTGAACTTGAAAACCACATTTCTCCTCACTTCCAGTGTTGTGCACTGTAGAACACACACCTTGATCTTGTAACACACTATCCTGTTTATCATGTACACATGGTATACTTGTGAAATTTATTGATGACCATGATCAATATGATGAACCCTGTTCCTGTAACCATGGTAACATGTTGTTTTTTTCTTTCATCATGAGCACAATGAGTTTCTTTATGAATACACAACGCCATTTAGAAAGTGGTCAAATGTAACAAATATTATATTTGGGATATCACTTTCTAAGTAAAGTTCAGATTCTCATACTTTTGGGGGTTGAGTCCCATCCGGGATTCGAACCCACACTTGCCAGAGAGGGGCACCTAATCGCCTGCACACAAAGTCAGCGATCTAACCCACAAAGAAAGTAACATTTGTTACATTTGACCACTTTCTAAATGGCATTGTGTATTCATAGCTTTCGGCCATGGGAGCCGTGCCAATTTACACTTGTCAGAGGGGTACACAAAGTACGTGATCTAGACTACCAGTTGTCAGACTTTCTTTTTGTGGAAGCCTTGGTGGCTGAGTGGGTTAGATCGCTGGCGTTATGTGCTGGTGATTAGGTGCCTCACTCTGGCAAGTGTGGGTTCGAATCCCAGACGGGACTGAACTAAAAAAGTACAAGAATCTGTACTTAACTAAGAAAGTGTTATCCCAAATATAACATTTGTTGCAAGTTTCTATATACAGTAAACTACGGTTATAACGAAACACGCTTATAACGAACTGACGGATATAACGAACTACTTTTTTGGTCCCGACTATTTGCTGTAGTTATGCTGTATATATGCTTATAACGAACTACGGTTAAAACGAACTAAAATTAGTAGTCCCTTTGTGTTTGTTATAACCATACTTTACTGTATTGAATTATTTCTTTATTGGGACACGTAGACCATGAAGAAACCCTGGCAAGCCTTTCTCTCACATGATTGATATACATCTCCATTGCAGCTGGGACGAGACCCACTTTGGAAAAATGGGAAGCTGGTATATCAACCGGACATTCTTTTTTGATGTGCATCCGCCCTTAGGCAAGGTAATCCATAGTGTTCTCTCCCTGCCTGGACTTGCTCCCTGACAGCAGGTTCTGACAGAGCTACATTGTTTGATCTGGGCCAGGCCCTGAGGGCTACAGAGGCATAGGATTAACTCAACTCTATAGCTGGGTGGGGCCTTTGGCATGTACAGTGGAAAAGCTCATTTCTTTATTTGTCCTTAGGAACATGATCATGCATCATTCCTCCTTGTGATCATGATAATGCATCACTGACCTTATGATCATGATGATGAATCTTTAGTCCTTATGATCATGATGATGCATCATTTGTCCATATGATCATGATGATGCACCATTAGACGATTAGTCCTTATGATCATGATGATGCATCATTATTCCTTATGATCATGATGATACACCATTAGTCCTTATGATCATGATAGTGCATCATTAGTCCTGACGATCATGATGATGCATCTTTAGTCCTTATGAACATGATGATACATCATTAGACGATTAGTCCTTATGATCATGATGATGCATCATTATTCCTTATGATCATGATAGTGCATCATTAGTCCTTATGATCATGATGATGCATCTTTAGTCCTTATCATGCTTATGATCATGATGATACATCATTAGAAGATTAGTCCTTATGATCATGATGATGCATCATTATTCCTTATGATCATGATGATGCACCTTAGTCCTTATGATCATGATCATGATGATAGTGCATCATTATTCCTTATGATCACGATGATGCATCATTAGTCCTATAATCATCATGATGATTCACCATTATTCATATGATCATGATGATGATGCATCATTATTCCTTATGTTCATGATGATGCACCATTAGCATGATTAGTTCTTATGTTCATGATGGTGCACCATTAGTCCTTATGTTCATGATGATGCATCATTATTCCTTATGTTCATGATGATGCATCATTATTCCTTATGATCATGATGATGCACCATTAGTCCTTATGATCATGATGATGCACCATTAGTCCTTATGATCATGATCATGATGATAATGCATCATGATCATAAGGACTAATGATGGATAAGGTGTTTATACTTTTACCATCAAGAAATTTGCTTGTGGCCATTAGACTAGGAATTGAATTAAATTGACTTGTGCCGGTTTCCATGGTTTCTGGCATTGTTCTTGCTCAAGCTGTTGGCTAGCTGTGAAAGATAATTGAACTGAGTATTTTTCTTATCGTATGTCATCAAGCCTTTTGTGACTGTTGAATATGTTGATTCATTTTTAATGCTGGGTTAGACTAACTCAGACAAAGAAAATACCCATCGTATCGAGGAAGAAATGCAACAAGATTGAACCATGACCATGTAAACAGGCACTTATATCCTTCATTCTGATTTTCTTCTTTGTTCTTGATCTCCAATCAATTGACCTTTTGATGCTTACGCAGCAATCAATTATCAGTTATATCAATATTTATAGCTTAAATCAAGCAAATTCAGGCCAGAGACTCGCACTCAACAATGCTCAAGCATGATCAATATGATAAACATTACATAGACAAGACGGGGGCACGGGTGGCCCAGTTGTCTAAGGCGCCGCGATTTGATGTGCAAAGTTGTGTCGCTTAGGCACGCCAGAAACCTGTGATTGTTGGTTCGAATCCCGGTTCGCCCCGATTATGTTTCTAGGTTTGTCAGCACCATACCCGTGCTCGTGGGTTTCACCGAAGTGGTAAACGTCTGAAACCTGCATCACTTCGGGCTTTCCTCCCACATTAAGCTGACACGCCATGATATGACTGGAATATTGTTAAAAGCGGCGTTTAACCCAACTCACTCACTCACTGATTCTCAACTCTCTTTGTCATCTTACCGAAGCCAAGACCACTGGGATTAAGATATTTTGAACGATAACACTTTTAATAATTTTTCTAAAATTGTATTTCTTAATCATGTTAATTGAGTATCTTGAAGTTGAATAACGATCAATTTTGTCACATTTTGGTGGGGTTTTTTAAGCTCTAAGTCAAAATTAAAGTGGAAATAGGACATTATGGTTCTCAGTCGACAAAGAGATAAAGCCAAACTTCAGATACCAAATATGAAACATGGTACAAACCCTGGTTTGGAACGTTTAATATTGTTTAAACATGCTTTCAAAGATTCTCGCAAAACAAGTGCATGAAGTTCAATATCAACCCAATCATTAATCAGCAGCAGATCTATCATGTCTTTTATCTTGATTATTGAGTAAATTATCCTTAAACACCACAGCACTACAATCTATCAAGTCACATGTGTACACCACATACAAAAAGACCTCAGTATTTTTCAAGTACATCTCCAACTTGAGAAGTCAATAAAGTACCAGGGGAAATTGATATTGATTACTGTTATTGACAATGAAGACATGACTGACAGCTTGTTGCCCACATGTTTGCGGTCTGTCAATCAATACAAGCCATACATCATAGATGAAGATCAATACTTCCAGGCCGAATCACAATCACAGCGCCTACAGACTTAGCATGCTTACATGGCACCCCCTCAACACGGGGATGTACCATCTTCTATTATCCAGTGTAATTAGTCTCCATTGTATCCATTTATTTAATCCCAATTTGCCACCATGGCTTTGTTTTACCAGCTCCATTTCTCTCATCACTCTATTGCTCGTCAAGCTGAAGACCCGGGTTCGATTCCCGACATGGGTACAATGTGTGAAGCCCATTTCTGGTGTCCCCCGCCGTGATATTGCTGGAATATTGCTAAAAGCGGCGTAACGCACGCACGCACGCACTCACTCACGCACTCACTCACTCACTCACTCACTCACTCACTCACTCATGTCATTGTATCCCACTCACTCACTCACTCACTCACTCACTCACTCACTCACTCACTGTCTCTTGCTCATGACCATGAATCAACAAATAACCAAATGGCCTGTTCTGAACACAAGTTCAGCATAGACCTACTTTCAAACTTTCTGCCGTGTTTGAACTTGCCCTTGATATATTCTATCGATTTATAACACTGTCACATGACTGACAGAAAGGAGCTTTAGCTGGAGATGTTTTCCTGAGGACTAAGATGTGGTAGTTTCTTCCTTCAAGACATTCCAGTAAAGGTGCAACAGCCCTCTAAGTTTGTTTTTTGTCAGGGACCCAAGCGGCCCCATGAAGATCCGGGGTAGATTAGGTCTTCAGCAACCCATGCTTGTCGTAAGAGGCGACTAACGGGATCGGGTGGTCAGGCTCGCTGACTTGGTTGATGCATGTCATTGTATCCCAATTACGTGGTTTGATGCTCATGATCTCAATCACTGGATTGTCTGATCCAGACTCGATTATTTACAGACATCCATCAAATAGCTGGAATATTGCTGATTGCAGCATTAAACAACAAACAAACAAACAAACAAATAAAGGATTTAAAAAAAATTGTGGGTGCTCATAATACCCAAATCGAGAGCACAGTTCAGACATTAGGTGTCTGAGAAAGGGGTGGATGTACACCCCTTCATAAATAATTATTACAACAAGGGTACTAAAAAAAACAAATTTGTTGTCATGGTAATTCATGTAATAAAAAGTATGTACATTTGATTGAAATGGTAGGAGTCTTATTTAGCGTGATGAGCATAATGAACTAGGTATATTCACAAAACAAGGAAAAGGAACTGTCATTTTTCCATGGCCCTGTGATAAATTTTGACGACCCCCCTTAATCTCACACCCCTAATATCTCTTTACCACTCCCACCCTAGACCCCCACTGTACATGCTGTAGTTAGTTATATTCATGAGACAGCTTTGGACAAAAAATTGAAGTGAGTGAATTTTGCACTGTATTGGCAAAGCCTTGACAAGTTTAACAGGTTTAAGCATGATCGGAATAACAAAATCTATAAATCTATGAAAATCGCTCTGTCCTTGAGCATCTCTCACCCAGAGAAGCCTTTGATCAGCATCATATGCATTGAGGATGACAGTGTTAATCCCACTACTTTCGACTCAATAGTTCTGTTTTGTCACTATGGTTACTTGACCTGGTTCTTAATCCTTTTGATCATGGATATCGTAACATCTACAAGACTAGAGTCATGCTTACAGTTGAACTTTAAACAGGTTAAGTGGATTTGTTTAAACTCAGGGTTCTGGTCAAAGGAAGAGTGTTGTCAAATGTTTCTTCTCGATACACACAGGCTTCATGATGACACAGCTATGTCTTTGATACACACAAGGATGCAACTTGTCTAATGTTAACAAGTTGGATGTCTGCTAGCCCGAGTCAGCTTGTCTCATGTTAACAACTTGGATGTCTGCTTGCCAGAGTCAGTTTGTCTAATGTTAACAACATGGATATCTGCTTGCCTGAATCAGTTAATGTTAACATGTTATCCTGACATGCCTTAGGTCAAGTTATAATTCAGATTTTTCAAAGGGGTGTTCCGATTTGGGTTAATGAATATTTCAGGTTAGTTGGCATCCCTGACAGATGTGGCAATGATGCCTTGCTTCCACAATTGAATGAATTCAGCACTGCAGTTGCCATGTTGTTTATGAGCTGGGTGTCGATATCGTTATGGATTTTGATTGGGCTCTGCATAAACTCGTTAGTCCAGCCAAAATATAACTCCGGAATACCAGCCTAGACTTTTATAGTCAGTTATATACCCTTGCCTCAGGAGGATGGTCATGGTTAGGGCTGGATGAGTTTCTCGTTATGTTTATTCTAATGGTCACATTTGTATTTTTTTAAATTTATCATTCAGCATGTTCCACAGTACTACAGTCTTACAAAGCCTGCGTAGAAACATATTCATGTTTTTTTGTGTTGAAATTGTTTAAAACATCCTTTTTCAGATGCTCATAGGCCTGGCTGGGGTAACTACAGGTTATGATGGCAGCTTTGCTTTTACCAAGCCTGGAGATGAGTACGGGGACACCAAGTATGTGGGCATGAGAGTGGTGAGTACGGGGACACTGAGACATGTGAGAGTGGTGAGTATGGGGGCACTGAGACATGTGAGAGTGGTGAGTATGGGGCCACTGAGACATGTGAGAGTGGTGAGTATGGGGACACTGAGACATGTGAGAGTGGTGAGTATGGGGGCACTGAGACATGTGAGAGTGGTGAGTATGGGGGCACTAAGACATGTGAGAGTGGTGAGTATGGGGGCACCAAGACATGTGAGAGTGGTGAGTATGGGGGCACTGAGACATGAGAGAGTGGTGAGTACGGGGCCACTAAGACATGTGAGAGTGGTGAGTACGGGGGCACTGAGACATGAGAGAGTGGTGAGTACGGGGCCACTAAGACATGAGAGAGTGGTGAGTATGGGGCCACTAAGACATGTGAGAGTGGTGAGTACGGGGACACTTAGACATGTGAGAGTGGTGAGTACGGGGACACTAAGACATGTGAGAGTGGTGAGTATGGGGGCACTGAGACATGAGAGAGTGGTGAGTACGGGGCCACTAAGACATGAGAGAGTGGTGAGTATGGGGCCACTAAGACATGAGAGAGTGGTGAGTACGGGGCCACTAAGACATGAGAGAGTGGTGAGTATGGGGCCACTAAGACATGTGAGTATGGGGGCACTGAGACATGAGAGAGTGGTGAGTACGGGGCCACTAAGACATGAGAGAGTGGTGAGTATGGGGCCACTAAGACATGTGAGTATGGGGGCACTGAGACATGTGAGAGTGGTGAGTATGGGGGCACTGAGACATGAGAGAGTGGTGAGTATGGGGCCACTAAGACATGTGAGAGTGGTGAGTACGGGGGCACTGAGACATGAGAGAGTGGTGAGTACAGGGACACTGAGACATGTGAGAGTGGTGAGTATGGGGCCACTAAGACATGTGAGAGTGGTGAGTACGGGGACACTTAGACATGTGAGAGTGGTGAGTACGGGGCAACTAAGACATGTGAGAGTGGTGAGTACGGGGACACTAAGACATGTGAGAGTGGTGAGTATGGGGGCACTGAGACATGAGAGAGTGGTGAGTACGGGGCCACTAAGACATGAGAGAGTGGTGAGTATGGGGCCACTAAGACATGTGAGTATGGGGGCACTGAGACATGTGAGAGTGGTGAGTATGGGGGCACTGAGACATGAGAGAGTGGTGAGTATGGGGCCACTAAGACATGTGAGAGTGGTGAGTACGGGGGCACTGAGACATGAGAGAGTGGTGAGTACAGGGACACTGAGACATGTGAGAGTGGTGAGTATGGGGCCACTAAGACATGTGAGAGTGGTGAGTACGGGGACACTTAGACATGTGAGAGTGGTGAGTACGGGGCAACTAAGACATGTGAGAGTGGTGAGTACAGGGGTACAGATACATGTGAGAGTGGTGAGTACAGGGGTACAGAGACATGTTAGTATGGAGAGTACTGAGACAAGGAAGAGTGGTGAGTATGGGGGCACTGAGACATGTGAGAGTGGTGAGTATGGGGGCACTGAGACGAGAGTGTCGAGTATGGGGCTACTGAGACATGTGAGAGTGGTGAGTATGGGGGCACTGAGACATGTGAGAGTGGTGAGTATGGGGGCACTGAGACATGTGAGAGTGGTGAGTACGGGGGCACTGAGACATGTGAGAGTGGTAAGTACGGGGGCACTGAGACATGTGAGAGTGGTGAGTATGGGGGCATTGAGACGAGAGAGTGGCGAGTACTGAGACAAGGAAGAATGGTGAGTACGGGGGCACTGAGACATGTGAGAGTTGTGAGTACGGGGGCACTGAGACATGTGAGAGTGGTGAGTATGGGGGCATTGAGACGAGAGAGTGGCGAGTACTGAGACAAGGAAGAGTGGTGAGTATGGGTGCACTGTGACATGTGAGTACGGGGGCACAGAGACATGTGAGAGTGGTGAGTATGGGGGCACTGAGACATGTGAGAGTGGTGAGTATGGGGGCTACTGAGACATGTGAGAGTGGTCATTGTCATGTGTTCATGCATTACTTATTTGGCAAGTAGCCAGATACATGCAATGGTAATGAAATACTAATGATCAGTGATCTCTCAGGGTATGAATATACATACAGTGTTGAACTAAAACATGAGGTGAGCATTTTGTCATTAGCCTAATGGCCTTACTGTTTCAGTTCTGTGCCACATGTGGAGCAATGCTGGTGCCTGTCTCTTTCAAGGTTGTATGGGTGCTCACTCGCTCCCTCGTTGCTGCCATCTTTGCTGCTTGTCTCATCCTGTTTGGTGAGTAGTTCCTCATACAAGAGACATGGCTGTTATGTCAATCACATTGATTTCCCTGTTGGACAAAGTGACATACATCAACAGGCACACTGACTGCCTGTGTTACAGATGTAGGCACACTGACTGTCTATGTGACAGATGTAGGCACATTGACTGCCTGTGTTACAGATGTAGGCACACTGACTGTCTATGTGACAGATGTAGGCACATTGACTGCCTGTGTTACAGATGTAGGCATGCTGACTGTCTGTGTTACAGATGTAGGCACACTGACTGCCTATGTTACAGATGTAGGCACACTGACTGCCTATGTTACAGATGTAGGCACACTGACTGTCTATGTTACAGATGTAGGCACACTGACTGTCTATGTGCGTATGTAGGCACACTGACTGTCTATGTGACAGATGTAGGCACACTGACTGTCTATGTTACAGATGTAGGCACGCTGACTGTCTATGTTACAGATGTAGGCACACTGACTGTCTATGTTACAGATGTAGGCACACTGACTGTCTATGTGACAGATGTAGGCACATTGACTGCCTATGTTACAGATGTAGGCACACTGACTGTCTATGTTACATATATGGGCACACTGACTGTCTATGTTACAGATGTAGGCACACTGACTGTCTATGTTACAGATGTGGGCACACTGACTGTCTATGTGACAGATGTAGGCATGCTGACTGTCTATGTTACAGATGAATGCATGCTGACTGTCCATGTTACAGATGTAGGCACACTGACTGTCTATGTGACAGATGTAGGCATGCTGACTGTCTATGTTACAGATGAAGGCATGCTGACTGTCCATGTTACAGATGTAGGCATGCTGACTGTCCATGTTACAGATGAAGGCACACTGACTGTCCATGTTACAGATGAAGGCATGCTGACTGTCCATGTTACAGATGAAGGCATGCTGACTGTCCATGTTACAGATGTAGGCATGCTGACTGTCTATGTTACAGATGAAGGCACACTGACTGTCTATGTTACAGATGAAGGCATGCTGACTGTCTATGTTACAGATGAAGGCATGCTGACTGTCCATGTTACAGATGAAGGCACACTGACTGTCCATGTTACAGATGTAGGCACACTGACTGTCTATGTTACAGATGTAGGCACACTGACTGTCTATGTTACAGATGAAGGCATGCTGACTGTCCATGTTACAGATGAAGGCATGCTGACTGTCCATGTTACAGATGAAGGCATGCTGACTGTCCATGTTACAGATGTAGGCACACTGACTGCCTCTGTCACAGATGTAGGCATGCTGACTGTCCATGTTACAGATGAAGGCACACTGACTGTCCATGTTACAGATGAAGGCATGCTGACTGTCCATGTTACAGATGAAGGCATGCTGACTGTCTATGTTACAGATGTAGGCACACTGACTGTCTATGTTACATATGAAGGCACACTGACTGTCCATGTTACAGATGAAGGCATGCTGACTGTCCATGTTACAGATGTAGGCATGCTGACTGTCTATGTTACAGATGAAGGCACACTGACTGTCTATGTTACAGATGAAGGCATGCTGACTGTCTATGTTACAGATGAAGGCATGCTGACTGTCCATGTTACAGATGAAGGCATGCTGACTGTCCATGTTACAGATGAAGGCACACTGACTGTCCATGTTACAGATGTAGGCACACTGACTGTCTATGTTACAGATGTAGGCACACTGACTGTCCATGTTACAGATGTTGGCATGCTGACTGTCCATGTTACAGATGTAGGCACACTGACTGTCCATGTTACAGATGAAGGCATGCTGACTGTCCATGTTACAGATGTAGGCACACTGACCGCCTATGTTACAGATGTAGGCACACTGACTGTCTATGTTACAGATGAAGGCATGCTGACTGTCCATGTTACAGATGTAGGCACACTGACTGCCTATGTTACAGATGTAGGCACACTGACTGTCTATGTTACAGATGTAGGCACACTGACTGTCTATGTTACAGATGTAGGCACACTGACTGTCTATGTTACAGATGAAGGCATGCTGACTGTCCATGTTACAGATGTTGGCATGCTGACTGCTATGTTACAGATGTAGGCACACTGACTGTCCATGTTACAGATGTAGGCACACTGACTGCCTCTGTCACAGATGTAGGCACACTGACTGCCTCTGTTACAGATGTTGGCACACTGACTGCCTCTGTCACAGATGTAGGCACACTGACTGTCTATGTTACAGATGTAGGCACACTGACTGCCTCTGTCACAGATGTAGGCACACTGACTGCCTCTGTCACAGATGTAGGCACACTGACTGTCCATGTTACAGATGTAGGCACACTGACTGCCTCTGTCACAGATGTAGGCACACTGACTGCCTCTGTCACAGATGTAGGCACACTGACTGCCTCTGTTACAGATGTTGGCACACTGACTGCCTCTGTCACAGATGTAGGCACACTGACTGTCTATGTAACAGATGTAGGCACACTGACTGTCTATGTTACAGATGTAGGAACACTGACTGTCTATGTTACAGATGAAGGCATGCTGACTGTCCATGTTACAGATGTTGGCACGCTGACTGCCTCTGTCACAGATGTAGGCGCGCTGACTGCCTGTGTTACAGATGTAACGGCTATGGACAACATGACCCTATTTCCTCTATGTTACAGAAGTGGACAACATGACACTGTTTCCTCTATGTAACAGTTATGGGCAACATGACACTGTTTCCTCTATGTTACAGCTATGGGCAACATGACACTGTTTCCTCTATTTTACAGCTATGGGCACCATTACACTGTTTCCTGTATGTTACGGATGTGGACAACATGACACTGTTTCCCCTATGTTACAGCTATGGGCAACATAACACTGTTTCCTCGATGTTACAGCTATGGGCAACATAACACTGTTTCCCCTATGTTACAGATGTGGACAGCATGACACTGTTTCCTCTATGTTACAGATGTGGACAACATGACACTGTTTCCCCTATGTTACAGCTATGGGCAACATGACACTGTTTCCTCTATGTTACAGATGTGGGCACCATGACACTGTTTCCTCTATGTTACAGCTATGGGCAACATGACACTGTTTCTTCTATGTCACAGATGTGGGCACCATGACACTGTTTCCTCTATGTTACAGCTATGGGCAACATGACACTGTTTCCTCTATGTTACAGCTATGGGCAACATGACACTGTTTCTTCTATGTCACAGATGTGGGCACCATGACACTGTTTCCTCTATGTTACAGCTATGGGCACCATGACACTGTTTCTTCTATGTTACAGATGTGGGCACCATGACACTGTTTCTTCTATGTTACAGATGTGGGCACCATGACACTGTTTCAACTATGTTACAGCTATGGGCACCATGACACTGTTTCTTCTATGTTACAGCTATGGGCAACATGACACTGTTTCCTCTATGTTACAGCTATGGACAACATGACACTGTTTCCTCTATGTTACAGCTATGGGCAACATGACACTGTTTCCTCTATGTTACAGCTATGGGCAACATGACACTGTTTCCTCTATGTTACAGCTATGGGCAACATGACACTGTTTCTAGGGGGCATGGGTGGCCCAGTCGTCTAAGGCGCCGCGATTTGCTGTGCAGAGTTGCGTCCCTTCGGCATGCCAGCAACCTATGATTGTGGGTTCGAATCCCGATTATGTTTCTAGGTTTGTCAGCACCATACCGTGGGTTTCATCGAAGTGGTAAACGTCTGAGACCTGCATCACTTCGGGCTTTCCTCCCACATTAAGCTGACACGCCGTGATATAACTGGAATACTGTTAAGAGCGGCGTTAAACCAAACTCACTCACTCACTCACTATGTTACAGCTATGGGCAACATGACACTGTTTCTTCTATGTTACAGCTATGGGCACCATGACACTGTTTCTTCTATGTTACAGATGTGGGCACCATGACACTGTTTCCTCTATGTTACAGCTATGGGCACCATGACACTGTTTCTTCTATGTTACAGATGTGGGCAACATGACACTGTTTCCTCTATGTTACAGCTATGGACAACATGACACTGTTTCCTCTATGTTACAGCTATGGGCAACATGACACTGTTTCCTCTATGTTACAGCTATGGACAACATGACACTGTTTCCTCTATGTTACAGCTATGGGCAACATGACACTGTTTCCTCTATGTTACAGCTATGGGCAACATGACACTGTTTCCTCTATGTTACAGCTATGGGCAACATGACACTGTTTCTAGGGGGCATGGGTGGCCCAGTCGTCTAAGGCGCCGCGATTTGCTGTGCAGAGTTGCGTCCCTTCGGCACGCCAGCAACCTATGATTGTGGGTTCGAATCCCGATTATGTTTCTAGGTTTGTCAGCACCATACCGTGGGTTTCATCGAAGTGGTAAACGTCTGAGACCTGCATCACTTCGGGCTTTCCTCCCACATTAAGCTGACACGCCGTGATATAACTGGAATACTGTTAAGAGCGGCGTTAAACCAAACTCACTCACTCACTCACTATGTTACAGCTATGGGCAACATGACACTGTTTCTTCTATGTTACAGATGTGGGCACCATGACACTGTCCCGTCACATCCTACTTGACCCTATTCTGCTTGTGTTCATCATGATGGCAACCTATTCTTCTGTGAAATTCAAAGCTTATCAAAACAGGTATTTGTATATTTCTTTCTTTATATAGATAAGGTAGATCTATGTTAAATTTGATTTATGCATAATAAATACATGATTGACATATGCAGTAGCGTGTTCACTTCCATGTTTAACTTTCAGACCCTTCAGCTTCTCCTGGTGGGGTTGGCTGTCAGTGACAGGAGTATTTCTCTCATGTTCCATAGGGTGAGTGTCTTGTGCAGAAGAAGTGGTAAATTTGATATTCTGGGGGTTTGACCCAAAATGTTTTGTCCTTTTTTTTAAAAAAAGTTTTTTTCACTAAGGACCGCCTCCGTGGTCTAGTGGTAGAGCGTCCGCCCGGAGAGCGGAAGGTCCGGGGTTCGATCCCCGACCGTGTCATACCAAAATATGTTAAAAGATGGTACTTGTTGTTACCCTGTCTGGTGCTCGGCGTTAAGGGGATAAAACAAGGACTGGTCAGCTCGGAGTCAGTACTGTGTTTGAGTGGGGTATTCATGTTAAACTGCGGCATGGTATCTCAGTGAGCTAGCAGTATAAATCGGCACATAAAACCATTCTCACTCCTCTCACTAGTATGAGCTACAGTTATAACAAACTCAATTCATTAGTCACTTTTAGTTCGTTATAACCATAGTTTACTATAATAATTATAAAAAATCTGTTATGATTACCAAAGGCCTGCATAAGAACACCACCATTTAACTAAGACTCGGTTGATATTTCCCATATTCAAAAACACTCGTGATGAATCCTCTATATATTCACTTGCATATGATGTTATGATACGGCCACACACTCAGCTCATGATCTTTGTTTCTCTTATTTTCAGTGTAAAGTTTGTTGGTCTGTTTGTGATCGTGCTGGTAGGCCTGACAACTGCCTATGATCTGTGGGAACTGCTAGGGAATCAAGCAATGTCCATGGTAACAATTCACACGTCTTTTTGTGTCCTATCTACTAGAAATCGCTAAGTTGACCCTAAAGAGTTGGGGGAGAGATGGTGGCCCAGTCATCTGGGGCACAACAATTTGTTGTGCAGAGTTGCTTCCCTTGGGCACACAAGCTCCTTCCCAGCACATGACATCTTCGTTACACTCTCGGTAACATCACTTCAACCAGTGTGGGTGGGCCATTTCAAGAATCTTGAAATTTGCCCTCTAACCCCAAATGTAGTCACATTCATACTTTTGTTTACATGTTTGGGAAGCCATCATAGTTCATTTTGAAAACGTTTGTGACTGACCACGTTTTCCAGATGAATTTACTTTGTTGTTGGTGTAATCAGATTGGTTCGAGATTGCAGACTAAGGAAAATCAACCAACTTCTCTCTTAAATTCTCGCTTTATCAATTACATGATAGTTTTAATGAAATAGAAATTCAAATTGACAAAGATAAAAGTAATTTACAGGGGTAAATGTATTCGGCGCCACGACAGTCGTCACTTGTTTGTAAACATAACGGTCAATTGGCTGCAAATTGGTCATCTATCACTGTGGGAAGTTTTGACTGGTGGCAGCGATAGTATAGAGAGCTTGTCGAACGGGCTATCGCTGTGAGGAGCTTGCACAGGAGACCTATGATAATGTTGTATCATTCGTCACCACTCGCCCCTTTCCGTAACCTGCAAGAAGACTCGTCCCCCTCTCGATGAATGTTATGTGCGAAAGTACGACAAACCAATCAGAGTGCGCGTATGATTTCAAGTACTTCGTCAAAGAATCCCTCAGAAATAATTTTTGATTTTACATATGTCATGTATGTCTTGCATCTAAAAATATACCAAAGACACAGTTAAATGTGTTCAATCATATTGTATAATTCCGCACGTCCCGATGTGCTTTAAAAGGCATCTGAAATATATATAATATATGGGGAAATATATGTGAACCATTACGCAACGATTTGACAATTGTTTTAGTTATGCCCGTTTGCGCTGAGACGGAACCCGGTCGCAAAAATGGCCACGAGAGGGGCACGAGTCGCTATTCGGCTTGTCCCGGAATAACACGAGTTGGTCACGAATGAATGTTGTATGTTTCAAATTCAAATTTTCTCAGTTATCTACCCTTTTGTGAATCTGCCACTAGGTGGAGGTGATGAAGCATCTGGGAGCCAGAGCCCTGTGTCTGATTGGTCTACCAGCTGTCGGCTACATGATAATATTTGCTGTCCACTTCAATGTGCTCAGTCTAAGGTGAGTTTGAACATGAGCGCCCCATGCCATTGTAACACGATATACAGTCAGTGCATTGTATTGTGTTGGTGCTATACATTAATTTATTGAAACATCAGGGAAAACAACATGTTAAAATAGGATCTTGACTATATTTAGGCTAAAAAAAATAGTAGTCTTGGTTCTCAGGCACCGCCCAAATCATCATTAAGTCTGCCGCATGTTTCGTTTTTATTTCCATTTTAAAAAAAATGAAATAATCCTAATACTTAAAAACAATGCAATCCAATATAACACACCGTTACTTCCCTTTACATGTGCACTGCCAAGCTCCTTCCCAGCGCGTGACACCTTCGTTACACTCTCTGTAACATTGCTGCCACCAGTGTGGGCGAGGCCATTACAAGAATCTTGAAATTTGCCCTCAAACCCCATATGTAGTAACGTTTATACTTTTGTTTATGTCTTTGGGAATGCCATCATATTTCAATTTGAAAAGGTTTACGACTGACAATGTTTTCCAGACGAATTTACTTTGTTGTTTTGATAATCAGATTGGTTCGAGATTGCAGACTAACGGAAAATCAACCAACTTCTCCCTTACATTCTTACTATATCAATAACACGATAGTTTTAATGAAACAGAAATTCAAATTGACAAACGAAGAAAGTAATTTAGCAGCGATAAGTGTATTCGGCGCACGACAGTCGACACTTGTTTGAAAACATAACGGTCATTCCGTTGCGAGTTCAACGCCAAGCATGGTTGTGGCCACCTATTCACAGTTGGGAATTTTGACTGGTGGCAGCGATAGTATAGAGAGCTCCGGGAACGTACTATCGCTGTGAGGAGCTTGGTGCACTGCTTTACTGCACATCTCGTGTTGTGGTCATGGCAGCAATAGGAGTTGTATGCTTGTTTATGTAGGGAGGCCCTTTCCCAGGCTGATGGGAAATCAACGGTTTATTTGGTTACATACTAGTTTGAACAAGCGAAAAAAACAAAAATACCCGCCACCCGCCCGCACTATATTTTCGAACATCATTGAGTGAGAACCAATTCTTTTATTCTTTTAAGCCTTATTGTGGTGTGGAGATTGCTTGGAACATTGCTTTCTGAACCACTCACTATGCATCCGCTATGCGCTTGTCATAATGGTTTAATTGGCCATGAGGTAACCTTGTTGGTAAACATGCGCTCATTACAGAATGAAGAAATTCCAAGGGATTCCATGGGATTTGATTGGCTGACCATCGACTCTTTTGCTTTTATGTTTCTATAAATCAAAAGTATTATGCCCAACCTGCTAAGAGACTGCTGTTTCCTGATTGGCTGCTAATAGGCTAGGCGCAGCATGTGGTGCATTATTGCACTGAACAATGTCACTGATTTAAAGTAAAAATTGACTTTAGTATGTTTATGGTGGTATAAACATAGGAACCGTTCTGCACATGTTAACGGTAGCGGATTACGCCAAGTGTGCACATCGGTTTTAACGTAATATATGTACCGTATATCGCTGTGTATAAGGCGAGTTTTTCATACCTTGAATTAGGGGGTATTACAAGATAAAGCAAGCCTCAACAGATGTATGCTGAACCAAGTTAAAAACTTCCCAATCCTAAAATTTTAACATTTTGACCATTTATCATTGTGGGCCCTTATTGTGTATTTAAACAGTAATTGCCGCGTATTGTGTTCTGATAACACCCGTTTTTGTGCAGGTGAATCGATCAAAATCATGTGCTCAGCACTATAGTGGCAAAAGTGGTTTTTCACGTGCAACTGGTCATGTGGCCATAATACTGCACGTTTTTTCAGCCATACTTGTTAGCAGTCATTAACAAAAAAAGAAAAACACAAGAAAACAAAAGTCTTTACGGCCATTTGTCATGACACGCCTTTCAAATGTGCAACGTGTACGTGCCATCGGCATGTTGCAGAAGGGATCGTCGGTAGCTGAAGTCGCAAGGACGATGGGTTGTAGTCGACGGACTGTTTATGATTTACAGACGCGTCTACAGCAAACGGGTACCACCACTGATCGCCCTCGGTCAGGTCGACAACGTGTGACGTCACATGCAGAGGATCGTCAGATTGTCTTACGTCACCTCCGTAACCGATTTTTGACGGCTACATCAACCAGAAATGATCTGTTTAGGGGTAGACTGACTGCGCAAACTGTTCGAAACTGTCTGAGAACTGCTCACCTTCAAGCATGACAGCCATACTGCGGGCCCATTCTGACTCAATTACACAGACGTCAACGTCAATTGTGGGCACAGCGACACTTACGATGGACTCAGAGGAATTGGAATCAAGTCGTCTTCAGTGATGAATCCCGATTTAATCTTCGATTTGCTGATGGTAGGGCGAGGGTGTGGAGGCGCCGTCATGAACGTTATGCCCAGTGTTGTGTACAGGAAGTTGACAGATTTCGAGGCGGAAGTGTCATGGTGTGGAGTGCTTTCTGTGGCAATGCACGTTCCAGCCTTCTTGTCACCCGTGGCAACCTCAACGCTGCTGCTTACCGCGACCAGGTATTGGCACCACAACTTCTGCCTTTTATGGCAGCACATGGACCCGGTTTGATCTTCCAACACGACAATGCCAGACCCCACACAGCAATTTTGACAAGGAATTTCCTTCAGAATGCGGGAGTCAACGTCATGGACTGGCTGTCAAGGTCTCCCGACCTCAAACCCATCGAACGCGTCTGGTATGCTCTTTGCAGAAGTCTGCGCACTCTCCAGAACCAACCACAGAATTTGCAAGATCTTGGCACCATTTTGCAGCAACAATGGCGTCGTCTTCCCAATCATGTGTTCACAAGCATCACAAGGTCCATGCGGAGGCGTTGTGTGGCAGTTGTCAACACACATGGTGGCCATACACGCTACTGAACTTGTGTGCCATCAGATTCTCGCGCTTGGGACTTATGATTTAATTTATTTATGGTTACCACCGTTAATTAAAATCCTTCTTTGGACATTAATGATTAAAAATTACCTTCTCTGATACATTTGTCCGTTGTATATCATATATGGGATTACTTTTAAAAATGTGAAGTTTTTAATTTGACTCAGTATATATCTAACAATACTTAAGTATCATGATACCAACATGTATCAGTGACTCGTTACACCCCAGCAATGGCTAGCATTGCTGAGGGGATACCCGGTAGTACATACATGCTTTACATATGTTACATATGTGCTTTTCTTTGCCAACTTTGCTGCACCAGCATTAAGTGTATTGAGCCTGTTGATTGTATTTCAGTGGTAATGGTGACGGCTTCTACAGTTCAGCCTTCCAGTCCTCCTTGGTGGGAAATAAACTCTACAATGTCAGCATGCCAGAAAGTGAGTCAGTTGACTGCTAGTTATAAGTCTAAGGAAGTACTCTCCCTTAATAGAATAAAATGTGGACTGCTGTTTTATTCTAAGGTCCTGATTGGCTGCATTATTATGATGAGGCATTTTGACTCACTCACTCACTCACTCACTCACTCACTCACTCACTCTTAAGGCAGACCAATGTCTTTCCATGTCACTCACTCACTCACTCACTCACTCACTCACTCACTCACTCACTCTTAAGGCAGACCAATGTCTTTCCTTGTCACTCACTCCTTACTCACTCACTCCTCACTCACTCAATCACTCACTCACTCTTAAGGCAGACCAATCTTTTCCCTTGTCACTCACTCACTCACTCACTCACTGTTATGGCAGACCAATCTCTTTCCTTGTTTTACTGTCGAGCCTACGCTGAATATTGAAAGATAATAATGAAATAAATGCTGTATGATTGATTAAATACCAGGCAGAAAATTGACATCAGCTAGACCTGATGAATGTGAAGAGCCAACTCAATCTGGATAAATAAGTTGTTGTTATTGTCATTACTTAAGTCTCATGTTATCTGAATGATTTGAATTTGACAAAGCGCCTTGTTGCAGACATAGCATTTGGCAGTACTGTAACTTTGAAGCAGCGCCGTACTGGTGGGGCATACCTACACTCCCACTGGCATCTCTACCCAGAGGAGCATCCCCCTAAACAGCAGCAGGTGAGTCATAGTCTTCATCATTACATCATCACACCAACACCACCACCAGCCCCCAACATCAGTTCCAGCAGCATATGCCTGTTGAACTTGAAAGAGGCCAGAGCTGTAAGAACATATACGTTTCTATAATGTTGAACTCACCACCAACACCCAACATCAGTTCCAGCAACATACGCCTGTTGAACTTGAAAGAGGCCAGAGCTGTAAGAACATATACGTTTCTATAATGTTGAACTCACCACCAACACCCAACATCAGTTCCAGCAACATACGCCTGTTGAACTTGAAAGAGGCCAGAGCTGTAAGAACATATACGTTTCTATAATGTTGAACTCACCACCAACACCCAACATCAGTTCCAGCAACATACGCCTGTTGAACTTGAAAGAGGCCAGAGCTGTAAGAACATTTACGTTTCTATAATGTTGAACTAGCCAAAGGGACAAACGGCCTTAAACATTCCACCTTCCCATTGAAATGTTACCAGCTTGCTACTTAGTATGTGGTAGCTGTTTTGCTAGAAGTGCTGTGTGTTGAGCTTTCTCAATCCATTAATCCCACTAATACCTGACATAATATTGACAGCACTTCTGTTGACAACCACCATCATCTGAGGCAAGGGAGTTAACTGACTATAAACATGATAAAAGTCCAGTTTCCACCCTTGCTGAACTAGGCTGGAATTTCTGGGCTGGATTGTAGTGCCACAAGTGGTTATTAGGAGTTATGTCCCTTCTATGTCCCTCCTAATGACCAATCACATTCCATTTCTCATATCACTTGCATTTGCTTCAAACAAAATGGTGGCGCCCAGTCAAGATGATCTGATCGCTAATCAAGATCTTTATCCCTTGAGCACCTTGATAAAAACATGAAAAGATCTGCAAAATATCTGTTGACGGCCAGTTGGTGGAACTCTTGCTTTGCAAATCCTTCTGTCGACCGAAATCTGCATGTTGAAATTCATGTTGTTTACGAACCAGATGTCTAGTTCGTTACTCCGGAATTCCAGCCTAGTTCAGCAATGGTGGCATTATAGTCAGGTAAAGCCCTTGCCTCCAGAAGATCACAACCACCAGAGATGACAGATTCTTGCATTGCAATTACCTAATGATGTCAGATAATCATGGTCATGCAAGGAGAGGGTAATTATAGCATCATGTTTTGTCTAGTACAAATTTTAAAATTGACCAAGTGGTCAGTCCTAGCATGCCTAGTGACCACCTTTTGGTGAACTCCTGATACCATGGCTTCATTTATTACCCATAGGTTTAGAAATAACCAAGTTCATAAAACTCATAATTGCACCAGTGTGCAAATATCCCTTTACACGCACCAGAGTATTGTTTACGTCATTCGGACGGCATAATTGACGTCATTCGAATACTATTGTGACGTATGTTCGAAATGACGTCACACTGGAAACAACGTCATAGCTGAAGATTGTTGACATCATTCGACAATTGTGTTGCTTAGATGGCGGTCGTGAACAGTGGAATTTTCAAATGGGGAGCTGAAAGGGATTAAGAAATAATGGGTGAGAAGAAATAATTACTCTCGCATGTGTGTCAAAATGATTTTAAGGAACTTGTGTAAGAGTTCAAGTATTACCCTGATTCTCGCTCGGGAAATACAAGAATTCTGACCCTCAATTCGTAAAATCACCATGACACACATGCACATATAATGATCTCTGTATGACATTCTTCTGGATGTCTTCTGACAGTTCATTGTTCCTCCTTTCAGGTTACAACGTACAGTCACAAGGATGAAAACAATGTCTGGCGCATAAAGCCGGCCGATCGGGATGACAGTATGTCCGAGGAGCCACAACTAGTCCGCAGTGGAGATCTGATTAGACTGGAGCATGTGATGTAGGTCGTGTGTTAGAGTGGAGCATGTGGTGTAGGTCGTGTGTTAGAGTGGAGCATGTGGTGTAGGTCGTGTGTTAGAGTGGAGCATGTGGTGTAGGTCGTGTGTTAGACTGGAGCATGTGAAGTAGGTCGTGTGTTAGACTGGAGTATGTGAAGTAGGTTGTGTGTTAGACTGGAGTATGTAAAGAAGGTCATGTGTTAGACTGGAGTATGTGAAGTAGGTCATGTGTTAGACTGGAGTATGTGGTGTAGGTCATGTGTTAGACTGGAACATGTGATGTAGGTCGTGTGTTAGACTGGAGTATGTGGTGTAGGTCGTGTGTAAGACTGGAGTATGTGGTGTAGGTCGTGTGATAGACTGGAGCATGTGGTGTAGGTCGTGTGTTAGACTGGAGTATGTGGTGTAGGTCGTGTGTAAGACTGGAGTATGTGGTGTAGGTCGTGTGATAGACTGGAGCATGTGGTGTAGGTCGTGTGTTAGACTGGAGTATGTGGTGTAGGTCATGTGTTAGACTGGAGCATGTGGTGTAGGTCGTGTGTTAGACTGGAGCATGTGGTGTAGGTCGTGTGTTAGACTGGAGTATGTGGTGTAGGTCATGTGTTAGACTGGAGCATGTGGTGTAGGTCGTGTGTTAGACTGGAGCATGTGGTGTAGGTCGTGTGTTAGACTGGAGTATGTGGTGTAGGTCGTGTGTTAGACTGGAGTATGTAAAGTAGGTCATGTGTTAGACTGGAGCATGTGAAGTAGGTCATGTGTTAGACTAGAGCATGTGAAATAGGTCGTGTGTTAAACAGGTTCTATTATGCAGATTGACAACGGTTTAAGAATCTATACCGAAATGTCGCAGTTATAGTATAATAAAGAAGTCAATATGTGTTAAACACATTTTTGTCTACCGGTGTTTCGTGCTCACGGTAATGTCTTTCCATGGGGGAAAAAAACATCCAAACTCATAATTCGTGTATAATGCGCACCCCTTTCTACACAGCTGTGTTTTTTCAAAAAAAAGTGCGCACTATACTCAAGAAAATATGGTACTTTATCATATAATCATGTGTATTATAATTATTTCGGCACCCATTATTTGCAGAACCAGGAGAAACCTACACAGTCACAAGGAGCCGGCGCCGCTTTCTAAACGACACTTCCAGGTCTCTGGGTATGGCCAGGTGAGTACCGCCACTTCACACTGGGCTGCGTAGCACATCTCACCTGTCTGTCCTGGGCCTCATTCCACAAAGTGATCTTAGCGCTAAGATGATCGTAACTCCCATACTTTAACACAGGCTTACGACAATCATAGCACTAAGATCGCGTTGTGGAACGGGACCCTGGAATGGCATGGAGCTCCTGATTATAGAGAGGATCAAGTTTCTTGAAAAGTTATTTCTTTTAATAGCTCATATTTCCTATGGGGGGCACAGGTGGCCCAGTTGTCTAAGGCACCACGATTCGCTGTGCAGAGTTGCGTCCCTTGGGCACGCCAGAAACCTATGATTGTGGGTTCGAATCCCCGTTCGCCCCAATTATGTTTCTAGGTTTGTCAGCACCATACCCGTGCTCGTGGGTTACACTGAAGTGGTAAATGTCTTAGACCTGCATCACTTCGGGCTTTCCTCCCACATTAAGCTGACACGCCGTGATATAACTGGAATAATGTTAAAAGCGGCGTTAAACCCATCTCACTCACTCACTCATATTTCCTATGTCAAAATACCTGTCTCAGAGGCCACAAAGTCAGACAGCTGGGAGTGTTTTCTCACCATGAATGTGTCAGGTGTGTTCAGTTTTGTATGATACATCATGACTGGTTCTCAGCTTCATCCACTGTCGACTTAATAGATCCTGTTGGAGAAAAACATTAACTTTGAAGTTCCTCTAAGAATTACTCTGAGTGTATCATACTTGATCAGATCTATTGTGTCAGTGTTAATGTCTAGTTACATTGTTCAGATAAGGAAAAGTACTGTCAGAAATGATAGAAAAATACTTTTTGCTCGTTAAAACAAGACAGAATGTTTCACAGACTGTTGCTATGGAAATTTCAAGTAAGAACCGATCAACCTACCTGTGGTTTGTCGTGTTTGAGTCGCAAGGAGTCGTAATGACAATTTTACAGGAGAAAAATTTAAACGGAAGATTTAAACCAACGAGGGAAGTCTGAAACAGATTATAGAAATATACACATGCAACTCCATTGTATGTGAATACACGGGTCGGTGTGAGGTCATTGCCCTGGTACACATGGTACACATGGTACACATGGTACACATTGTACACATGGTACAGCTGTTAGGTAATTACCTCAGACTATAGGCATTTCATACATGCATGACAAAACATAAATATTGTGAAAGGTTATCACCATTTTACTTGTAAAAGTACCTTTTTAGGCTAATCACAGTGTCAGGATATGCTAGATAGGTAGATTTGCATTATTTTGAAATATGCTATTTTTAGTCCTATCATTTGTATTTAATAAATGAAGCCAGAAAAGCGTTTTTCTACCATTTCCGACAGTACTTTAATAACTGATTTCAGTGATGGGAAATAAATGTTTTGTGTGACACAAAACTTTATGTTGTTTATGTTTTTTGCATATCGGTAAGGTGCTCCATAACCTGTCTGGCAGACACTGGCATTAGATTTTATTACTGGAGCTAAAGTAACCATGGTAACATAATTAGATGAATAACACGACAGTCGTACATAGGTCAAGAGTGGCTTTAGAATATATCATGTGAATGATAGCCGGTTGATGTCGGATAATGTGAAAAAACTCCAAATTTTAATCTAGGTTTATGTAGATGACCCAAGATGAACGTGACCTTCTGTTTGTGTTTCAGAACGGTACTGGTGACTCAAATGATGTCTGGATTGTTGAAGTGGTGGGGTCACCTACAGGCACACCCATTCAGACTGTGCGGTCCAAGCTGAGGATCATCCACTACTTCGTGAAGTGCGCACTATACTCTCATGACAAGAAGCTGCCTAAGTGGTGAGTGTCTCCAGCAATGTTGTACAGGTAGTTTGTTTGTTTTTTGTTTAACACCGCACTCAGCAATATTCCAGTTTAGTGTCCCTATGGTCTCACTCAAAGCATTCGGCAACAGAACTTTTGCTCACATTGCATCTTTGCTCTGGAATTCCCTTCCAGTGGAAATTAGGCAATCTCCAACTCTGGACACTTTCAAGACAAAACTAAAGACTTATCTCTTTAGATGTGTCCATGACCCTGTGTGAGGCGCTATGAGCGACTACGTAGATGGCTGGTGCTGAAGAAATGGACTTTATTATTATTATTATTATGACGGCGATCTGTATATAGTGAAGTCTGGATTAGACAATCCAGTGATTGACATTATGAGCATCAATCTATGCGATTGGGATACGATGACATGCATCAAGCAAGTCAGCAGGCCTGACCTCCCCATCCCATCAGTTATATCTAACGACAAGCATTGGCTGCTGAAGACCAATTCTTCAATGGATCTTCACTGGGGTATATAGGCAGTAATACCACCAGACCATTTTCTGATCAACCGTTAGTATACAATCCGCACTTTCAGTGAAAAATGACAGGGTACAAGCCACTGTATCTGAACCTGTATCTGTATCTATAACATGAGCAACATTCCTTGTTATCAGGGTAGACCGTACAAAATGAGCCTACTCACACATGGTAACTTTTTAAAACTATTTTTTTGGTCAGCTCTTGCAATTATTGGGTACTTCAGGCTTTAATGCCCTGGAATCCCCACAAGAAGACGTTAGGGCATGTTGAGGCCACATGTTTGTTTGTTTGTTTGTTTGTTTGTTTGAGATGATGAGTTTTCTGTGATGTTCGTCAGGGGCTGGGAGCAGCTGGAAGCATCATGTAACCCCAATGCCAAGGACAGCAAGGCACTGTGGAGTGTTGAGGAGGTGCAGGACTCTCGATGTAAGTATAGCACCACAACCACAATCTCATTAAGATCTGGGCGCTGTTCTCGCTATCGCTAAAAAAAGATCTGAGGACATCCCATTAGGGGTGACGTCAGAACGACCTTACATCCGACCTGCTCCGATCTGAGCATCACTTACCAGATCATTAAAGTAACAGTCGGAATGTGATTTCTAATCATGCAACCTCGAAAACTTTAACATTGGGTATTCCAAACGATAGTTACGGGCTTAACGAATGAATCCATTAGCCATTCCAGAATGTTCTTTTGTTCAGGTTTCAAATTTTTAATCGAGAATTTGTCAAAATATGTTTCGAAACGTAGTCGCCAATTTGAAATTAGTGCCATAAAGCACGAGAAAGCTGCCTTCTGATTGGCTAATGTCGACTTCTTGCCTGTCGTTCCATTGGTCGGTTAAAGTTCACGCAAGGTCGGTCTGACGTGACCCCTAATGGGATTTCCTCAGATCTTTGTTTAGTGGTAGCGAGAAATAAGATCTGATTTTAATGAGATTGCCACAACCATGTATTGCATTGCTATATATAGCAGCATCACTGTGTAGTACCACCATAATAGCTCTGTCACAATATATGGCATCTCCACTATTTATAACCACACCACCTTGTAGAGCATCAATGTAGAGCATCACAACCAGGTATAGCATCACTGTATAGCATCACAACCAGGTATAGCATCACTGTATAGCATCACAACCAGGTATAGCATCATTGTATAGCATCACAACCAGGTATAGCATCACTGTATAGCATCACAACCAGGTATAGTCTCACTGTATAGCATCACAACCAGGTATAGCATCACTGTATAGCATCACAACCAGGTATAGCATCATTGTATAGCATCACAACCAGGTATAGCATCACTGTATAGCATCACAACCAGGTATAGTCTCACTGTATAGCATCACTGTATAGCATCACAACCAGGTATAGCATCACTATAGCATCACAACCCGGTATAGCATCACTGTATAGCATCACAACCAGGTATAGCATCATTGTATAGCATCACTGTATAGCATCACAACCAGGTATAGTCTCACTGTATAGCATCACTGTATAGCATCACAACCAGGTATAGCATCACTGTATAGCATCAAAACCAGGTATAGCATCACTGTGTAGCAATGCAACCTTGTAAACGTTATCACCAAAATTATGTTAGTGTAGCATACCAAATATAATGTCTCAATCATCACTTATTCACAATTTAGGAAAAAGAAATTACTAATATTATTAATGAGTGTTTATAGATATACTTAGTTTCATGCGTTCATCATCAGTATTATACAAAGGCACAGAGCAACATGTATTTGACTAATAAGTATAACTGCAGCTGACAGGTACATGTTGTAATACTTTGATATAACTCAAAAGAAACTATAGTTTTGTGTGTTGTCCACTTTCCAGTGCCAAATGTAAGCTTTGAAGTCTACTCTTCGTCTTTCCTGGAGAAGTTCCTAGAAAGCCACGCAGTCATGACACAGGTAAGGCTAAAAAAATAATAGTCCTGGTGCCCAGGCACTGCCCACATCAGACCCGTGAAGATTCCGGGGTAGAATAGGTCTTCAGCAACCCATGCTTGCCGTAAAGGGTGACCATGCTTGTCGTGAAAGGCGACTGACGGGATCAGGTGGTCAGGCTTGCTGACTTGGTTGATGCATGTCATCGATCCCAATTGCGTGGATCTATGCGCATGATATCAATCACTGGATTGTCTGGTCCAGGCTCGATTATCTACAGACCGCCGTCATATAGCTGGAATATTGCTGAGTGTGGCGTTAAACAACAAACCAACCAACCAACTGCCCACATCGTCATAAAGTTCGCCACACGTTTCTTTTTTATTTCATTTTTTTTTAAATTTAAAAAAAAATCCATAAATATTCCTAGCTCAAATACTGTATTCCAGTATTATAATCACCAAGGAATACATTTATGTAGGAAGGCCCTTTCCCAGGTTGATTGTACACAACTGTTTATTTGCTTACATACTAGTTTGAATAACAAAAAAAACACACCGCCCGACCGCACTAAACTTTCAAAAGCCCATTTCCTGAGAACCAATTCTTTATTTTGTAAGCCTAAGAAGTTTGACATTGTCAGAAGGAAGAAACCATTATTAGATGGGTTGAGGCTCTGTGGTTTATTGTATGATGTGAAAGAACCTCTCCATATGTCTGATCTTTCTACTTCCTTTAGAGAATAGGGGGCACGGGTGGCCCAGTCGTCTAAGGCGCCGCAATTCGCTGTGCAGAGTTGCGTCCCTTAGGCACGCCAGAAACCTATGATTGTGGGTTCGAATCCCGGTTCACCCCGATTATGTTTCTAGGTTTGTCAGCACCATACCCGTGCTCGTGGGTTTCACCAAAGTGGTAAACGTCTGAGACCTGCATCACTTCGGGCTCTCTCGACAGTGACGACTTAGAGGATTGATTAAGCTGACACGCCGCGATATACCTTGAATACTGTTAAAAGCGGCGTTAAACCCAACTCACTCGCTCCTTTAGAGAATAACAGTTTTAAATGCAGTTTACAGCCACATTTGTCACACATGTGAAAGATGAGAGGATCAATTCAGCTTGTTCCAGTTGTAATATAGCAATTTTTTAACTTCATGAACGTTTTGATTACTCAGCCAAAATTTGATGTGTTTTTGTAATGTGTGTTTTCATCCTATGAAACCATTGCAGAAAGCCCCTGTGTCGATATGCTGCTTCAGTTAGAGTCTCATTTACCGCTCTCGTCCTTCACAGGGAAACAGTGGACTGAAACCTAAAGAAGGGGAGATAACTTCCAGACCCTGGCAGTGGCCAATCAACTACAGGGTAAGTTTATGGGTTTGATTTTGTCACTGGTGAGACAGACAGTCACATGTAACCCTATCTTGTGAGAAGGCTGAAAGCAGGAACTAGTGATCTTAATGGCTGACCTCTAGGAGAGGTTCTCGTTTCACTACAGTGACGACCTAGAGGATTGAGCATCAGCCCAGAAAGCCGAAGGTTGGTGGTTTGATCCAGGTTGCATCATACCAAACGATGTTAAAAGATGGTAACCTGCCTTTCTCTCAGCATTAAAGAGATAGAACAAGGACTGTCTGCTTTGGAGTCTGTATACTGTGTCTGTATACTGTGTGGGGGCGGTGGGGTAGCCTGTTGGTTAAAGCGTTCGCTCGTCACATCAAAGACCAAGGTTCGATTCCCAACAATGGTACAATGTGTGAAGCCCATTTCTGGTGTCCCCTGTCGTGATATTGCTGGAATATTGCTAAAAGCGGCGTAAAACCATACTCACTCACTCACTGTATACTGTGTCTGAGTGGGGTATCCATGTTAAACTGTGGCATGGTATCTCAATGTGCTAGCACCGTAAAAGTGGCGAAATTCTGGACTAGTACAAGAAGCCAAACACACACTGCATTCATGTCGCTATATAAGTACAATCATCTTGAACACGATGTTAAACCTCGTTTAACCTCGCAGTGACCTCGCAGTGACCTGGATCATCGTGTACCGTAAATCTTGAAATTAACGCAAGCGTGAATTAAATACAAAATATGAGAGTGACCTTTGTTTGCATTAATTAAAACTTTGTGTTTATTTCTCCAAAATCATTGTCAACAATAAGACTGCCTCACTGTCCACTTTGGATAGCGGAAATACCAACTTGAATATAAACACAAACACGGTTCATTGAGCAGCAGTTGTAACATGTAAATGACAATGTCATTCAAAGAATAGGAATTTCACAATGTTCTTCTCACTTGTTTCAAACTAGGTATCAATGAGTACTCCACCTGTCCAGATAGACGCCACCCACTCAAAATTGCGCCAAAGGCTGACACGGCCCTACATGCACCGATAGGCTGAATCACACTTATCCTCAGATCTACAGCCTTTGTTTTGACATCTGCCTTCAATTTGTTGACACCTTCTCCGCATACCAATCAGTGTTAAATTATTTGATTGCCTTTGAACTATCTTAATGCCAGTCAACAGAATAAACATAAAAACTGTTTTTAGGAAAACACTGTTTATTGTTTTGTACGGAAATGCTCTACTCAGCGCTAATAAGCGGTGGAATTTGATGTGTGATCGGATTAAGGTAAGGACATGTATCATTCCACTGGGGAGGGAGGCGGATGGAGTTTCATTAATATTGAGTCGCATTTTTGGCCAGGGGTCAACCTCGCATCAGTTTGGAGACGCATTAATCTCAAGATTTACAGTATGTCCAGATCACGCTTTGTGCTCTCACTCCCACTTGTACCAACTTGTTTGTCTGGCCCAGGGTTGATTGCAGGCTGTCCTCAAACCTGGATCTTCAATGGCATTATTTCATGATGAACTGCATTTGTCAGTTCAATTAGTGATAGACCCGTGAAGATCCGGGGTAGAATAGGTCTTCAGCAACCCATGCTTGCCGTATAAGGTGACTATGCTAGTCGTAAGAGGCGACTAACGGGATCGGGTGGTCAGGCTTGCTGACTTGGTCGATGCATGTCATTGATCCCAATTGCGTGGATCGATGCTCATGATATCAATCACTGGATTGTCTGGTCCAGACTCGATTATTTACAGACCGCCGTCATATAGCTGGAATATTGCTGAGTGCGGCGTAAAACAACAAACCAACCAACAAAAATCAATTAGTGATATAATTGCACGTTCTTTTCTTTCTGTAGGGTCAGATATTTTCTGCCAAGAACCACCGTATCTACCTCCTGGGCAATCCTGTCATCTTCTGGGGACTGCTCGTTATCAAGGCGTTGTTCCTCGTGTTCTTCGTTATACACAGGATAAAGTTAAAGCGTGGTATTCAAGTACCTGAGCCTATCAAAGGTAAGTGAGAGATCAGCGCCTCAAGTTGTATGGTGTCATATCTACTGAACACTGACACTGCTCCTTGACAGACAGGTCCCCAATGTCTGTGATGTGTGCAAATTGTGAACAATCAATTACCTTCTGTTGATTATTTATATATGTAAGATATACATCTGATATCACTTTTGCCTTTCTTTTTGAGCAGAGTATATTATCTTTTGATATTAATTATTCTTCATCATGAATTGTGCGCTGGATGTCCTCCTTTACACATAATGCACTGTGACCTACTTCTTGCACTGTGACCTACTTCATGCACTGTGACCTACTTCATGCATCATGCACTGTGTCCTACTTCATGCACTTTGACCTACTTCATGCATCATGCACTGTGACCTACTTCATGCACTGTGACCTACTTCATTCACTGTCACCAACTTCATGCACTGTGACCTACATCATGCACTGTCACCTACTTCATGCATCATGCACTGTGACCTACTTCATTCACTGTCACCTACTTCATGCAATGTGACCTACTTAATGCATCATGTGACATACTTCCTGTCTGTTTCCCTTCCAGTGTACAATGAGAAGATGTTCCGGGCGTGCTGGTGGCTGCTGCTGGGCTGGGGGCTACACTACCTGCCCTTCTGGGGCATGGGCCGCGTCCTGTACTTCCACCACTACTTCCCCGCCTTCCTGTTCAGCGCCATGTTCGGAGGTACAGTAACCTACCCATGCACTGACACCACGGGATCACGTCTTGGGATATTTGGCTAAGACACATGGAGGCTAATGACAGTGGGAGGGTTCAATTGGTTTGGAATCTGGAGATGGATGTTGAGGTGGCAATGATGTTGTCATCGAGACTTAATTTGTTTTTACGGAACTGAAAGCAGAAATGACAACCTTATGATATTGGCATAATCATTACCATATTGTTAGCAGAATTCTGCCACTATGATAAAGTGAAGTATATTATTAAGTTTACGAAAACATCATTGCCATTACTTTTGACTAGTTATTGACCTTGCAACAGGAATTGTCATTTATACAACCATTTGATATATTTAATCATTTGATTTAGCTTGCAAATATTGGATGATAATATACAATGCAAAAGATATATATTTTAATCAAAACCCTAGTCAATATGAATCTGCCTTTTGATTTTTTTTTCAAATCGGATTCAAGTGACCTTGTATATCATATCATATCATATCATATCATATATCATATATCATATCATATCATATCATATCATATCCATAGCCTGTCCTATTCTATTACTTTATGTACCTGAAAACACATGGTTTATGATGCTGAAACTTGTTAGCAATGGTCTCATTATTTGGGCAATCTATGATGAGCTTGGGTCAATCTTAGCGCTAAGATGATCGTAACTCCCATACTCCAACATAGGCTCACAACAGTCATATCGCTAAGATCTCTTTGTGGAATGGGACCTGCCGTTGTTGCTGATTTGCTGACACGTCTACTATCTGTCTGTCACAGGTGTGATGCTGGACTACCTCATCACCCGATTCTGTCTGACACTGCCGGAGAACTGGGCGGTGAAAGTATTCCCCTGGCTGCTGGTGTTAATCATCTTTGTGCTGGTTGGCAGGTAATGTCCTTCACAGACATATATACAGTCAAGAGACTATCTAAAGTTTGAAATACACTTCTGATAATACAGTTACCCTGTGTGGCGCTCGGCATTAAGGGGCTACCTCCGTGGTCTAGTGGTAGGTCGTCCACCCAGAGAGCGGAAGGTCCGGGGTTCAATCTCCACCCGCGTCATACCAAAAGACGATAAAAGATGGTACTTGTTGTTACCCTGTCTGGCTCTCGGCATTAAAGGGCTAAAATAAGGACTGGTCGGCTTGGAGTCAGTATACTGTGTCTGAGTGGGGTATTCATGTTAAACTGCGGCATGGTATCTCAGTGATCTAGCACTATAATTCGGCATCAGTCCTGACCAGTACTAGCAGCCACACAAACACACACACGTGCATGCACGTTGCTATATAAGTGCAATAATCTTGGACACTACGTTAAACCCCATTTCACTTGTCTTCATCCTGTGTGACAACAATATTAATTATCATTTTTAAGCCTTTTTTTCAAATCATATTTTTCATATATCTGTGTATAGAGTAAGAAACAAGGAAATACGCATAGCAGTTTTCTTGATCTGTAGGAGGGGGCACGGGTGGCCCAGTCGTCTAAGGCGCCGCGATTCGCTGTGCAGAGTTGCGTCCCTTGGGTACGCCAGAAATCTATGATTGTGGGTTCGAATCCCGTTTGCTCCGATTATGTTTCTAGGTCTGTCAGCACCATACCTGTGCTCGTGGGTTTCACCGAAGTGGTAAACGTCTGAGACCTGCATCACTTCAGGCTTTCCTCCCACATTAAGCTGACACGCCGCGATATAACTGGAATATTGTTAAAAGCGGCGTGAAACCCAACTCACTCACTCATTGATTTTGAGCCAGTGGAGGTTCCGTAGAATCGGTGTGATATGGTCAAACTTTTTGGATTTAGTTGCTGTTGCTAAGTTGCTGTAATCTAACTTTCCAGTTTCTACCTGTTCTACCCCCTGACGTTCGGCACATCTGGTCCAATGGCCAGTGAAGAAGGGTCCGTGATGAGTGGCCTCAAGTGGATGGACTCATGGGACATATGAAAGATGGTTGTGTGATGTACGAAAGTTTCCTGAGTCCGATTGATGGTGTTGGCAGAGGGTATCCTCCAAGCCATTGCTGCAATACAAGATAAACCTGCCAGCATATTACATTTACAAAACAAATTGTCATTCAACCATCGTCATCATCAACGTGGTCCAACTTGATATTATATTTTCTTGACCCTAAGGTCCTTTACATGTTTTTGTGCGAACCATACTGGAGTTCGGAATGACAATACTGGTCATTTATTTACAAAATACTTATTCTGTGTAGTTTTACTATTTTAATGGTTTTGTTATTTTTTACAGATTTTATGATCTGGTATTTTGTACATTTAACCTTAAGCAAACCTTATACGGAAGTCATTGAATCCTCAAGTAACAGATCAGTTCAGTTTGTTTTGTTTCCACCGTTCTCGTTCGGACAACAGTGGGAAAATGGCAGCTGTGATGAAGTGATGTAGGAAGTAAAAGTAACAAGGAGAGATGCCTGGGATGTATTCATGAAGTTATCAAGGACTAACGAATCAAAGTCGTATTTGGATAATGTTTCAGAAAAATGAAATGAAATCCAAAACTGAGCGGTAAGATTCTCCCTGTCTTGACAAAACTCTCGGCATGTAGAAAACAAAGACATCAAATGTATATGTCAGAATCCGGTGTTTTGTACCAAGCCATGTTCCTCCTCTAACAGTTTATCATGGTCGATTGTTGTATCATAGATTATTGTTTCAATTAATTATGGGGAAGTAGACCTGTATTTGTTTTATCCTTCATTCTGAAGTTTTGTGCAATTACATGTTGTTAAAATACGGATGTACGTTTCTGATACAGTAGATTGCTCTCTCATACTCTGTGAGATGCATCGGAGATAGACTTGAGGTGCATCATTGATGGACTTGAGGTGCATCGTTGATGGACTTGAGGTGCATCGTTTATGGACTTGAGGTGCATCATTGATGGACTTGAGGTGCATCGTTGATGGACTTGAGGTGCATCGTTTATGGACTTGAGGTGCATCGTTGATGGACTTCAGGTGCATCGTAGACTGCCTTCAGGTGCATCGTAGACTGACTTCAGGTGCATTGTAGATAGACTTCAGGTGCATCGTAGACTGACTTCAGGTGCATCATAGACTGACTTCAGGTGAATCGTAGTCTGACTTGAGGTGAATCGTAGTCTGACTTGAGGTGCATTGTAGACTGACTTCAGGTGAATTGTAGTCCGACTTCAGGTGCATTGTAGATAGACTTGAGGCGCATCGTAGACTGACTTGAGGTGCATCATAGACTGACTTGTTCATGCAGTAATTGGTTCATTATTGTGTGTGTATAATAGACCTGGACCCCGCTTCAGGAAGCAGTCTTAGCGCTACGGCTATCGTTGATATATGTAAACTATGGGCGTTACAATTATCTTAGCGTTACAACTATCGTAATGGGCGGAATCCCGCCATTTTTATGGAACATTTTTTTATGAATCCCCCTAATCTCTACTCCCCCACCCCCCTTCTTAAACAACCTTCACCCATACAACAATGTAGAAAAGTAATTGTCTTGCAAGTCTTTTGTACGTATGCCATTGCAAATGTTGGCTTGTGTTTTGTATTGTTTATGGTTGTCACATTCCATTCAAAGTGTATGCAATAGATTGTGAGGGTAGCATGTTATGGTTCTTGATGATAGTCATGTTTGGGTAACCATGGTAACACATATCATTACACAGAGATGACAACAACGTAGGACAACATTATGCAGATATATATTCATCTTCCCCGTCATATATCACTAGTACTATATTTATGATGCTTACTTATGATAACAAGTCAAAATTAAGATCACATGCTGATCCTGTCAAATGCATCTTCCCTAGGCAATAGAATCAACTAGCCTTTATATCAAAGTCTTTTTTCCACCCTTGCCACATCAAGCCCACTTTCCTGTGCTAAAAGTCAACATCAATGATTTAACGCTGCCTGTCTTTGTTAACATGAATATGTCTCTTCATCTTTTAACCCCCAAAACGATTGCCTATGTTTTTGTGTCATGGATGAAGACGTGAATGTTTTCGTTATCTCATGAAAGAGGTCATCATCGTCTATGGTAGTCGTCATTTTTGTGAAGCTGTACGAGATCAGAACAGCGATCTGATTGGATATCGTGGTTTCATTATAAGGGGCGCAACTCTTGATCTACGCGAGGTGGCGCCAGGGTCGAGCCAAGAAAAGTGGCCTTAGTGTGGCAAGGGTAGATACTAGGCTTTGATATAGGCTAGTGGACAAGGTTGCCTTGGGAAGATGACCAAAATATTTTGTCCAATCATATAACATATAACATGTAATCCTGGTACTGGCGGGTGTATATTTCCAAGGATAATGGTTATGTTGAAGCACATGCCACTATGCCATCTACACAATGCTGTATCCTGAATATCTTATGGTGAATGTATTTTGTAATCATGTGCTATATCATATATCTGTTAGTATGATAAGGGGTCTGTATAGGAGAAAACATTTATTTTTATAGTTTGTGGAAAGTACTTTCAAAAAGGAGCTCAAGAAGTGTGCATGCTGATACTGAACGTGAACGAATATGATTGTGTTATCGAAGACTTCAATTGAAATTGTTATGATTGTTATAAGATATGTTTATGTGAATGAGAGCTAGACTTTGTTCATTTCAACACATGCATATCTAGGACTTATTTAAAATATAAGGTTTAAATGTATCAAAAAGGCTGATTTAGAGGTTTTTAAAAAAGCATTTTAACATTTAAGCATGAGCAAGTCTTTGACCCAAGATGATTTTTTTGGGACACGTAGATCAAGACTATAAAAATTTGCCAAAAAATTTGTCTTGGTCACAGATTTGCTCATAGTTAGATTTGGTTTTAAGTTGGAAAAATCAGCATTTTTTTCTAATATTAGCCTTTCAGAAGTAAAAGAACTCACAAGTGTAAGAAAGAACAGCGTTTCTTGTCAACCATTTGAAATCTTTTTAGAAATGTCATACCATACAAAATTTGTCAAAACTTTAAGATTTATTATTTCTAATTGTCCAAAAAGGGCCCTTACCCTACATCGTGTTTTATGACATCAGACATTCCAGACTATAAGTGGGATAACTTTGTCAAAGTATTTTTCAAGCGTAGTCAGAAATGGAAGTCGCCAGGTTGAAACGAGTGCCGTAAAGCTCGAGAAAGCTGCTTTCTAATTGGCTGATGTTGACTTCTTGTTAGTCATTTTAGTGGCCGGTCAAAGTTCGCGAAAGGTCGTTCTGACATGACCCGTAAAGGGATGTCCTCAGATCTTTGTTTAGCGCAGCGGGAAGTTAGATCTGATTTTTATGAGATTGCTGGTTGTTGTTAAAAAAATGTTTTGTGGGTCCCAAAACAGCTGTTCCTTCTTGTATGTCTTGATGTCAGAAAAATGTCCAACAAAATCCCCCCCCCCCCCCCGCCCCTACACATCGTTAAACGGCTGATCCAAGATAATCACTAATGACATGAGTTGTCCCCCCTATTCCTGGCATCAAGGTCACATTTGTCAAATGCAATAGTGTTGTTTTTGCCTCTTCCCCCCTCCCCACTTAGAAGACTTGGAAACAGTCTATATTCAATACACACAAAGTATCAGAGAAAACTATATGACAAAAGCAAGCTTTATATCTCGTTACAATAATCATATTGTAACTTCCCTTTTCAGAACGGTTTTTGATATTATTCACCCACAAAAACATAAATTCATAAATATCCAGAATAGTATTTTCACATTAATGTTCCTTGTAACTTTCTTTGTAATGCCAGTATTGATTGATGGGGGGGGGGGGGGGGGGGGCGGTCAGGTAGCCTAGTGGGTAAGGCGTTCGCTCGTCACGCTGAAGACCCGGGTTCGATTCCCGACATGGGTACAATGTGTGAAGCCCATTTCTGGTGTCCCCCGCCGTGATATTGCTGGAATATTGCTAAAAGCAGCGTACAACCATATTCACTCACTCACTCCATTACCAGAGTCACACTTTTTAACTACCTTGTGAAATTAAAACTTTAACATGGAGGAAGATTGCAATATAAGTGCAATAATCTTTAATGTGATGTTGAACCCCATTTCACTTCACCCCCCTCACCATGGAAGGAAATCTCTCCCATTGTTAAAACGTTTTGCATGAAAGTATCATTTATAGTATTTAACCTTTATGAATAGTTTAATTACATCTTGATATCATGTTTTTCAATATCTGTTATTAAAATAAATAAAATTTCTTTATGTGAGTGTGATAATATTTTAGCAAATGGATAAAAATATGCACATTTAGTCTTTCCCTTATATTTCTTACATGTAGAGACTTATACTGATGTCAGATGGTGTTATGACTTAGACTACAGTGTAGTGGCATTAGAGTTTAAAGAACTTAACAGTGCTATTCTCATCGCATGTTTGCTGTATGCAATATTAATTCGCGATCTATGGCAAAATAGGAATCAATTGGTATTTCATTTGATACAAAGTGACCTATCTGATGATTTGACTTTTTGTCTGTTATCATTGGCTGAATAGCCTCATTTTTGTGACAGATTTTTTAAAAACTTTTGTGTTGTTAAAACCTTACATTTCAGTATAAGGTCACCATCTGACCTCCTCCAAATCCAGAACATACAAATCAAAATCATATACACCATGTCAATAAAACAGTCCGCGTGATTTTTGTACTCGAGGTGGATGTTGATATGATTACTGCTGACTTTCAAGAGTACATGGCGCATGATGCTTTAGTTACTCCCATCAGTATTTGAACATGATGATCTTGCTGCAAGATTCTGCAGTGTGACCTGACACATTCCAGTGGCCATCTTCCCGAGGCAAGAGAGTTAATTGACTTTAAAAGTCCAGTTTCCACCCTTGCCGAACTAAGCTGGAATTACTGGGCTCGATCGTAGCGCCACCAGTGGCTGTTACCAGTCATGTCCCTTCTAAGCCTCTACTATGGACCAATCAGATCCACCTCTCGTTTCACCTGGGTTTGCTTCACACAAAATGGTGGCGCCCAGTCAGGACGATCTGATCGATAATCAAGATCTATATTGTGATAAAACGGGTCTTACATCGCGAAATGCGTCAAATCACGTGAGCACCTTGATTAAAAACATGAAAAGATTTGGAAAATAGCTGCTGACAACGAGTTGGCGGTGCATATGCTTTGCAAATCCTGCAATCGACCGAAATCTGCATGACAGCTTACGAACCGGATTTCGATTTTGGTGCGCGATTTTGATTGGACTATGCATAGACTGGTTAGTTCAGCCAAAATGTAACTCCATAATACCAGCTTAGTTCGGCAAGGGTGGAAACTGGACTTTTATAGTCAGTTAACTCACTTGCCTCGGGAAGATGTCCAGTGGCTGGGCAACAATATCACTTGTGTGTATAAGTATGATATTGTCTTGAAGTATGTTATATTTTGTGCAATACACATTACTTCTCTTAAATCACAGCATTTCTTGTAAATCCTTGCAATAAGCAGATGGTATTTAACTGATATCTAATCTACAGTGGTCCCTCGCTACAACGCTACCAATGGGGTCCAAATAATTGGTGGGTGTTATAGACGATGAGCCGTTTAACCGAGGCCGAGGCGGGGGAGCGCGCTCGGCAAATCTCAAATCATCAATATGTGTTTATCTCACGTCACGTCAAAATAGTATATATTTTTATGGACCTAGATCTACCTGTAATATCATACATTTATTAAATGTGTCACATTTCACAATGTCTGAAATACGTATTCCATTTCAATTTATCATTTTTTATGTTTTAAAACAGATTATTAGAACTCCATTCAGCGATAAACGGTTGATTATGCAATGAGAAGCGTTATGTGCAAATGAACAACGAACAATAATACAATTATGTCTGTGTAAAACTCTCAGTAATAAAAGTGTACATAAATTTTGGGAGCCATGCGTTACCGCGCGTAGTAACCGAGGTAGCGCTTTATCGAAGAGCGCAATAGCGAGGGATCACTGTATTTGTGACTGTTGTTGGGTGTGTGAAAGGTGTTATCCATATTGCTATGCATATATCAGCTCTCCCGTCCATGTATGATCTGCTGAGAGTAAGGAATGCTATGCATATTTCACAGTGAAAAATACCCATGGACAAACATACCAACTTGCTGATGGTATGGTTGAATTTTATTGTGTTAAATGTTTTGTGATAAGCTGAATTTTGTGATAAGCTGATCAGTCATATAAAACAATGATTATCACTTTTTTCAGTCTTATTCTTGAAAATTGTATGTATATATGTTACTGTTGACAATGCATTGAAATGGAGCACATGGAATATTTGTTGTGCAGTATTTGTGCACTTTAGTGATCAAATTCATAATGTATTTTTCTATGATTGATTGTATTTTGTAATTTTTCTGTTTCTAAGTTATATCATTTTATTATTTGTCAATAAATGCACCAATAGAATGCTAATTTGTTGAAAGTGATCCCTCGCTACAATTCTACCTTCGGGGTCCAAATAATTGATGAGCGTAATAGATGATCAGCGGTTTTATGAAGGTCGAGTTGTAGGTGGTGGATGACCAACAAAACAGTTTACATGCTCTGCCTACCTAACACGATCTACGTTGCACGTTTCTGAGTTTCAAAAAAAGATTAGAATAGAAGTTATTTATGATTCTTAGTGTAAAAAAAGATTTATCGAGTATTAATATGCGCTTTAAAATAAAACATCACATCGTATTGCTTCAGGTGAATAAGCAGGTAGAATCTAGATCTATAACAAACATGGTCAATAAAAGTATGAAATTTTATATACAACATCACCAGACAAGATGATTTACCATTTAAAATGTATATCCTGCTCTCAAAGGCATTGTTTTATAAGTAGAGATTAAGATTACCGTGGGGGGTATGGGTGGCTCAGTCGTCTGAGGCGCCGTGATTCGCTGTGCAGAGTTGCGTCCCTTGGACACGCCAGAAACCTATGATTGTGGGTTCGAATCCCGGTTCGCCCCGATTATGTTTCTAGGTTTGTCAGCACCATACCCGTGCTCGTCGGTTTCACCGAAGCGGTTAACGTCTGAGACCTGCATCACTTCGGGCTTTCCTCCCACATTAAGCTGACACGCCGTGATATAACTGGAATACTGTTAAAAGCGGCGTTAAACCCAACTCACTCACTCACTCACTAAGATTACCGTGTGTAATTTCTCGTAAACTAAGCCGGAAATAGCAATCAGCTGTGCACAGATTTCCTCCCAATTTGTATTTGGTCTTTATGTTTATGGTAATGCCAAGAAAACATGATGACAGAAACAAACTTCTTCACTTTATGTGTTTTCAGATTTGTTGGTGTCATTGAGTTTTCAGTGCTCAGAACTTTCAGTTTTGTCATCCACATTGTTCAGCTTCCCATGCATTAAATGAGGCCTGAGAGTCTGAAAACTTAGACTGTTTCACCACATTGAAAATGCTAAAGTTTCCTGTAGTTTTTCCAAGCACTCTCCTTCTACATGTACCCTT